ATGCAAAATGTTATTACATTATAATAATGACTGTATTAGAATACGCTGAGATCTAAGACACTACTCCACAGGTTCTGTTAAGTATGTATGTAGCGATCGTATTATACTTAACTGGCAGTTCTGTTAAGAGAAGTAAAATATATTATGGGTTAGATTTTGATATTTAAACGCGCTCAGCGCAATTGAAAATTGTTGGTATATTATTTGATCATAAATTGAGGTACTTTGAATATAAACGAGAATCTCTCATGTATATATGTATATACACATATAGGTATAAATATATAAATGCCAGAGCAAACGCTAATTTACGTGTTGACAATTCATGGACCGTATTAACTGATGGGCATCGTCTTAGACATAATAACGAAAACCAGTAGCTAAGCCTATGGTCCAATGCCCTCGACGAAGAAAAAATAAAATACACCTTTTAATTAATTAATATAATAAAATATATTTTTAGTAAACAAGCCTATTTTTGTGCAATACGTAGATAAACTTTGATAATGAATATTTTAGAATAGATTTTATGATTTTTAAAAATGTTATGCAAATCAGGGTCCTCGATGTCTATAAAATGCCTAGGTCTTACAAATGGCTTACTGACCTTGAACAGTTCACAAATATAAATTTTAAATTATAGACACGTACGTATTATAAACTACTGAATTAAAACTAACTTATAAGTAAGCAGTGTCTACTTAATCATGTTTAATATTTTTGGCTTTGCTTTTTAGCTCTGTAATTTCACATATCATCAATCATATTTTATCACAACTCACAGGAACCGATTAAACATGTCCAAAGTGTTTTTTATAATTTGATTAATTGATTAAAAATTTTGTCTAGATTTTTTTTTTTTATAATGATTTTATTTTTCAGCTTGGTTAAATTGATTAATATTTGATTTCCAATAAGAATATTATTACTTTTTATTATTAATGAATTTGTATTTTGTGTAGAGTTTTAATAGTTAGTTGTTTTTGAATTCTTTGCACTGGGCGAGTCTAGTAAAATTATATTTGTAGACTAATAATATTATATTTTTCAAAACCTATCCATAAAAATGCAGTAACAAAATGTATGAAAAGATCCAATTAAAAATATTTGATTTTCGTACTTTCAAAAAAAATTTCCCTTTTTTATTAATTAATTCTTTAAAATAATTATATTTTTGGTATAGAAAGCGTAAGAAAGTGGTCTTCTTGTCGGCAAAGTTGATGTCGAAAAAACACCAAACCCTGAATTAAGTTTAAAAGTATCTATTTCTTACCGAGTATCAATAATAAATGTACCTTGGAGACTCTAGATTAGGAATTAGGATGTAGTAAAAATAACAAATTAAATAATAGCCGAAATTAGTACTACAATTATTTACCGATAAATTTTGTTTTTGTAGTCAATTAACAGAAAATATTTATATTATAATTTTATTGGTAAATATACATAATGGTTTTGTCATCTTCAGTTTGTACCCGCTGACCGATTATACTGATGACACTGCACCCTCGTTATCGGTCATATTTTAACCTCTTGTCAATGTCCACTATCGCAGTATACTTAAGGTTGAGACTTGAGTTGATTGTTTTCTAATTGTTGACGGTTGATCCGTAATGATGTATCTTGTTTTCTTAAAGCAATTTTAATTACTTACACACAGTTATGTATATGTATATGTATAATAATCTGATTTCTAATTGGTGTGTATTGACCTGAATGATGATGGTATGGATTTCTTTTGTTGGCACTTAAGTATGGTATGATGAAACTTATAAAAAGTAATGTATAACTAATGTGTTTACAAAATAATAGTTAAAAGTGTCAACAATTTGCAATTCTTTTTTTTTTATTAAATTAAAAAATAATCATGAACAATAATTCACAAAAAAACAAGACCTTTATTTCTTTATTTATTAATATTTACAAATTCGTATTGAGCTATTGACTTGAAAATAATTTCAAACTCCTTTAAGTTTTAACTATAATCACTTTTATTTTAAGTTTAAAACGTAAATAATAATAAAAAACGGATTATGCTGCTGGGCGTTATTTAATAGTTTTTAATTTTTATATGTGAGCCAATGAAGTTTCCAATGTAATTTTTATATTTGTTTGTTTTTAATTTTCAAGGGGATACATTCAACCTTGGTTTAGACTGTATTTTTTTCCACTTGACTCTCCACTAATACATTGTAATTATAAAAAAATATTTAATGATATCAAATTTGTTATTAACACTATTTGATGACTCCTAATAAAATCTATATTTGTAATAAATATGAACTAATGTTACTCCAAGGATTATAGTGGGACTGTAAGATATAGCTGATGAGATTGTCGATAAAAATTTGTTTTTACATTTCGTAAAAATCAATTTTAAGTAATGTTTTACTCAATGTTCAGAAAGAATAATTTTATAGAATACCAGATAATAAAATATTTCTATTGATATTTTATAATAATAAAAGCCAGTACAGTAAGGTCAGGGCATATCCAGAGTTAGGCATTTTGTATTCGAATAACGAATAATAAATATTTAATCGACTAATCTCTTTATTAGACCAAATCTAAGATGATTTATTCGAATACTTTTTTTATTTGACCAAATCTAAAATGGTTTTTTTTAATAAGTTATTTGACTATAAATATTACTCGACGAGTATTCGAATAAATTATTCGAGTAAAAAAATGTATTTAAATAATTATTTAGATAAAAAATTGTCTAAATATAGCCCATATCATAGTGGGGTGCATGTAATAGCACCCCCTCTCTGATGGAGCATATTTGGGCGGGGAAGTCACAGGTCTGTAAGATGAAGAAGATGGTTGTCACCACATAGATGGGGTTTTACATTACAACGTAACAAAAAATTAGTCGTATGATATCACAGTATGTCAGAATAGCATGTGTACAAAAAGATGTAGTATTTTATATTTTACATTTTAAAATATAAAATTAAAAAATGTCTGTATGTATATACACATATGAAACTATATAAATATATTTTATAAGTTATTTTTTCTTTGTTAAGTATTTTAATTATTATTTATTGTGACTATAATAAAGTCCTTGAAAACAAGTTGTAATAGTTATTATTTATACGAGCTCAAATTAACTATCAAAAGTGTTGTTGTAGCATAAAGAATTATTTCCAAATAATTATTGACTGAAACATTGGGTGTATCATGAAGAATTTTTTAAATAAGAATTTTCTTATTTTTTCCCACTATAATATGTACATTAGCTATTTAAGTTAAATTTAATGAATAGTTTATAAACATACTGCAACACGCGCGTTTGGTTAGATTATATTTACATACAAAATACTGTAAATCCCGTTTTCCATGATTTCTTATAATATAATATATTCCATGGTACTATAAGCTAAAAACTACATAAAAAATGGTTGATAAAATATTATAATTTGTAAACTGTAGCTAAAAATGTACGCTTCGCTTTGTATGATTTTTTCTTACCAGAAATCAATCAATCAGAATCTAGGAATCTTATCAAAATCGATTGATTTATCGATAAAGTCGATCTATTGGATTCAATAGATTGTCGGTACTAGACATACTAATAATTTTGTACAGCTATTATATGTAAATTGTACAACATTTCCATGCAATATCATCATTTACTTGCATATATACAAATTATATTGCCTATACCTTTCTCCTTAAACACGAATTCTATGCAATAATTTGAAATGAATACTCTTATTAACAAATATTACTCTACACTTGTATGTTCAACCTTCAAAAATGTATTTATTAATCCATTATTTAAAATTGCCTTAGTCTCTGTATAAAACCGTATGGTATCCAATTAGAAGTTAAATTTAAAGTGTAGAATAACGTTATTGTGTTTTGCATTTTAATTACAATTTACTGATTATTGATTTTAAAGGACTTTTTAATATGTAATCATTTTTAAATTACTTTTAAAAAATGCATTATGATGGTTGGTTCTTAAAAACGGCCTGCTTTTAATCTCCTTAGGTAATATAATATATATATATTTTTTTTATTCTATAGAATATACATTTTTACTATTTCTCCGAGTTCAATTTATCAATAATCATTACATTTCTAATTTTGTCATGTTGAACAATTTAATTTGTAAGCAAAATTTATCTCAACGCGACTTCCATCCTACTTGTTCAGTTTGGAAAGAATACAATTTTAATAATTGTGTCCACCCAGAAAAAAATTTCTTGAAAATATTAAAAATATTGATTACATATTAAAAAGAAAATGCGAATAGTAAAAGTAAAAACAAATAAGAGATTATGATTAAACATATTGTATACTCTACTGGTATTATAGATAAATTAAACTTTCAATTATCACTTATATAAAATAAGGAAGAGGGTAAGCTTAGAGGCCAGATGATTGCTTCACTTTAAATGAATCTTTGGCGTGAGTCCAAATCTTCTCTTTACTTTATTTATTAATATTATATTATTTGTCATTCCACTTGTTAGTCAGTATTTTTTTTTTTGTGAAAACGTTAAATCATTCCGTTTAACCTTAATAGTGATATCCGTACTCAGTTGAGCGGAAATAATTAAAATTAAATCTAATTATTTATTGCAAAAAACTATTAAACAACGGTTAATTGGTAGGGTTTTGGCAAACTAATGAACAGTGTTTTGAAAGCAGAACAACAATTTCAACAAGAATAAGTTTACAGGACTCTATTTTCTAATGATACTTTAAAACGTAACACGGGTGTTAATAAGACAATGGGAAATCGCTGAATGAAGTGTTTGTGTCCATCTATATTGTACCTTCCCTATTACGATGCACCACATTTTAATATATAAATATAGAAACCATTGGGCCGAAAAAAATATTGCTAATGAATTCTACGAAGCACGATTATGCTTGTAAAAGAAAAATGTTTGTATCATATTATATATTTTTATGGAAATAATTTAAATAAGTGTAGTCTTGGAAAATATTGTGTTTATTAATAGACATTATACAGTAATTTTCAATGCATGAGCTTATATAGAGTATAATCAACCGTGTATGTTCAACGCGTCTTTTTTTTTAATTTTCTCATACTGGATGTTTATTGTTCCAGAACAAATTTCTTCTGATGCATAAAATGTTTTATGTTAGTGAATCAAATTTTCTTGTTGCAATTACTTAAAGGAGACCCTGAGAACAAAACAAAATACAAAAAATAAATTACTACAGCAGCTTTAAATGTCTCACATAACTAGGAAATAATTACTAAGACTTTTTGAATTTTTAAGAATTTCGTAAGAACCTGTAAACAAAACCCGCAAATGGCGGTTGATCGACCAAAAATATATTTATTAATTTAGAAATGAAATGTTGTTAATTTTACCAATGTTTTGTTGTCATGTTAAATTAGAGTCAACTTAGTTTTTTTTTTTTATTTGTGTAAAGGCATACTTAATAAATACATTTGTTTTTTATTAATTACAATATTGATCAATTTAGCTATAATATTAAAAATAATTAAGTAATATGAGAACCTTAAGAGTATAAGTAATATTAAATATTATGTTACAGAAGTGCGAATAAATACTAACATTTTCAATGTTTTTTTGTGAGGTGAAATTAATTTATTTTCCACGCTTTTTTAAAAATATTGTGAAATAAATGTCGTTCCATTGACAACCACTGTTTGATCAAGAATTTGTTTTTCCTTTTGGTTAGCATCATTTAAAAGTAAAACTGAAATCGTAAATTTTTTAAGATGCACAATGCCCATTTCTTAGCTTCAACGTGAAATTTATGAATTAACAATATTTTTTTTTATTAGCCATATTATATTTGTTTTACAAATTATTTTTGGTTTAATGTAACTTTAAATACGTTATGTGTATACAATAAACATACGAGTATATAAAATGCAAAACAACTTTTATTAGATTATTAGGTATATAGTATAGGTATCGTTGATAAAATTATGTAGACATATTATTTTGTACATTTTTGATTATGTTTTCTGCGTCTCGTGCCACTATGATTTATACATTTTAGTGGTGATAAAATAAAGAAGGGATATTTAAAATATTTATTGCCTATTTATTTTGTCACTATTACCTGATGATAAACAGCTTTGTGATTTTTTTTATGTTTCTACGGCTAGGTATACAAATATACTGTTAAGGAAGTATAAATTATAGTAGAAAGACACATAAATTATTATGTGATTATCATTTTGTAATTTACATACTTCTAATTGAATGTATAGTAAAGAATGACTTCATACTACTTATTAAAAAAATGGCGACACTATTATAATAGTATGATACCAATTGAGCAAACCTAATGACGTCATTGTGAAAATCAAATTGGTCATAATTTTTTAAACTGTGGCCTTCGGCGCTGATAATTGTTAATGCCAATATGTTTTTCAATAATATAATATAAACGTATTATAAATGGAGTTTAGTTTTTTATCTGTTGAAATTCGATATTTATTTGTTATTCAATGTGAAGCGTTCGAAACGCATTTGGTTGGTACAGTCAATACATAAATTATATTATGTTTACCAAAGTATTAACAAAAAAAAAATCAATTATATCAAAACGAATAAAAAATAACAAAACTACTTTTTTTTTTTTTTTGTAAAAAATAATGTCGCTGTTCGTTTTTATTCAAATTAACTTTAGGCAATATTAAAGATTGAAACATACAGATAATTATTATAATAGATATATTAGTTTTGTTAATTGAAGGATAAACAACAACTCAAGTTAATGCGAACAAAATTTACCGAGCACTGTTGCACTTGCAGGGAGTATCGAATCATGGATTATAGCAAAATCGTTAATTGTTATGTTATGATATTAATATGCTTGAAGAACGATTTCGTATTATCTAAGATTGAACCGAGAAACGTTCTGACGAGTAGTGACCCTAGATAATATTATGAACGATATTTGCCTAATTTAATAACTTCTGTTAAAATCTAGTTTTAAATATTATTTTATCCACTTAATGTGTTTATTTTGTCTCTGTGATGTCAACATTATTTTTAAGATTGTCGAACAATTTCTAGCCGTTCATTAAAAATACAGAAACAAATATTACTATTGTGTGTGCGAGGACCTGAGCGTTTATTTATCACAGTCATGCAAGGCGTTATAGCTCAGACGAGAGATGCTTGTGGGAAAATTGAAGATACAGAATACCCAGGTCGGTATGTTCACGTCATGATGGCCATTGTGGAAAGAGAAAAATGCATGACATGTACATGTCTGGTTTGTTAAAATAGAAAATTGAATAATTGGAATAGTGCAAAACCTTCTTTGTATGTTTTACTTGTTACACTTGGCTGCCATCTCGTCTGACAAGTATCGTGCGAGAGTACATCGTTATATATTTTTATTACAATTTGAACGGTCAGAAAACGATTAAGTCAAGAAAATCAGAAGCAAAGTAAAAATTAGTTGTGTTTCGGAATTTTTTAAATAACAAAAAATATATTGGGGTGTTTTTTTTTGTATAAAATTAAAAACCGTTTTCCGAATCTTGGGATGATTCAAAACTGGATTCATATAAGGTCGGTAAACTCTAGGGACCTTGATTATGTTTATGAAGACGTTAAGTGTTTTTTTTTGGGAGGATATTGGAAAATAACATTCTAGTAGAACTACATCCATGTAAATGAACTTGGATATCTTCCCCAACGGTAATAACACTTGTTAGTCGAACATCTGGAATTACATAAATCGTACATGACAATAAGTAGTAATACGACTTGAGCAAATATAAATAATAGTTTTTATAAAGTTAACAATTGTACAGCTGTGGCATCTACATGATATATAATTAGTGTCACTGTAGGCTTTTATAAAGATTAATTTGTGCGTGTACATCATAGGCCTGGGGGGTTACCTCGACGTATACGTTTTGATTTAAATAATCAAGGATTATTTTAACAACAAGACTGTAAATCAAAATATCTTGATTTGTTGTTGCTGAAATCATGTAAATGGTATCAATGGCAAATCTCCCCTCCTCTAAAATAAAAACACAAATATAGATAAACTAAAAAAGTTATTGGACCAATCGTGGAAGTTCTGTAGAAAGACAATCATAAAATAAAAACAGTTAAAATCGGCAAAGACAAGTACTTCTCTAAATAACCAATGACATTAAAATTAAAGACGCTCGTGGCTTTATTATTTTTATAATAAACTTAATAACGCTAAAAATGTATACATTTTTGGCGTTAACAGTTAATATATTATATGTCAATAAAATTACTTAAAAAACTATGATAACGAAATCGGAGAGTAAACCAATGATTATAATTTGCAACACTAATAAAATTATACCACAAGATAGTTAAATATTCAAAGAATTTATTTCCCTTAGAGAGAATTTTAATGTCACGAACTTAATGGCGTAGTTCTAAATTTGAGTTTTATTGTAAAAGTACATAGGTTATAAATATTTTGTATAATTTATACATAGATTTAGTGTAAAACAACTTTTTTTTTTAAATGATACATAATTCTACCGATTCATAGACGACTTGGCTATGATACAACCCACCTATCTTTTCATGTACATTTTTTGAATTATTGATTTTTATTTGAAAATAACTAATAAAAACTATTATTGAAGTAAAACAATTGTTTTTAAATTTGTTTTAAAAAAGCATAATTTGAGTTTGTCAGGTATATCAGCTATGTGCATCGTTATCCGGGTAAATCGAAAATTGTAAAAACAGCAAAAATTGTCGACATCATCGTCTGTAATGCAATAGAAAATACATACCAAAATATCTAAACAAAAGCTATAAGAAGAGTGTTAAATTAATGAATAATTAATTTATACTAATGTGTACCTGTACCTGAAAAATTTATTTCGAACATACAAAAAAAAAAAATAATAATAATAACATTCGGCGATACAGACCTCGCTTTCTCCAATTTAGCTCATCCTTAATGTACTTAGTAGCTTCCTCCGGGACGCAGATGTTGTTTGTCTTCATTTTATCTTGTTTGGAATCGCACAAACTCGTGATTTGGTGTTTATAGGTGGCGATTTCTTATAATTATCGAAACACTTTATATTTGTACGCTATTTGTACCCTATGTTAATGGCCATCATTGCACATGTTTGCTTGTCATCGCTGCCGGTCGTCCAATCCCTAGTTGAGGACATGTCGATTTACAGGGTTGTGTTCTGACTTCTGCTGGGTTGGTCGGCAAACGTTCAACGCTTGGGGGTGACAGCTGTGGGTGTCAGGAAAACAAAATTATGATATAATACAAAATGTTATAGTAGAAAACCGTAAACAGTCCAAGGAAGCGAACTACTCAAATTGTTAGCTAAAAACTAAGTGTCTATATTTAGTTGCGGCAGACCGCAAGACCAGTAAAATTACTTTGCCCACAATCGTATACATATTATATTCTACCATTTACGGTATTATGATCCATGTTATAACTATTCAAATTAGTCATTAAGGTAATTAGATTAAGTTTTCTATCAAAGTTATTCTTTAACGTAGAAGTATTCTCTAATCTAAAAACCATATTGTTATTTATTCAATGCTGCCGTTATTTTGTATTGTCAGCATCGAATTGAATATATGGGTATTTGTATTGTCTATTAAATCTAAAATATCATATGCATACCGAAATCAAATTGTGTATTTTTTAAATAAATTTACAACTCCTACCAAGAAAAATAATAATGGTAGCTGTACCTGTGGTTTGTTAAAAATACTGATCATGAAATTAATAACAAATTTTAACTTATAACATACTTTGATAAAATTTATAATTCGTTATTATTACTTTTTCTTATTTAAAAATAATTTAAGCAATAATTTAAAAACTTAATTGATATGACTATTGGAATATTTGAAAACAAAGCTATTACGTCAAGAGAAATCGTTCCTTCGTCACAAAAAATCCATTTTTTTAATAGGTTTCGAAATAAATTCTTATTAAACGCACTCGCGAGTGTTAAATGTTTATCGGTGATAGCTTTAAACAATAGATTACAGGTAATCTTTTTTTTTAAACCTCAGTGGTCGAAACTGAAATACGTTATAACAATCGAATACCTAAAATACTTGTAAGACTAGCTCTGTCATTACAATTGTAAGTGTTTGAAATAGTATTTATACTAAGTTAAATAAAAAGTATCAGTTAAATGTATTTTTTATACATTTCGTAGCTTATTAGTGTCATGTTATTTAATAACTATAATTATTATAATATAGGAGTCATGGAATTATCGAAATGTTAATATAGCGTTTCTCACGTGTCCAACGCATAATCTGTACTATACCAAAATAATAACACAATAAAATATTTATTATTTTACACTTGTCTTTGTCACAAATCAATAGCTAGACGACACCATTACATTTATTATATATAAAGCACATTTTTTTCACAATATCACCGTTAAGGTATTTGAAAATTCACAACGCAATTTCATTTCGTACGTTAAATAAACATCTATGCCATCAAAACTATGAACTTTTGCCTTCCAACATTTGTGCACAATATTCGAGTATAGCAGGTCATTAGGTATCTGTAAATGGATATGCACAACACGATTTTACAAAATAATTAACTTATGGCACCTTTGTCCTACGCTGTTAAACTTAGAGGACGCTACTCAAAATAAGTGGGTTAAGTTATCAACAATTTTAAAGCAGATAAAGTTGTCCTCTATTTATTGTGAAAATGTAGTGATTTTACAACAATCTCAAGACTTGAGTTTTGATTCACGCAACTCTGTTTGATAAAAAGAACTGTAACTGTTTTCAAAAAATAGATTTTGATAGTCTGACAACAAATAACAACTAATAAAAATCCTCATTACTGTATTAAAAATTGTTGTACACTATATATTTAAGTTATAAATTAATATTTTGCAAAACTTGCCTATACTTTACTAGTGGATAGCGTTCTCTTAAAAGTTTTTATAATTGTTACATTGGTGACATGTTATGATATAAACGAATAGAATACATCATAATGAGTTCAAGGTTGATTGCGGTGTATAATACACTGCTTGAAGATCTCAAGTCCTCAATCGATTGAGTATAACACCTACAAGTAGGGGTGGCAGTATTCGAATAACTTTGAATAATTTTAATAATTTCTAATTGGTATAAAATTAGACTTTTAAATTTGACATCATAGGTTTTTAATGTGAAGAAGAGGGAGAGCTGGTATCTATAAAATTATAGAATTGTATTATTAAATATCAATGTACAAAACAATTTTGGAACAAAAACAACAATACATTCATATTTTGGATTCTCATTTTTGGTTTGTAATTACTTGTAATTCAATTAAGTTCGGAATTTGTATAATGTAACTCACTACACTGGATGTTTGTAATTTTTAATTAAATAGGCACTACAAATTCGTATGATAAGTGTTTTTAATTTAATACGTTCTTTGAGTGATTTGTTCACCCCTGCTTACAGATGAACCGTGCAACAAACATAAAATTAAATGTCTTATACGATTTTCTTTGTCGACCGTTCAGCTGGCCGCCGTAGACCACTTTCGACTTTTCTCGACGGGTTATACCTTACCGTGGACGAAGGAAAAAACTCAAAGTGACTTAGCACGTTTGGCCCATAGATTTTTGGCTTGTAATTATCGTGAAAACCATACGCACAAAAACTGCTGGTCGGTCAACTACCACCACCACTACCACCAGCATCGTGGCCCGTACGTGCCGGTGTGAACTAGTTAAGCAAATGACCATTTAACTTATATATTTACATCGATTTTTTTTTTTTTGTCCATGCCTATTTCCTCTGCTTCTTCCTCTTGTTCATACCATAGTCCCATATAGCCCATTGTGAAATTCGTTCTAGTGATGGTGTCGGTTTTTTTTTTCCACCGCCGGTTGCCCCTCTTGTAAAAAGTGACCGTAAAACAGCGAATTTATCTCCGGCTAGATTTCCCTCACGCCCCACAGACAAGTCTTAACAGCCGCATTCGGATCATTCACTTTGGGGCCACACTCCGCGCCATCGTCCTCCATCGTTCGTGTACCGACTTGCTTTTGCACACTTACTCGAGCACATTTTGAAAACACCCGCCGTTGTAAAACGTCTGCCGAGTCCGTTTTGCCAGTATCCATGTCGTACCCGCCGACTTATGCGTTGTCAGTGACCCTGTGGACGTTAGTCTTGGTCGTCGTGACCCTGACCGGTAAGGTGACCACGACCGTCGGAACGTCGGACGAGGACGAGTGCGTTATCGACCTGGCCGTGGTATGTCTGGACGACAAGCTGTTGGTGTATGTCAACTGGCTGGAAAAGAGGGATAAGCTTAACGTGGTCGGCGACTTGGTGACCATTGTCAAGAAGAACGGCAGCTTCGAGGATCGCACCAAAACGCCATACCAGCAACGGGTCAGCAACTCTCTGGGACCGGCCATCGACGAATACTTTGACACGCACACGTTGAGGATATCGTTACCGTGGATACTGGACGGCGACATCGATCTGGAACTCGACCAGCAAGGTAATTTCGTCATGAATGTTATAATTATTGATTTATAAAATATTATACAGATAAGCGAGTTTGTCGACGGGTGGTTAACTACGACGAGGGCACCACTGTTGACGGCGGAATCCCACATCCCAACATCAGCCCCCGTTTTTGTATCTAGTACGACTTATCTGTAGGTGAATTTTAAAATCGATGATATAATAAATAAAATATCTATAAAGGTACATCGTATACAACAACAAATATATTCAAGACATCGGGAAAACATATTTTACCTTCAGTTATGAAAAAAAATAGTAATTAAATAATTTGAACATCGTTTTTTTAGTTAGGGAAAGTGGGCAACTAATTATTGTGAGATGACATACAAATAGAAAAATCCAAAAGTAGTGACTTCGATACAAACTCTCAAACGGTGTACATGATTGCTAGCTATATCATGTGTGCAAAACGAATTCCTTACAATCGTTATTATATTATAATTCAATCAAACATCTTCTTCGTATATTAAAAATATTAAAAGTTTTACTGATTTGCAAAATGAAAATAATTTAGCGTAGAAATAAAAATGTCTCGATTAAATATTTAAATGCGAACAACCAAAATCATTTATGTTAAGATATTAGTTTGCAAAAATACTAAGTTTGTGCCAATCTAACATAAAATAATTCTAAGGTTATATAAAATCATTGAGATAGATAAAATAGCAGTATAGTTTTTTTTTACCTATATCAGTTTATACAAACTATAACATTATGTTATGCTTAAAAAGGAAAAATTCACACATTTAAAAGTCTAACTAACTATGACTCTACGATGTTTGAACGATAATTACTGTTATTTGTTCTATTTAACAAATTAACTAGGTGCTTTTTATATCTATTTAGTATTTATATATTATGTTTGTCTATGCATGTGTTTTCCATGTATACACAATAATTTATAACGCTTGTAAATTTATTGTCTGAATGGCATTGATGACGGAGTTAAACAGCATTACAGGGAATTACAATTTTGGGACAGAAGGGATTATTTGAAGCATTGAAATTTGAAAACTAAAAGGGTGTGTTTTTTACACAGTATTTATTAGTGAGACCAATTTATATTTGTATTTTCTGTACGTTTTTTTAAAAGACATAAAGAAAACTAATGCATATTGTCGGGGAGTAAATGTGGAAAATATAATTTGTCACTTTACTCATCATTTCAATTTCTTAATAAGCTTCAGGTTGAAAGTATTGAACTTATGATAATGAACTCTCGGATACTGGTCAGTCAGCTCGGATTTGTCGGTCCGAGCTGATCACGAGTTTCCACTTTCTAATTTTGACTTGTATATACAATGTATAGTAGCCATAAGGTGTCTGTTTTTTTTTTTTTCTATGACAATAATAAATCTATGTTAAAAACCGAAAACACAAACGACAAGCTTCCATTGTACCGACGATAAACTGTGACACTAGGTAATACATTAATTTGGACCGCAACGTTTTCGGATTACAATAGCGATAAATCTGTCCAAAATACCTAATACTAATATACAACAATTTCAAACGTCATTTAGAGGGAAAAATCCATGGTTTTATTGAATGAAAATCGATTAGAGATCATACCTAATCGGCCAGCGCAAAAATTATTTTAATAGACCGTAAAAGTAATTTTTTTTATCGTCATTCTTATTACTATTTTATCTGTGTATGGATAAAGGATATAGTTGGGTTAATTGAATTAAAATATTTACAAAACCAATACAGCGAAGCATAAACTATGAGCGTGGTTATCACATGACTTTGGATAATTTACAATTGTTTTTTTTTTTTCAAACTATAACCAGTCAATATGCATGCATCCTCCAATACACTATTCGGTTTTTTAAATATTCAGTCTAAAAATATAGATGCAACCGAGGTATCGCACTCGGTCAGGTATTAAACAACGTGTTTCTATCCAATAACATACTGATGGGTTTCAGCGAAAATCATATGTACCGTAAAATCATGTTAACACTTAAACCATTCATACATTTGCATGGATGGTAAAAAGAAACGGATAATATCTCATTCGGTCAATTATTATAAAAGAGATGAGTATATTTTGATTCTATCATGGAAATCGTAAGTTGTTTTCTTCTTTTTTTTTCATACTTTTCATTTACATTACCTGCCTTAGTCGTTTATTTATTTTCCAGTGTTTACTTTGGATACTAATTTTCAATATTAAAACGCCAATCAATCAACGACCGTCAGTGGTCTCTCACAACAATTGAAATTGCACGAAAATCACAATATGCAAATTGTTTGTTTAAGTTTTAGGATTCACGAGACGCTTTGAGCTTGAAGGTTAAATGAAATCAGAAAAAAACATTATTGCGCATTAACTAACAGCCGACGTGCTTCCTCGTTAGAATGACTGGCGTTATTCAATATAAGACATATTATAAAGATAGACAAACTATACAGACGAAGAGTTACTCCTTAGCCGTTGTATGCACACACAAATATAAGATATAACGGGATAACTGCTAGGTTTGGTTGTTCTTAACTTAAAGTAATTGACGCATGACGCTGACAAACAAAATATATAATTGAAATCGACATGAAGGGAAAACTTGAAAATATTCCGAAATTTGTATACAACAATGATGGCCCCCTCTGAGTTGGAAATATGTCATATTGTGAGAAAAATAAGACTGGCCAAGAGTGTAGCTGGGACACCTGAATATGCTAAAAAAACAAGAGAGACACTCCGAATAAAGTTCCGATCAAAATTCACATCTTTTTTTTTTTTTTTTTTAATACAGAACCAATGAGGGGGGACTGTTTTTCACATGAATTCCCTAACTCTTGCAGAAAACATGTTTTTTCTAATGAAAAATATATTTTTCCAAATTGGACAATCGTTTAACACATTAAAAAAAAATCCGAGACAATTTGTTTGACCTAATTATTTTCTCCGAAACTAATAAAAATGTCCGATCAAATCTATTTGTTTCGATGAGTAAAATTTGTAAAATGGATTGTTTGAGTCACAACAAATTTCTTCCAAGAAAACATTTTTTTTTTGTAGTTAAATAGTAAAATGTAAATTTTGCGAGAAACTTTCTCCTGATCCCTATTAAAAAACAACAGTGCTTAGAGTTCGGCAAATGACGTTTATGGCTATTGATTGAATGACATTTTTCAAGAACTGAGTGCTTCCATTAATTTATATTAATTATGTATGAATTATTATATATTTTGGTATATATATTAATATACCAAAATATTGATTGCAGCGTTTGTGAGTTTTACCGATGTTGATTTATTTATTATGAAACGCATTTGATTCAAATAACTTAATCGAAAATTGCTCAATTCAGAATTAAAAGATAAATTCTCAATCTTTAATTGTAGCTGTATGTCAAGATTCGAGTTGTATCAGAAAATTGCTTAAGAAGGCATCGCACCGGTTAATTTTAGTGGAAAAAACATTTTTATGCAGACTGTGTAGAACAGCTAGAACTCGCTTAAATTTGGTTTTCAAGCAAAAACACCTATTATAAAACTAAAAGAGGACAATATTTCGGAGGGCACCTCGATGCGTTAAAAAAAAAAACTGTTTTTTTTTAAAGTTCAATCATTTAAAATTATTGAAATAGTCGTTATTTCTAAACCATGTATTGAGCGTTATATTTTTGGAATACTAGAAAAACGCATCGCGGTGCTCTCCAGCATAGTGTGCTCTTTTAATTTTACGGTAGGCGCTTTTACTCTAAAACCAAAATGATGCCAGTTGTACTCAGCCTGCGTAAACATTATTACGATGAAAACAAATTTTTAAATATCTTTCAGGGTTGCTGTGATAGTCTGAAACAAATTAATTACCAAAAAAGAGTGCTAATTACTGAACTAATAATCACAGTTTTTCTTTTAAATTAAGATTTTGCAAAAAAAATTGCCTGTATCTAACTTCTTAATAAACAGCGGATATGGAGACTTGACTCCTTAAAAAGTAAGCGTGCTCCGAGTGAAATCGATTGATATTTTTCTAGGAAATTCAGTATTTTGTCGTAGGTACGCTTCTTATAATATTCAAACCATGATATAAATGTTGTTTCGTTATAAAAGCAAAAAAAATATTATTTATCGGACTACGCGATTACTGGGCGTTGAGGTACTTTCGATGTTTGTTCACGCGACCAGACTGTCGGGGAAAATGACCCGAAAAGACAACGATTCGTCCGGCCTACTAAAATAACGCCTTGTCGCCAGACAATCACAATGTACGTCCGAACGGTAATAATTATACAGATCGGTGGTAAACGAAGAAAAATTAACTAGAAAAAAAAAGAACAACAATATATTTCAACAGTTTGGTGGAGGTTAATCGGCTAGAGACGGTTGGGTTGTTTTTTTTTTTGTCGTTCGACCGCAAGGGACACACGACGGAATTCGACGGAATTAACGTGAAAGCGACAGTGTGGCACAATGGCAATAGTCTCAATAAACATTAGAGAAAAAAAAAAAAATAATACAAACGAATACTGCGGCAATTGCCGGATGCGCGATTTAACGGGGAAGGAAACGCCGAGAAAAAGGTATCGTTTGAGGTCAACGGGTTAAGCAAACACAGGCGGTCGCGGATCAGTAGTCAATAATTATTTGTCGTTTTGAAGAAAACACCTCCGGTCTGGGTAATTTAACGTCACTAATCGGTGCGAGTCCATTAAAATTGCCTACTGGGATTCCATTGTGTGCGAGGCGCGTGTTGTAGTACATAGCGGCGCGGCGCTCCGGTATAATACTCGCGTATAACAATAATTGTTCGTATAGGAATAACTACTTTTTCGCGAGTACGTCGGCCGTTGATCCACAATGATTTTTCAATTGAATATTATTATTATTGTTTTTTTTTTTCAGGACGCGGCAAAAAATCCAAACTGAAACAACTGAAGAAAATGATGTCCATGCTGGGCGTGATCATGTGCGCGAAATTGTCGCTGATGGGGCCACTGGCCATGGTCATGATCGGCGCGAAAGCGTTGAAGGCACTAATGCTGTCCGTGATGGCGCTGACCATTTCGAAAATGGTAATGCTCAAGAAAATGAAAGGAGGAGGAGGCGGCGGCGGCGGCGGCCTAGGCGGTTCGCTGGTGCAAGCCGAGTGGTCGGCCGACAAAGACGACCGGAACGCGCACCTTCTGGCCTATTCCGGTCAGTCCAAAGTGCCGGTCGGACCTTCGCAGTCGCCCATGACTTCCGCCTACCAACAGCAGTCCCAACCACTGTACCCTTCCTACGAACAATCGCCGCACGTCTATCACGGCGCAGTCTGATACGTGGAAACTCTGACGTCGCATCGACCCAAAATCTATAATCGTGTTCTTCACACAGTTCCAACGTCGACCTGGTCGAAACAATTTTTATAACGTTTTTATGAACTTTACAATCTTGTTTAAACTGCAAATACTAATACTAACCACCCGAATTATAATAAGCGTGTAGATTAACGTTAACTGTCCAAGCGGTAGTGTTTTAGTGGTAATGTGCAAGTAATGAACGAGAACGTGTGTTTTGTTTGAAAAAAATATGTTCAAAAAAATCAAATGTTAATCAAGTGAAATTGTATATTATATATTTTATAAATTAAAACCGTCACAAATGTAATTAAAATATCAAGTTATTATTATTAATATGCTTTTTTATTATTACAAAATTTATCAATATTATTAATATTGTCTACATTTTTTTTTTTTAAACAAAAGATTTTTGATTAATTGCATTCAACTGTTTTCCATACATAGAACCTTTTGTTTTTTTTTGACAGTATAAAATGTTTTTGACATAAATTAAATAACATTAAAATTATAAAATATAACGCTTGCGTACGCTAATGACATTTAGAGTTAAATTTGATAATGTATTAAATACTTACCTAAAATAAGAACTATAATTTTGGAATCGATTCGAATAAATCAATTTTTTTATAATTTATGCTAGCTTTAAGTTCAAACGTTGTAAATACCATTGTCCATTACCTATCTAATAATTGTATAATTATTATCGTTTATAGTTTTTTTTATATTTTATGTAAGGTTGTTTAAATATTATTTTATATAGTATATTAATATAGTTATAGTATATTTTTAGTACTATAATATATTGGTAAACTCAAGATTGTCCTAAATCAAAAACTCAGAGACGAAGAGCAATTTTTTAAACAAGTTTTTGCGTTGTCGACAAAATAATATGTCGGTATATTCGATCCCTAATAGCTCAGGAAGTTGAACAGATAACGGTTACTTCCCATACTCTCCCCAATTTCTCTGTGCTCAAAGGGTAGCAATATAACGGTTAAATATCCTATCAAACTTTTTTTTTTTTTACATTATGTGATCTAAGAAAAAAGTATATATTTTTATATTTGATAGTAATATTTTCATTATTTATCACAATATCTTAAATGGTCGTTGTTAAAACCTTGTTATTACTCATCGAATTTTTACATTGAGCTAATTAAATATTTATATTAGGATAAGTTAGAGGTTTTCATAAGAAAGAAACAATAATCAATTTTTTTCGAAAACGCATATTTTGTATTATATTTATATACAATACGGAATAACTAACGTTGAACTTAAGGCGCAGAAGCTACTACTAAACGTGTCTCTGTGGACAAGACGGAGTACGATAGTTTGCCTATAAAATGCCTGCACGTTGTTGTCCTCTTTAAATCGATTAAAAACGTAACATTCCATCAATCCAAATATAAGTTGTGTGAAATAAAAGAAAAGAAACAAAACCGACTTGTGTCGCGTCAAATAAAAATATAACACGTACGCATTATTGTGTTTTTGTGAGATAATAATACAGCAAAAGAGGTATAAATAAAAATAAAAAGAAGAACCGTGAGGAATCGCCGACGATTATCAACATGTCGACTTCAATTATTTGCGTGCAGTATAAAAAACAAAATGATTGAGCAAACATAAAAAATAACAAATCCGATTTAGAGTAATCAATTAGACACGCGGAACGGATCGCTGACGGTGTAAATACATTTTTTTTTTCCAACGAAATAATAATAATATTACAATTAATGGGCGTTAACGACGGACAAACGATTTACAATTTTTTACCATAACGACCACCGGCTGTGCAGCAGAATCAAGTAAATCCATCAAACGCTTTGATGATGTTTTCAGGTTTGCCGGCGTTAAAAGTGTCAATGGAAATTGACCATGCCATGTAGTTCGGCAGGCAAGTCAAGTGAAATCGGCTTTTTCGTCTTTGGTCTGTATGAGTTATAGGAAAATGTATTTAACGACAATAAATTAAGGAAAGTGTTTTATGTACACATTATTAAAGCTGAGATAAAGTTACGTTTCAAAAATGTACTCACCGTTTCTTTTGGAGACGGTAAGATATGTTCTATGAGAACAACGCCTAATTTCCTCTATCATAATTTATACGGTATTATAAATACCCATTAAGCGCACTAAGTTTGTTTAAATCTTTTTTTGAACTAACTAGTAATTTGAAAAAATATATAACTTGCGAGTCAATCGGGATTAAATGCTACTAAAGCTCTTTCGGATGCGAGTGGTAACGGGCGGCCAAATGTGACCGTTACACTATGAACCTATATACTAATATGAATATAACGTTTTCAATGTTAAAATATTCCCTAAGATGTTTCATAGGTTTTAGTGATTGTAGTTCCCGATAAAAGTATGTGAAATTCGCATAATATTGCATCATAAATAACTGTATGTTCTAAATATCATATTATACACCAGTCGTTACTTGTTAACCAGTCTAAAAAAACAACAAACCACTATGTAGGTATCATGAATGTAAAACAACTAATATAAATAACGCACAAAGTAGTGAAGGCTTCTTGACAAACATAATTAGTCTACGAAATCATTACCAAAATAAATAAATAAATAACCAAATGCTGTTGAAAAAGGAATTTTCTTTTAGATTAATACAGAGACATAAAGAGAAGAAGGTGGATGTTATTAAGATATGCATTATGTTGAATGAATGAAGAAATAATAATTATTACAGAGCAGAGAGAGACAATTTGGCTGGCCATTTCGCATGAGATAATTTGGAGAAAAAAAGACAGAAGGTCAATTTTTTAAGTACCAATATTGGTGAATGTCCAGTAAATAACTGTATTTTCGTTTTATGTGCTTTTTCGTCAGCGTCGTTAAATTGTTTAGTATATTAAATATAATATTTAACACGTTAAATATTATCATTAACTTGCGGTGCCGCGTGATGGCCGTTTTACGAGCGAATTGATAGAAACTGACCGGGCATTCAATTCACCGTTCGCACAACTGTTGAAAACCGGCTTTTGGTTATTGCTTAGCCGCTTTAGTCGTCCGTCGTCATCATCGTCGTCGAATATGCTCATCGCAAAGCTAGGTCAGATCTAGTTATGATGAAGAGAAATAATTAACTGACGTCGGTGTACGAGTTACCTCCAAGGCGTGTAAAAACGATATCAACTAAATGGATTGGATAAAACAGGACATTTCCTTATGACTCTGACATATAAGCCGGAATGTGTTTGAAAACGTTTTCCTAAAGAGCAATACAATCATTTGTAACACTAAAAATATAATACAATATTCCATTGTCCCACGGGTTGAAGAGTCACTTAAAGTTGGGTCAATTCATAAAAAATCATTCAGCCCGGTCGCTCGACTATGTCAATATTTTGTATGTACGTTTTATTGTTACACTAAGTATAAGAATGAAAAATAGTCAGTTTTTTTCTTTAAATTAAAATTTGAAAAAAGATTCAAAATTAATAAAAAAAATAATGATAACGACTTATAAATTTTAGACTACAAATTTATAAATTTAGATTTGTTCAACAAACAACCATTATTAAGTGAAGGTATACACTTTATAGAAGCCAAATAAATATTTTTTTTAATTTAATTTTCTTTTAAGTATATCTAACCTATTGTCCAACTGTTGATTTTCAGTTCAAAAAGGTAATATTGACCAAAGTTTTTTCGTCGATGGAGTGGTTTTAAAAATTCATTTTTTCTCAATTTTATTTTGCTGTATTCTTATTACATTTTGACCATGTTTCAAAATTTAAATTCCAATTGTCTAGTTTCTTAGAAGCTTACACTTTTCCAAAATAATCTACCTGTGCATTCTGACCTCGAAATTGTTTTATTATTGTTTATTTGAATAATAAATAGTAATTAATTGAATATTAATATTTTTACGATGTACAGCTTTGTATTGAAGCGTTTTGTTGGAAGGTCAACGTATTGTTCTTCTTCAACAATGTCCAACAAATTTGCTGGATAAGTTTAATTAATGCCTGCTAAGGTTGTGCTGCTAACTTTATGAAAATGGAAAATCTCGTTTAGTTCTACCAATACCTATAATCGACCCGAGCCAATTTTGTTCCGTCCCCACAATGTTAGTTTTTTCTATAGTTAACTTACGTGATGATATTTGATATAACCACTTGCCAGAATTTTTCGATAAGCATTATGAGAGGTCAAAATAAAAAGCTTGTTTACAATGGTCATTATCCAAATATATCTTGATTAAAAAGTGTATAAAATTGCCGCGTAAACAAGGTTATATCTGATATACCCCGTGAGCCCATTTTAACGTTTAAGGAAGAACAATTTTCTGTCTTTGAATTAATCAAACTGTCAGACTCTCCTCTGCAACAACAAAAAACCGTTTAAAATGATACAACAAAAATTATTTGACAATGGTTAAATAAAAATAAATTTATCATCTTTCAGATGATGGCGATGACAAAATATGCCGTACTTGCAGCTGTCGCTGAAATTTTATTGATTTGACCCGAATAAAATAATAAAGTTAGTATTGACTTTAGTATATTATTCTATCCATTAAATCTCATTATTTGGTTATCGTAATCGATATACGAGAAAAGGCGCGGAGAAAACGTGGGCGGTTAGTAATCAATCACCTTTAGGTACAATATTAAATTGGTTTGTTAATTCGAAACGTGACAAGACAGCTTTTTGGTATATTGGTCGAATTCTTAATGTGTTTCCAATGGAGTAATAATTAAAAACTAGCCCACGCAGGTCACCAAAACAGACCTGTGTCAAGTGTCAAAAGGAAAACACAATATCAATAGGTAGTTATATCTACTTTGAACAATATAGCAAGAACTTTTTTTTTAGTTAACATGTTCGCTTTTAATGTTGTTGGGAGTTAACGGTAATTTCAATGATCACAATAGAAACCCACCTATTCAAACAGTCTTCTCTTCATCTAAGTGCTCTACACTTTTTTAAGATAACAAGCACTAGAATTATGGTTTGGCTAGGTTATCCCGAATAATAACGTCAGTTCATAGTTTGCTGCAAATGACTGTAGAAAGGTCATTACAGAAAACGGTTGTAATTGTGTTGATGCAATATTAAATACGACCTAACATTAAACGTTTGAAGCTAAATTATAGTTCTATTTTGAAAGCATTTTATGCTATCCTTTCGAATAACATTCAAAATTATCATCATAACCGGTGAGTATAAGTGACCGCTTTATACGCTTAGTTTTTGCTATAGTTTTGAATATACACAGCGAATAATTATGGAATAATAATAAATCTTGTAAGTCGGCAGTCAGCGTTAACCAATTCAAAACGTTTCTGTTAAATATAAATATATGATCTAGTCGGAATATGATCAGTTGTATGTCAGCTATTTTTCAGTAGTTTCCTTAAAAATGACTACAAACCAGTTTCGGCCGACCGGAAACAAATATTTGTTAATCGATGCGCATTGTTCCTTATTTACAAAAAAAAAAAGAAATGTATAAAAATAATAACATTTGAATGAAGTCGTTGCGCATTATTAATACTTTTAAAACACTGTAGTGGTCTGGCACATCATAAATAAAATGAAGTCATTACTCGTGAAGATCATGCACAGACTTACAATACTTCATAGAACATCGATAGCAGCAGCCAAATTGGCAGGTGGCAGCCCATTAAACTCATATTCACACCATTTGTTGTGTAGGTTTTCGATACATAATATTATATTATTTCTATGATAAAAACATTTACATGATTTATTGTTAGGCTTATAACTTTATAGTAATTGAGCTATTCGATTATTTGTTCTTTTTTTTCATAATTAGATACAAGTAAATTATACAAACTATTATTTTTATTAAAAATTTTAGTTATTGTAAAAAAAAAACATAATGTAATACTTATAATATAAAGTATATATTTTTTTTAATATTTCAATTTAGAAACTTTTATCTATATTTTAATTTTAATATATTTATTTCGTTAAAAAAGTGCAAAGCACTTCAAATCATAATTGATGTGAGAAACGTAAATCATTTTTAAAATTATATCTTTACATTAAAAATAATGGCATTTTATACATCTAAGTATAAGCACAAATAATTATTGAAGTTTTGTTAATGTTATGGTTTTCTTAACATACTGAAATGCTTTATGTACTTATTCCGCGCTGCACTTAGGTTAAGTTAAGTACTTTATGGATAACTGGAAAATATATCTTAGACCCAACGTATAAACTATAGTGTGCCTAATGCAAAGCATATTCAAACAATTTTAAATCATGTTGGTTTTTAGTTTTCAATCAATGTAGTTAGTAATTATTTTTAAAAAACAAGCACACTTGGTTTGTAGAAACTAGTGACTGAAAATTTACAAAAATGTTTAGTGGGTTACACGATCTATCATTAGTTTATTTTTGTATTCCGTAAATATCCAAAAACAACGATAAAAATAATTATTGTACTTATATTTATATTTTAAATGTGTATAGTATTATAAATATATATATTTTTTTAATATTTACACTTTAAAAGATTTAATGATATTCTTCATTTTTAATTACATACCGGTAGAGTTAACTCTGACTTAATTAAGAGTTGAAAATCACAATTTTCTACTGGGTTATTTAGATTTTAACGGAAAGGGGTGAATTTTTCAACTTTTTTGTTTTTTTAAATTTCTTTAAAGAGTGATTTGAGATTTCTGATGAGCTCGCGGTCCAGCCGTTAAAAGCGTTTAATAAAATACAGTTAAAAAACACACAGGTCACAGATCTCTAAACGTTAATGACATTTCTTTAACAGAACAAAAAACACGGATGTTCCCGTTAAGTCATCATGACGGTCATTGGAACTCGTCGGGAACTTCCATACATTTTTTACTGTTGGTGTTCTAGTGACGATTAGGTGAAATGTCGAAAAAAAGTACCCATGACTTGCGTTCGGTATCAGATTGGTTAAAAAAAATTGTAATTTTAAAATATAGAATCTCATTCGTTTTTAACTAAGATGATACTTTTCGCTTTGGTGGCCCCGCGACATGGTGAACGATAACAATAATTAAACAGCTCGCACTGGCCAACGTTGTACTTGTGATATTTATATCAGAATCAAAGTGTGACCGGATGCACTATGTCGTGAACAAATTACAAAATAATTGCACTTGTATACCATACATTGCATTAGAGCTGCACATTAGGTAAATAAAAACATCTTTACTAGGTCTGTTAAACGGCGCAGTTAGCGTGTTAAAAAACAAAATAAATACTCTGGCTTTCTTACCGCCGTAGTTGACCGCGACGGGGGAGCCTCTTCGCCTGCACTGCCAGCCGCGGTTGTTGCGCGAGTCCTTTCTCCTGTGCCCGTCGCTCTATGGTCTGTCCGCCGTTTGGCCGTGGCACAGTACACGGAAACTTTTCTGTTGGACCGGTTTCCATTTCATTGCCAACACACTCAAACCAACGTGTGTTGTGGCCCGGATAATGTGTTCGGTTTCCCTTCTAAACATATTTAAATCTACTGTATTCGCGTGCCAGGAAACAACACAATAACTGAATAACGTATGGAATTACATTTTTTCGGATTTACCTAACCGGTATGGTCGTCTCCCTAATATTGAGGATCTGGGTCAAACACACACTGTGTTTTACCCAAACGATACGGCCGGCTCTACAGCCGTCTTCCAGATGGGCAAACGTTTAAAAAATACAATAACTGATAAATCATTTATCCAGTAATGTATTTATCGACTAACAATAATAGATAATTTTTTATTCGCCAACAACATTACTTGTAATAATTTTTATTTAAAACCACCCGTTCAATCGGAGCTATCACAATATTTTAAGTACAATATCAAATATTTATCCATACCGTGTTTTTCGCAAGAAACACAAACGTTTAACTAATACTTTCTAATTACTATTTTTAAAACCTCAAACAAGTCTTATGTTATTTTCTACGTAAACCCTAAGAAACATTAGAAAATAGTAGTGTTTATAAATTGCTGGGTGGGGCTGATGACTTTTTTTCAAGACAGATTTTGATTACATTTGTTTTCTAAAAAAAACTTACTAAAGCGTAGATAAACAATAATTACTATACCTAGCTAAACGTTTAACACTGTGTACATCTAGTCGTGACTTATCCCAAAACGGCTACTCATTGCACTCGTTAGTACAGCTTCACGCCTCTCAGGTCTGTTGTTTTTGTTTAAAGCAATAATAAAATATATATATATATATATATATGATGCGCTTCTCAGAACAATATTACCTCTATCATATCTTATCCTTTTGAACCGACAACAGACGTTAATAGAATATACCATATATATTTTGATATGAATAGAGTTGCTCGCGGCTGATGAAATGAGTTTGTAATTTGTTAAACGATATTATGTATCGGATTATTATACTTTCATATACTTACGTCTACAGTGAGTTATTAACAATATAGTATGCATATCATTTTTCTAAACTAAATGACCATGTCAATAGATCATTCTGACTAATAATACAATGTTTCGCCTAATTTCTATATAAAAAAAAAAACACATTATAGTTATTTGAATTACAACACCAAATGTAATGTATTCAATAGAGGCAACAAGAAAAATATCAAAAAGCCCATTAGAGTTATAGACCGAAATTCTAAAGGGACGTGCGATTGTTCATAGACAACAATAGATTGAAAAATATTAGACCTTTTGGTTGTTTGATATTGAATGCCGTTATTTATACCACATGATATGGATCTCTAACCAGTCGGCTAGTTTTCTAGGATTGCTATAGTAAAAGACATAGTTAATAAAAAATATGTACTAATAAGTAGTACTATACTTATACACTAGTAGATTAAAATAGTGTCTTGTAATCCAGACTTATAGTTTTTGAAATTGTGTTTACGGTTTCTAAACACTATTTAGTTGTACTAGTTTATTACTTATTAGCCACTAGAAAATTCGCATGCTAGTAGAAAAGTCTACAACACTGGATGTCTAAACTTAACATCAATAGCCTCTTAGTATGTTTAACTATAGATTAGAAGTAAACACACTAATATGTTTGTGCATTTTAAGATTAGTTTAGTGAATCGGAGAAAGAAATGATTCATTAAACCGGGAAGTAAACATGACCACAACAAAATATTCTAATAGAATTGAGATAAGAAAAACCATTTTCTGCAATGGTTCATCAACGAAACCGTAGGCGTGAATGAAATTAATTAAAATTGTGTTAGTATAATTGTATTATAATTAAAAATAAGGATTAAATAGAAATAGAAATTCGAGGGGAAAACATTTTTTTTTTATTTTACTTATTTTGCAAATCTCGTGTAATTAAAATAATTTTTAAGGTTAATTGATACGACTTATTATTATGGAGAGTTAATTTACTTATATTTGCGGCAAAAAAATAAACTGGTTTCATGACTTATAATACTGAATTATTTTCACCTCATATCGTCCACAACCCACATTCTATTACTAAAGCCTGATGTGCTATTTTCCATGTCAAAATTTCGCTATTTTCAATGAATTTCGCTATGTAATCACTCCTACTAAATTTTCTCTGAAAAGTAAATGATCAGTTGCATAAAGATTAATTCTTATTATTATGTACTAACTAGTAACATCAATGCTAGGCGTTATCTATAGTTTCACTAGGGTTTAAAATCACTGTCATTGTTTTTTGTAACATTCTTCGTCAATAATAAATTGTAACTAAATACGAATCACTTTATTGCATTGGTGTCTTTTTTTTTTTTGTTAAGCAATATAAACTATAATCCGGCGAAAAAATCTTAAAAATTGGGGGGGGGGGGAGATCGAGTGAGGTAAATTTAAATGCAAATTTTAAATTAGATAATTAACAGTTATTATATTTTATAAATTTCTTTTAATTTATTGTATTATACAAATAAATAAAACACAATCATTTTTGATTTTTTTTTCTATTCAGAGCGATCTATTTAATGTAAGATATTAATTTTCTTGGAAAACTATTACAATTTTATAGTTTTTCTTTTTAAAAACATTTAAAAAGTTTGATTCTAATAACTTTAAAATAATAATAAAACTGGTTATCGATAAGTTAACAATTCTAGCAAATCATTCTTATTTTAAAAAGTTACTTAAATGTTCCCATAAGTCTCAAAAGTTAATAGCGCTCTAGAATATACTAAAAAAAAAATGCATACTTGGTAGTTTTATAATAATGTATAATATAGCATAAGTAAAAATGTTTTCAAAAAAACTACATAATTGTAATTATTTTCCAAGAAAATTAATCTTATGTTAAACGAATAACCTGGTACAAAAATTGCATTTTCATATTTAACTCTATTTGTTTTAACAGTCCTACTTACTCTACACATATTTATTATTTTTAGTGATGATGCTACTAGGTTGTTACTAGTTTTCTATTTTGTAAAAAGTAATTTAATTTTAACCTTTATATCATCGGGAATATAGTTTATATATGTATAAAAAACAACATTTTAATGAATATAAGCACATTTATTTAAAGTATCTCGTTTATATTATTTATACATTTATACAAAGTAACGCGTTAAAAAATTTAAAAAAACATGCAAACTAAAATAGTGCTTTAAAAAAAAAGTACATTACTTACTCATTGTTTAACCATGCGTTGATAATATATTAATTCGCGACCGTGTTAACGTATATTGTGTATAATTTTGAAAAGATTCACTGCTTTGGATGAATTGGAAAACGTAACAACGGTAATTTATTCAAAAATATTCTGACCGAAAAATGTATACATTATGAAATTAGAAACCAAAAAAATAAATAAATAATAAAATTACGCCGACAATAATTTATTTATTTTGTAGTTCATGTATCCCTATAACTTTCGAAATATTTAAATTGCAGTTAAACTAAATTTGATGATAAAACAAATCGTGCATCTTGAATAAAAATGATATACTTCATAAGTTTATAATAACGAGGGAAATTTTAGGAGGAGGAGGAAGGTGTTTTGCTTATATCTTGAGTTGTTTTTTTTTGCTTTTTAAAATTGGCCCCTTCCATTAATAATTTCTAGATTTACGCCTTTATAGGATAATTAGTTACCACAATCCGGTATGTATTCGCTCTTTGTATATAATTGGCCTACATTTTAATTCCCCATAATATTATAATACTATGTGGTTTCGCGGTAAATCAATAATTAAAGAAATTAACGTTTACTACGATAAGAACTAATGATTTTCTAACAAGTAATTAAAAAAAAATTGTCAATGTAAACACTTTTTTTTTTAATTATTTACATTTCTTAGTTGTTATTACTAGAATATTTTATAGTAATGTACCGTCAAGTTTACTAATTACCCTAAATGTTAAACTTGCGCGATAATCATACTACTTAACATACTTATTTATTTTTCTACAGTCATACAATTTTACTTGGCTGTTGATATAAATAATTTACTACAAGTATTTAATAGTCGTCTACTGGTCCGTACTATTGGTACACTTATCTTTGTACAAAAACTTGCTTAGGAACTAAGACTGTACATTTATTGTACATATTTTTTGGGGGAAAAATCAATTTGATATGTAGTTGAATAAATATTTAATGTTGAATACACTACTACCTAAAATATTGTAGTAAATATTTTAGCTATATTACAGTTGTGTCAGTCGTGTAATTTTATTATAGTGATCACAAGTAACTATATAAATATATATATATATTATATATATGATATGACTACGAGTGTAGAATATTATATAGCCATTAGGGCAACCAATTTATTTTGATTAAACAGTCAAGTATATGCATCGAACGAGCAACTTGTTTACTGTAAAATCTGTTTTTGGACCCGTTTTATAACTGTTAAATTATATTTGTGTTCGCACAGCGATATTATATAAATCATAATATCGTAGCTACAGCGATTATACACAATATTTTTTTTTTACACATGTTTTATACTCACATTTTTTGTTTTTCTACAAAAAACATCTTTTTCAGTAATTAAGCCAGTCGACGCAACTGGATACCATTTTAATTAAAACATTACATGTAATAACCGTTATTTTGTAATATATCTACGTGACATTATGTCATTAATTATGAAATAATTAATAATCTCCTTATTGCTCTTGGAACCGTTGGAGACTTCACTCAATTTCTGTTCTATTGCTATTTTATTTCTGACAATCTGACTCATTTTTTAAAGACGAAATATAGGTAAATTTTGGAAGAAAATGTTGTGTGTTGAAATCACGTTTGTACTAATCATTTTGACGACCTCTAATTTTTGGTATAAGTAACGGTCGCTGTGGGGATCAATTTTAACCAGACGGATTTTACACGAGAACAATCCAAGATATATTGTCGATTAATCATTAACGTTGATTGACGATGGCGGTCAACGACGGTTATGTTGAAGAAAATGCACCATTAAGTAAATTATCTCTGACGATTTCTCTAAATCGTACACCCCCGTGTATATTACACATACATAATATTATATTAAAATGATCGATGATTGCCAAAATATATAATAACGTATCATCTCGTGAAGCGATTACTTTAGCGGTTTTACGCTAACTCATTCCGTCTCGAATCGATAAATATGTATACCTACTTAATAACACATACCGTGTATGCTGGTGGCATTTTAACGTCATTAAAAGCTTTAAACGTCTGCCTGTTGTTACAGTTAATGTGTGTAAAAAATTAAACCTAGTTGATATAACCTATACGTGTTGTGAAAAATGGAATACCGGACAATTTTCGAATGCCGGGTCACTTTCCAATCTTATGTAGCCGCAGCCACTCATCATCATCATCGTCGTCTTCTGATGATATTTATTTCTTATACACCGATGCGGACGGGTTATTGTCCGTATGATTATTATCGTCAGTTGTAATTCCAACGATTACTGAAAAAAAAAAAAAATGAGGGCACGTGTATTCCTTCGATTTTGCATCACCGCCGTGGCAATTTATAAGTACAATAATAGATATATAGAAAACGTGCGAGTTTATTCTATTTGGCTTTTGTGCACAAATATTATTTTAAAAAAATAATAAAACAAATAATCGCTGTTTGTGCAATTATCTTGTTCGCCGGAAACCCAAGTACCACTTGTTTGATTTCAAATGGTTCGTGTAGATCGTTGTGATCAATGCTAGCTTACCACCGGACATCAGTGGCAGATTTTAGTGAGGAATGACTTGGCGTTTTGTCAAAATGATTCGCCTGCACCTTAATAGGTTTATAGCAAGCAAAAAAAAAAAAAATCGGGTGTGGCTACCACTAAAGCCATCCCGAAAAAATACCGCACCACTTCAAAACAATAATTGTCTAGCGGTTTTTTTTGAAATTTAACGAATAAGATTCTCAAACATTATTGATTAATGGTTACAATTCATAATAATAACAATATAGATCATAGTTTACAGATAAAGTGTATCTACATCAATATAGAAACAAAGACCAAGAGTTAAGAGTATAGTTTGAATAAAACTTTTTATCACTAACGTTGATAAACACATTTGTTTATTCCTTCTTTTATTAAACATTTAATGTTTACTAAAATATAAAATTGATTTTTTTTTAATAAACTGTACCTTCATTCTACAACAATACACCCTTGTAAATTTTGAAGACCAAAATAAAGATAATGTTTTTTTTCTAGTTGTGTTAAAAATGTTGAATAGTTGAAGCAAGCAGGCTATAATCACTAATAACGTTAAAAAAATGGCCAATGCTGTATTTCTCTATAATGTGTGTCGTATTTATCAATGTACATGCGATCAAAATAACCAAATAGTTTTTTTATTTCATATGACCAAATAGTTCAAAATAATTCGGAGACCAAATGTCTATAATATGTTGCCCAAAATAGACTGCGGATTCTAGGTCCGAGGGCTTTACCTGAAAAACTGTTTAATGGCGAGCAGCGACGTTAGGTTTCAATATATTAAGTTTACGTTAAAACTTTTTTATCGCTTACATTTTTCAGTTGTTAGTCTGTAATTGAAACACGTATGTCTCGATAAACTACAAAGGAAACGTTTGTAAAATATTTAAACGACGAATAACTTTTTTACGACCGTTATAACGATCATGCGGCTTACTGTGAATCCGCCCTCTCATCGGTTAACCTCTGTATCCGCCACAGACCTACATTACCGGCGTAAGTATGAGTTGTAGCACGTATCATTTGACTGTCAATTTAATTTATTATCCATCTGCGCAAAAAAAAAAAATGGGGTAGCTATAACTAATAGCGTAAACCTACTGTACCTTATGAGCGCAACGGTGACTAAACTGTTTGGTTGGGCCGACTCGCTTTCAGAGAATGTGACTATTCGGCGAGAGGAACCGATTTGTTGTGTTTGTCAGTGAAATGGTAATAATATAAATTCATATGGTCGGACACATTCCGACTAAAACAACACACTTTGTCATCTGAATAAATTGGGTTGTCGATTTTAAAAGTAAACGACGCCGCTCGGGTGAAAGCTTTCATACGACGGAACGGTAACGGACGGTGACTACTTCTGAAATAAATGATACGTGGACCATAGTGTATGCAAATTGTCTGGCAGTAGCCTATTAATGGGCGTTACGATTTTTTTGTTAATCGAATGAATTCATCATAAAAAAAAATATATCTACGAACGCTATTAGGGCGAAATCGAAAAACCGCACGTAGGCCTACCAAGCGCTATGCGGAAATCCGGATTATCGCGGCGTGGTGCGATAACCGTAATCGGGCGCCGGCAGAGTCAAGTCCGGAAGAAATGCGCGGACGCGGCGAAGATACGACGCGGCCCGTTTGAGCGGTGAAAGAGGAAGAAGAAAACGAAATTGAGTCCGTCGGGCAAAACGGGGTCACAGCCGGGCGGACGTGGGGGCACACGGCGCGCGCCCGCACGGCAAAAAAAAAACCGGTGAGCTTCGTCGGCCCGCCGCACTTGGTCAGTGCGATGCCAACAGTGTCAGCGATCGCTCCGTCGTCGTCGTCGTCGTCGGTGTTGTTATCATGACGGCCGCCGTGCAAGTGTCGTCGCCGCCGCCGCGGCTACTCGCGTCCGCCGCGTTCCTGTCGTGCCTGTTCTGGTCCGCGTCTACTACTACCGCCGACCACTTTAACGCCTCGCTGTCGGCCAGCGGCAACGCGCTGTGGGACGATCTGTTGGGCAAGTGCGACGGTCCCAGGACGACCATGGACTGCGTCCGCAGCAGACTATACAACTACGTGAACGGCACGTTCGACGGCGACATCAGCGTCACCGACGGCATCAGGTTCACCAGGAACGCCAACGACTACGAGGCCCTGTGCGCAGGTTCCGACAACGGCACCGTGCCGCCAGCCGGCGCTTACAGACAAGCCAGGGATTCGCCGAGTCCCGCTGACGCAGAAGAGGTAAGGAGAACGCACCTGCTATCGGGGGGTCGACCAAACGTTTTTTTTTAAACTTACGTTTAAGCGTAAGAACTCTATTCGTCGGAAAAAAAAAACACAAAGATTTAAAATAGCCAACCCATACAGTAGTGATGCGGAAGTGTTCGATTTGAATTTCGAGTAACTGGATAATTCGAATTCTTGTAATAATATTACCATGATACACACGGTATTCACGATTACCATAAACATGAACATATTACACTATACTAAACAGTTAAACAAGTAGAACGGCCTGTTATGGAATTCGCCAACCGGTAGTGCAATGCATAACCGACGGATTTGGAGGGCTTTAACCCGACCCGGGTATGTTACGGTTTTCAAAACCGGTCGTTGTACGAACGAGTTCTTATCGGTCCATCGGGTTTTTTTATTGTTTTATTAATATCTTACTTACACCATGTCGTTGTAAGATTACGCGAAAAGGTCGAAACACGCGATTAACCGATTAATTGGTCACTGGTTTATTTATTTATTTTAATATAATTCACAGGCGAACAAAGTGGAAGACGACCATTGGTCGCATGTGACCGATTCGCTGTACGACAAAGGCGCCAAATACTTGATGACCCACGACTTTGAAGCCTCTGTGCCAGGTTTTTTGAGTGGCGGTCCCGGAGCTAAGGTCCGGTTGTCGCCCAAGAATATCTTGCCCGATGGCGGCGTCATACTCAGGATGGATTTTCTGCCGGCGGTCACTGGCACCCAAAACCAGAAAGAAGATAGGGCGCCGAGATTCCTGCACAAGAAAATGAGTAAGCATAAAATCCATCGAGTCGATAACAATAATCATTAATCGTTATTCACATTACTTATGCTGTGCGTCTCGCTTACGTGCAAAACTAGGTATAGTATGTGAACACAAAACCTAATAAAACCTTTTTAGTTGGTAAAACATATGCAAAAAAACACACGCTACTTGATCTTAAGTTATCCATAATTACTGCAACCTAATGCATAAGAATAACGTTGAATCCAAATGAATTTTTATTGTGGCCAAATTCAACTGGTCTTAAATAATAAATAATTTATAAAAAAAATTATGTATATTATTTATAAAAAAAAAAAATTCACAAATGTGTATTATATTATCACATTCAAATAGGTAATTTCTGGTCTCGGCCCAAGCCGTCTTCACGTTACAAATTTCCTGGTTGGTATTTTTAAGAGTAGGCTAATCTATGTACACACCAAATGAACAAGTAATTTACTGTTACAAAAAAAAAAAAATAATTATAATGCAAAGTGAACTTAAATCGAAACAGTAGTTTCGAATTTGGATTAATTTATTTAAAATATAGCATTTGGTTTTTTTTTACTAACTAATCTGTCGATTGTAGGGGAATAGTTTTTTTAAGCAACTACACGTGTTAACCTACCGATGAGATATGTTTAATTTAAACATCATCCGAATAGTTTTTACGCCAGAATTCTTTTAACTTCATAAAAAAACTATTGTGTTAATATCATTAAGATGTTTTCTATAAGAAATGATTTAGTCGAAATGTCCAATTGTAATATGTTCTCGATTGAGGCGCGCGAAATACCATTAAAAAGAGAAAATATGATGGCGTGCGAGGGACCTTGAACTTGTTGTGGGCCAAGCGGGCAAGACGAATCCGACATATTGTGTTAATCGTCGGTCGGCTTCGAACAAACTATTACAAACAAAACCGTGATCTTCAATGATGTTTAACTTTTATTTGAACTCTTCGGCCTACCCGACCTAACCCAACCGTTAATGTTAAAAGAATATGATCTCGATTAATATTACAGTCTTATGTTTAAGCTTATATATAATTCTGAGCGTTGAGGCGATATTTTTATTCGTTCAAAGTTATGGAAAGCGAACAAATACAGTCTCGAAACTGGTGACGATATTTCAGTTGTTGTGTGCCTAAGTATTTTTATTCATGCGTTTTTTTTTTGTTGTCCCTCGAATTAATCGAAATGCATTGGAAAGTGGACGCATTACAAACCCAAGTACGCACGAATTCAGTTGTGTCTTCTGCGATTTAAATAGTTAAATAAACGACGTCTGGTTCGTGCCCGACGTTGTCGAGGAATAACAAAATGACTAGAATAACAAATGTGCAACAACGAGAACAGCAGAACACAGTAAATTAAATGGATCTGTTTACCCAAGTGCTACGTTTCAAGTAATAATATTCAAGTGTTCTGACTAAAATCATTTTCATCTGTCTTTTATTTAAATCAAACAAGTAAAAATGAAAATATACTTCTGCAAGATAGTTAAAATTTAAAATATAGTCATTTCAATTCACCTGAAAATACGTATTTTCATTGGTCGTTGGTGGGTTGAGCATTGTGATTAAAATTGTTGATTTCTACAGCGTAGAATCTTGTGCTTATGTTGCTTGTGCTTGGCCCGCTTGTGTTTATTTTACAAAGGAGCAAAATATAGGTAATATTAAAGAAAGAATTAGTTTTAATAAATTTCGACCATGTCAATTAATTTTCTGGTTAATTCGTACAAGCTTCATGGTATTATTTTTAACGTATCCAATTTTTTCTGAGTAATATATATTTTGGTGGTAAAAAATGACTACGCGGAAAATTCTCACATCTCGTAAAAGTATAATATATTTTAAGCTGACTACAACATTTTTTTTTTTTTTTTTTTGAAAAGAGGAAGACTTTTTTACAAAGTGCATTGGACTTTGATTTTTGATTAAAAACTGAGAAAATAAATGTAAAAAACTTGTGTAAATTGGTCATATTCAAACACTTACTATGGGGTCCAATGCACCATGTAGGAAGTCTTCTTTTCAACGAAAACAAAATTATTGTAATCATATTACTCTATTAAGTGTGAGAGTTTTTTTTTTTTTTGTAAGGCATGTTTTCAACCATAAAACCGGATTGCGCACAGGACCTTTAAGGTCACGCTTGAGAATACATCAGGAAAGTGTCTTTATACTTAAAATTAACATTACTAAACTTTAATGTATCATAACAGACACAAGTAGTTCACGGTCACAACCAAAATATTCATGACATTATAATAACAATAATAGTTAATTAATTTCTATTATCATTATAAAAATACTTTTACTCTAACAATGTTTATAAAAAGAAAGTAAATCGTTTCCGTGCTGCGAGTTGGCAATTAAAAACAAACATGTTAATTTTATACTTAATTTTACACTTGCTTGGCTAATTAATGGTGGGCCGCAGGTGAGTGGCAAGTAATATAATATAAACGCACTGTTGTTGTACACACCGATGATTTTCCATAGCTGTTTATTTATTTTTTTAATATTCTAGTATATACTTATATTCATGTTGTCGCGGCTAGTATTGAATTATATATTATTATTATTTTTATTACTATTATCTATTACCGTTTGGCGGCGACAAAAATCACAGCGGTTCCGGCGCTTCAATCGGCCATACGCCGAATTAACGTTATTAATTTGAAATCACCAGTGCGTATCGCACACACACACACACACACAAACACACTTGACCATAAGCATCATCATGGCGTTTCGAATGTATTTCATTAACCTAAATAATAGCATAGGAAAACGTGTGTTGGGCCACAGACAGAGTGATAGAAAAAAATCACTACCTACCTACCTCGGTTTTCGGTGTACAATATAATATACGAATGGATGGATGAATAAAAAAAAAACATTCAAATGTATTAGACGGTGTTATTGTAGTGTTATATTAGAACACATCACGGATGATTAATGACAAGTTACCGCTTCGCCGTAACATTATTCATCATAGTTCGTGGTAGGTATACAGCCGTTAAGATGCTTAAGTAATAGAGTCCGTGTAGTATCAATTAGTGAGTATAGTCTTGTCTGGTGTACGCGTTGTCACTGTAATTACATTGTAACAGGCTGTAATATTAGTATCTACAATTTAAAAGCATCGTCGTAAGTATTAATTGTGTAAAATGTTCGCAGAGCAAATGTTCAAAAAGAAGCTCCTCACCAGCTTTCTGGCGCTGTTGCTGATCGTCAAACTGATCAAAATCAAACTGTTTTTCCTGTTGCCCCTCATCGTGGGCGTGGGGACCGCCAAAAAAATTCTACTCAAAGTGCTGCTCCATCTCTTCCCGCCGCTCTCGCATCTGTTCAAAATGTGTTCGTACTATCATCATAACGCCGCCAAATTTCACTTCCATCATCACAAGGTAATTGTAACGAAATGGCCTATAGGATGAGCTGTTGTAAATCATGAACACGGACCACAGTGTCCGTGTAAACACTCGTATTCGACTGAACGGTTGTCCGTGTTAACATCCGTACTTCACCACTGACCGTCTGGTATCCTTTTGTGCTTAATACGCCTAATACCATCGAATTAGTCGGGTTTAACGAAGCCATTGGCTCGAGAACCCAATAGGTTTTGTTCAAACGTTTTCATGACCAATGTTGTTTTTATCGACAGAGAAAATGTGAACTGCTATCAACGCACGAGTAATTTTCAATTAAACTATACCAATCGAACGATCCGACAGAGAGTCTATGCCTAAAGTCTTAGGATCGCATTAAATCTGAGTAAAGGACAACAGTATAATTATAGTATATTATTACATTGAACGGCTACATAGTTTTAAATGAATAACACTGGAGATCAAGGTCATTAGAAATCGTATTTTAATATCCTCATAGTCTCCCAGTTAGTATTTACGGCCTCGTTGATCAATTCTGTCAACATATTCGATTGCCGTTGAATGTTTATTTCAAACACGGTTAAACGTGTTTATTCTAATCAAACGTGTTAGCCGTCCATTCATCTAAAAATCAAACCGCTCGCAACACTTGCGATTATACATAGACTAATGCCTACTTAAAACTATTATCAAAATGCATTTTCGGTATACACAAATAAATAGCCGTGACCGGAACTAATAGAAAATCACATGCGTTAATATGCTAATGTCTCAATTAACCGTTATGGAAGTTTGAAATGCTTAATTACCAATCAGAAGTTTGGACATCGACGAATAACCTAGATCTCGGTCCGAATGCATTCAAGTTCACTTTGATTTGATTTATTTGATTTATTCAAATCAAATTTGAATAAAAAAAAAGAGAAATTTTTCACATCACTTGAAAAGTAAAATAGCTATTATTTTAAGGAACTAACCCCGTATATATTACACTTGTATAGTAATCAAAATAATAATAATAATCATTGTTCATATAATATTATAGTCGCTTTCAAATTGATTGAAACATAATATCCATTTGATCGGTATAGATCAATTGCCGATTAAAATGTAGTGATGTTTAAAAATAATAAGTTGCAACCGCTTTCATTGACAATCGTTTCGATTTAACGACAATACATTGTGACATGATTATCTGTCTCGTCGGGCGTTCATTGTTTTTATAATTTGACAAGGCGCTGATGTATAGAACGTTGTATGAAAGTGACGTCGTTTTGTTGACAATAATAATTAATACCACATACCGGTATTGTCCAGCAGATAAAGCATCATCATCATCACATCAAGGTGCCGGTGCCAGTGCCGATACCTGCCAAGCCACCGGTCTACCATCACGATGACTTGATCTACACCGGCGCCGTACTGGATCATCCTCCAGGACCTTACGATTCGCCTGAGGTACGCGTTTCTTTTACTGTGAACAGAACACACATTTATTAATGCACTGCACAAATAATCCACGAGGTAGATGACACGGTACTGTCATAAAGAGACAGTTAAAAGTAAATTATAGAATAATGTGATTCATGAGAACGGCCGACGTATTACCGTAGAAAATCATTTTAAACAGAGTAACGAAACCAGTGAAGGAGTTATAGAGTGCCATCCTACACGAAATTGCCTTTTAGTGAATGAAATGCTTACTTCCTTACCTAGGATCTAAGACAGTACACCTTTATACCACGTGGCCTGCGTCATTATCAGTGCCGGATTTAATTCAGGAGCGAAAGGAATATGATTCACTGGGGCCCCGTATTATATTGATTCTAGTTTAAACCCTGAACCATCAAATATTATTTGTACTTTGGTCCCTAAGTGTAAAGAATTCCGGCATACTGCAACCATTTCAATAATTTTGTTTTGAATAACTTTATATATTGTCTTAACCGTGATTTCTGGTAGTTATACCACGGTTTAACACAACACAAGAAGAGATTCGACGGAAGAAAACAAATTGGGCCAACACTATAGCTTAGCATCTAATAAACTCATGAGTTAAGACTGATTTTTTTTTTTTTATTAAACAAAATATGTTAATTTATGTACTTGCGGTTATGGGCCTCATAACATTAGCCTCATTAGAAATAGCTCCTTCAATTACATTATTGAACTTTCTCTTATGAGGCTTTTACATTTTTAGGACTACAAACATTTTTCCGTTTAGTCTGCTCCTGCTTCCTTATCATTTTAAGGGTACTTGTATATCTCTCGAAAATATTATCTTATTTGCACTAATGATTTTGAGATGAACCGTACGACTAAGGTGGGCTGTAATCCATTAAAAAAAAAATAGACTGTGGCAGGGAATGCAAATGTATGACGATGGTGTAATTAATATGTATGTTGTATTTCTTCGCCGCAGATCCCGGGCAATGAGTATTACAATCGATTGGACATGGCCAACGTAGTGTCGGATCATGGTGACGAGCTGGCTAGTTGGGGCTTAGGTGAAAATGGAGAAGCAACGCCGAATTACGAACCACCACCGCCACCGCCCATGAGGTATGGCGGTGGTCCACAGCTCATGACTCCTTCGTATCCGCATGCAGAAAAATACATCAAACGAGGAGACGAAAATGGAATGATCGTGAGTATACTAATCGATTTTTGCGTTTGAACCCACCAGGCTGATCTGCTTGTTTGCAATCAAAATTAACATAATATAACATACAAATTAACAAAACTACCTGTTAATTGAAATTATTTTGTTAACTTGTTTCAAAATCCGTTTATTCTCACAAACATGGTCCGGGATACAACTCTAATTAAAAATCGTATTTAAAATACGCTGGTTAGCGTTCTATATACCTTATAATTAAATATTAGATATATTGTAAAAAAAACCATAAAATTTGAATTGAGTAAAAATGTATAAATTTCCTAAATAGTTAACACGTTTTAACGCATACGAATGACATGTAGGACGTCGCGTCACACTTACTTTGAAACGGGTTTGACATAAGAAGTTATGTTTAAAAACCTTAATTTAGTGTTAACGCTTATCAGTGGGATGTCAAGGTATTTATAGTAGTACTTAAATTTTTTTTTTAATAAGCTTAAAACGTCTGTAAAAACTCATATTTTTACAAGTTCGTCGCTAATTACTGATCCTGAGGTAATTTTAAAACGAAAAAACAATTAAACCGAAACCGGAAAATATAACTTCATATAGCTTTAATTAATAAAATCATCGAATTACTATTTATACATTTATATTTACACTTAATTAAATTATGTATGTAACCTACAAAAAAAAATTAATTTTGTCTTTCGTTTTCCTTATTTAAATTTTGCTCTATAATCCAGTCAGTACAGTCGGCCAGTTCAGATGTACAATATTATGTGTTTCTATTCTTGTTCAGGGTGTAAGCCGGGTACCTCAACAGGCGCCACACGACCCAGTTTTCGGTCCAATATTGTATAAGCTGGAAGAAATATTCAGAGAGCTTCACATCAGTGACGAACCTTGCAAGGAGAAGCTGGTGTGTAGGATGTACGGCAACCCGGGACGGTACAGTCCGCATAGCAACCTGGTGTCGGCTCAGCTCAGCAGGTAACCATTATTTACATATCACATATTAGTACATGATGAGACTTTACCCGTTCACCTACTTCGTGCGCTATAATATTATGAATTTCCTGGTGTCGAAAAAAAAAAAATGTTCGCTCAAATAACCCACTTATAACCTGTTCTCCGGTCATTTGATGACCTAGTTGGCGAATAAGCCATTTCTATCAAACACACACACACATATATAACCTTCGCCTCAAGACAATTGGCTTAGACTCCGTTTTATGTGTGCGTCCAGAGGTCACGGCCTTGAACTTGTCTGAGCCTACTAGAGACACGAGCGCGCGCACACACACACACAGTATCTTCTCTTCTTATTCAAATGTTTCCCTTCGTTTTCGTTGAACTTTATGACTAGCCAGTACATGCTGGACACGTATAATAGTAGTATCATAAAATTTACAAATGCCGTTAGTTTTCGACCATAACGTCCGAATTATCGTGTTAATGGGAACAAGGTAAAAATACAGTGGAATATACCGGACAACAAGAAAATCAAAAAAATCAAAATAAACTAGTCACTCGTAGTAGTTTGTGTACAATTTTGAAACGTCACGCGGAAAAAATGTCTTACTGTGTACATTGTAACTTGTATAGACTTTCTGCATAATTGGCCTTGAGCAATAGACATTCGGTATATAATTGCATGCCGACAATATCAACGATTAAACGCATGCGAATCTCCGACCTCATTCGGAAATAATTTCCCAAAATTAAAAAGCAATTTGCGAGGCTAATATGTTTATTACGACGATTATTATAATAACATAAATGTGACACCGGTCTGGTCTTGCAGATTGCTTTGTGGTTATATTTTTATTCTTTAATAACCCGCGCAGAAATTACCTTTTCCGCGGTAACTTCCAGTGAAACAGTACCACTGTCGTACAACATTATATTTGTAGAGACTAATAAATTACAACATAAAATTGCACGATCGAAAATGTCTTGGGATGAGTGTAAGCTCCAACAAGGCAGAGTTGGGAAGGTAGGTACATCAGCCGGTTGAATATTTACTAAAAAAACAATTAATTACTATTTATTTAATATTGATTGAAAATATTACGTGAATGAGATAAAAAAAGGTGAACAGGTTTTTTATCATAGGCCACTTATTCAATAATTTGTAGTTGTATGTAATCATATATGTTGACGTAAGTGTTAACACAATATTATGCTGTCTTAATGTTGACGTCTTGAGTATGGCGAAAGAATTTTCGTTTAAACTCTATTATTGCAATAGTGAAAAAATAATAATTGAAAATCCCGTGTACGTGCTTAAGTGTCAAAATCAATCGATCGACCCAAGAAACGTCTGCCGGGTATTATTGTTATGTTTTTAAACGGTTCGTCTTTGATTCGAGTATGAAAACTGTAGTCCGTGATAAACCTTAGACATCATCAATAGTGTAATATAATAGTTATGCACGATGATGGTCAAAGAATTTTTAGAAATGTTTACGAGACGTCCGACGACCGACTAAAAGGCACGCAGAATACAAAATGGTCCCGTTACCAACGATTAAGACGTCAAACTTAATGCCATGCCCGAATCGATTGATTTGAAAACAATTGCTGCGATAACCGAACTTTTGCGCGTATGCCTTTTCGAGACATCCAACATTTGAACTGAAACCAAATCGCAGCATCGTCAAGTCTTTAAAAAAAAAAATATTCATCGCATTTTACTCAAAAGGTCAATGCACTTAACTACTTTTTACCGTTGGTAACACCAATCTTCCTCCCGTCGGATTCAGACCAGCGGAAGATAATAAATCGTTTGATTTTCGAACACTTCAAACGGGTTTGTCAGATATCTAAATCACCGTGGACGTTCGAAAACCCACAATGAATTGGTCGCCGTTAATTATTCACTCTAGGCCTAACCGTTGTATAAGACCTGCCTACTCATTCTCTGTATGCGACCATTGAGTTTAGATCAACGATTTCGGGATTGTGGGTCAGTTCATTTTTGTCAGTATTTCGTTTTCTTAGGAACGACCGACTCAATATTGGAAAACGCCCGCTGTACGTCATCAAATTACCCTGGTATACTTGACCGGGCCCACCGTTTGATGTTTGAAAGGCGATGTAACTGTTTCGATAGACAATACGACACATGCATTATTACCACAAACAAAATAGTATACAAACTTATCAAGAGTAACCTATTAAGAGTGTTAATCGATTTCCACCGCCTACGCAAAACCAAACAAGAGCCGATTGAGTAGTTTGTATGATGAGCAAGTACATCCAATTAAAGTCAAGTGTATGTTTGGCTAGACACCTTGTAAGAACCTATATAACGGACGTTGTTGCCGCTTGTAGTGTTGTGTTTGTATGGATTGTATAAATACGTTTGATCGGAGCAAAACAAAACGCGCGAGAGATCCGACTATAGTCATAGTAGGTACTTAAAAGATGATTTCATTGTGATCGTAGGTCACTTTCTTTGACATGACAGCGATGATGGCACAGAATCATAAAAATCAAAACAATGCGTCCTTGAGTACACTTTCATTTTATACAAGACCGTTCCACCCACGGTGTTTTTTTTACATTCGGAAAACTCTATGAAGAGATACACTAATACAATTTTATATTATTATTATTATTTGTCTGTTCATATATATAATGGATCGCTTCTATTCGAGTCATTGTAACAAATGTATTATTATTATCATCATTATCGTCGCCGTCATTATTGTACGAACGTGCTTCCATTGTCAGCACACTGACACCAATTCAATGACACTTGCACATACACAACCGACTCGTCATCCCGCAGGCTCGCTGCAGTGTATTCTGTATTACCCCTTTGGCACGCGTACGATTTTCTATCCTCCTCGAGTCGAATTTCACCTGGGATTTTTCTCTGAAGAGTATCAGCGTTTTGCAGTAAACCCAGAGTGAGCTGGAGAACCCATAAATTGATAAATAATCACATTTTCACAAAAACGCTAACAGGCTAATAAACTAAACAAATATACAATCAAATTATTTCCAAATTTGTCTCATTTCTCTTACCCAATGTCGTCTACATTCTAAATATCATTATCGCATTTACTGTAAAACAAATTATCTTTACTCTTTAGTATAAATTTCATTTAAAAAGTACATATTATGTTGTGTTCTGCTACGTCACACTTTATTTGTATTATTTAAATATTTCAAGTTTCAACTCCATTCATTAAACCTAATAGAAGCTGAACTTATAGATACTCCTAAAAATATCTATGATTCTAAAATAGAATGATTATTCCATCTCACTATCTAGAAACCTACTTACGGTCAATCCATTTTACTTGTTTATTATTGTTCTGGCTTAGTCCTTACATTTCTGCAATCTCATTCATCACAATGATATATTTGCTGACGAACTCGTCCAACCGATAAAAAAAACAGTACGCGCCTAAAACTAACCTAATATGAATCTACTTCTTACTGTGAATCCCAATATGTTTTCTACAGATGGCCCACGTTAATTGTATTTTCAATTGAAGTTGACAAGATGTTTCTATTCATTCTTTCACCTCCATACAATATATCTTCTTTAATGAATTGGTAGATCAATACAATTTGTTAGTGCAATACCATGATCGGCTTATAGCACTTATGACCATTGTTTCGGCGCCAAAGGTGATGACCCTGTCTTTCATCTGGACGCAAGTGTAGTCCATGATTATTGCACACACAAATGACAATCTTGTTAATCTGTATTATTAGCTTTGTGGTCGATTCCGTTAGTGGAACTTCATGGGTGTGCAATTAATAAAAGGTCAACACACACGTATCCGATGACCTAAAATGCACACAACATTTTGCTGATGTCCTTAATTGCATAGCTGTGAGGAGGAGGGGCAACAGTTACGGGTTATCCTTTAATCCACCGACGACCACCCCGAATCATTAATAGTCTTGATGATATTGACGTTGTTTTTTTTATTTTACCTAGTGAAACTGCAGCCAGCTCAGCTGGAAGAGCGGGCACGAGCGCCGACGCTTCTCGTCTATGGAAGTACATACAAGCAGCCAAAGAAGGGCAAAACGGCGAGGATTGTCGCACCGTATACCCGACTTGCACCCTGGTCGGGCTTCGTTGACCGGACTGACGACAAAGGACCAAACCAACGCTAAATGGTCCAACCATTATTTAACTGCAGTCGACAAATCAAAATACAACGACGGGTCGATTTCGAATAAATTTGCCACCCTCGCCCGTCTCTTCCCTACCACACCCCGCCGGGTTCGCTGTATAGTAACACATTATCTATACTTACAACGCTCAGTAATCCCAACGAGATTGCAATTTATTTATTTATCATTTGTTCTCGGTCGCGACAACCGAGATACGATATTTATTATTATACAATATATTCCTTATGTTTAACTCGGTAAATATTTAATTTTAGTTCAACGTTGTACACGCATATCTAGTCACGTGATTAAAAAAAAAACAAATAGTTGATATAGGGCAGCGGTCATAGATATACCTAACCCGGAAAACTAAAATCATCGTAATTTATAATAATATATATTATAGAATATTTTTGTTTCCTCGATATAGTTAGGACTGCGACGTTAGATTTATTTATTTATTTTTTCTATTAAAATCGGTAAATCTCTGCACGCTGCTCTTTACGCCAAATTAGAGGTGCTCGGTCGTTTCGAGCCACGGCCTCTATTCTTAACCATGGCAAAATAAACGGCCATGTCGACAACTGGTGGTTTCGATTTGCACGATTTCGACTGCCGGCTTGCTCCCTTCAGAAAAACCAGCGGACGCCTCGTGGTTACCACCAGATGCCGACATACCTGTATATTTTTGCCACGTTCTTCACAATATAATAATGAGATTAATGAAATGGTTATTACTTAGTATAATTATTGTCACTGCAATCGTGCTCTCTAACGATACCATGTTTTGTACAGCGACCGATAAAATATGTACGATGATAGTGTATTAGTAGTTTCTTGTTATGGAATTTTTCGGTAAAACAAATTGTTTAAATTTTAGGTAGGCAGTCATTACTTTTTTTTTTTTTTAAGTGTCCATAATAATAATTATACGTATATTAATTATTATTATCATTGTAATTCGTTTGAAAAAAAAAATAATGTGATAGAAAATAACGCCTCAACTGTGTACATAAAATACAATATTATATTATATTAATATATTTTAAACGTTATTTAAATGCTAGATTTTGTAAAATTAGTATCCACTCTAATTTAATATTAGATTATTTGCGCATCCAACGTTCACATCTAGGGTCTGTAGGGGTAATAATAAAACCGATTAGTTTTATTTACAAATAACCAAAACATTGTACAATATCTTATTTAATTTTATAATACGTTAACATTGTATTATTAAGCCTTATTTACAATTACCCACAGTCAACCCTATATAATTATCATCATAGTTTGACGTGTACTAAAATATGTTAAGTACCTATTTAGTTTTTATATTTTATGTATGTTATGTGGATTTCTTTGTTTTGCTAATTGTCGATCAAATAGATTATAATATGCTATAATGTGTAACCCTGTGTATTATGTCTTTTTATTTTTATCATGTGCAGAGTACATAATAAGAAAGGTTTTTATTTGTTTTTTAACCGATTATATGCTTACCGTTTTACTAAATCTGACATATGAATTTCATTAAATTGTATGTATTAACGTGACACTTATCTACAAAGTTGAACATATACAATAATTGCTGTATTAATTTATCATTAAAAAAGTAGACACGGTACATGTGCAAGAATAGCCTACCGTAGTCGATATTGTGGGCATATTTTTATAAAATTGTAATTAAAAAAAACCTACATGTTCTTGATGACTATGTGAGCAGCAATGACTACTTTTCAACAAAAAAATATTTTTAAAAAATTACTAAAATAAATAATAATATCAACTATTAAAATAAAATACACGGGTACCTAAATAATATTATTGAGTAATTAAAAATAGACTAGAACTGGAAACTTGAATAAAGGTTTGTGTTTTTCTTGTTTAAGAATCGGTTTTGTTTAGTTTTTGTGACGGGTTTTAATTTTTAAGCATTTCCCAAGGAAGAAGTTAATTATCGCTGATATGGTACAACTAAACTAAAGGTTAAGGACATAAGTAGTAGTACTTACACGTAATACATAGTCCAATTATGATAATGTTAGGAAAGTGGAGAACAGCCAACACGTTCGTTTCACGCTCTAAATTAATAAAATAGAAAAACGTTTACATGGTCTAATTCGAAACGGCGTAAACACAAACATCGTTGTTAACCGATGGATCAGGTAAAAACGACTTTTCTAAAAAACTATTTTACAAAAATTAAATTGGTAAAAAATTACAAGGATTTGAACGGTTTTCTCGGTATGATTGAAATTTTAGGATTTTTTTTTTAAATCTAAATCTATGGAATTGTAAAAATGATAACCAAGATAGTCCACACATTTTTGACCAAAAGAAGTATTTGTAATTTTAATTATTAAAATAATATACAATTATAATATTGTATTTCCGTAAAGGTATCATAAAATGTGTTTTAAGTTTTTACTTAGTTGACATTAGTAGTTTAAATTCAGTAACAATTTATTCATCACTAAAAATGTATTTGTGGGTTTTATATTGATGATTTTTCTTTTTATGTTAAATTTGTTAGGTTTTATCAATTTCAATATGTTACTTACACACTTCTTATTAAATAAATAAAATAACATAGTGTAAGTTAGTATGTGCCTACTACCCACAGTTTTGTAGTTTTTAACTATTAATTATTTTTAAAATAGATTTAAACTATAAATTACAATTTCACTTTCGTGTCATTAAGACGAGACCACCCCCTGTTCATATTTTAAACTTATGGTGGGTATCCATAATATTTTTTGTCCCTCCTACTAAAATTTAGTTTGGCGCCACTGTTTGAGGACGATTGAATGTTCTACTATACAAATATATATATAGTATACATTTAATAGACGATTTTTAAACCAACACTATTAATTTAATATATATTTTAAACACAATATTTGTAATAATAACTATATTTTAAGGAAGCGATAAAATCTTCTAATTTGTTCCCCATGCATTTTTTTTTGCTTAAAGCTTTCTGTTTTTTTAAACACACCAACTACTTATGATAACAAAAAAAACTAGGTAATAATCTATGACTATAGTTATAATAATAAAATAAGCATTTACTATTATAATAAAATTATGAAATGTGTTTATTGTTTAACCATTGAACTGTAAGTTGTTAACTTATTTACTTTCACGAGTCTCATGAAATTTCGATGATTAACCATTGTTTTGTGTACAATAGACCGATTAATAGAAAACCATTAATTAGGTAGGTACTAATCATAATACTTGTTGGTTTTTTCTGTTCATTAATTTGAAATTTATTTTTGTTATTTTTATTGAAGTTTAAACAATAGGTTATAGTTAACTACTAACGGTTAGACTATGTTTGAGTAGATTACATTGCAAGTAATATCATATTGAAATTAAATTTTAAAAAATGTATTAAATATTAAAGTATAAACGACGTTATATTTAGTGAACTGTTAAATAACAAACCTAAACAAAATATCATTATAAATTGTTTATACATTTAGTATTATTAATTATAACAAAATGTACAATAAATAATAAATATCATAATTGATATATTACAAAGAATTGTCGTATTTACATTTGTAAATTCAACATAGTCCAACAATATTTTTAATTAATTAACCAACTAATTAACTAATGGTAAATTAAACATTTTTTTAAAAGCACAACTCACAATTCACATTAAAGAGTCAAAAATTACTTATTTAATTTTATAATAATTTATATACAAAAGTTCTAAAAGCATCGAATGGATTACAACACTTCTTAACCTCGGCATCCCACCAAGACGTTGGCAAAAATCTAAAGTAAGAGCCATCCTGAAACCAAGCAAATATGCATCTGATCCTAAGAATTATAGGCTAATTTCACTACTGTCAACAAATTTTAACCATAATAAAAGAACTTTTAAGTTGAAAAATGTGTACATTTTTTTCGATTTTGAAACACAAGCAACGTCGATAAGATGTAATAACAATAAATTACTTATTAACACGAATTATATAGAACACAACACAAGTTAACGCACAAAATTCTAGTCTTTATGACAGGTACATTAATTTGTAATAACAATTAAGGGGTCGATTAGGCAACGAAAATTGATTTTGAATTTTATCATTTTTTAAAGGACTATGCCGAAAACATTTTTTATTAAAAATGTTGATTATATCTCAACCTTTTAGTTTTGTACTACATAATATGTAGGTACTTTACGCTTTAACTGTTCGTAGAAAAGCTCATTGCTAGACATTTTATTTTGTAAAAAAATGTACAAAAACTTCATTGTCAGATTCTTATATAAATATTAAATACCAATATGGTTCCTCTTTATTAAGTTAGAACATAGATTAAATATACACGTATATTCAACGTACGGTTAGTACAGATATTTTCTTCGGATCAAGTTTCATCGAAAAATTGCTTATGCTTTACACCTTGATAAATAGGTTCTTCATGATGTGCTGTGAGGCATCCAGACTTTTTATTAAGGCATTCAATATAGGTAATTTTTCAACGTAATTCAATTTTGTACACTATTTTATTACTATAATTTAGAGAAAATATTTAGCTAGGTTAGGTCATGTTAGGTTCGTTTAGAAACCTACAGGGGGAGGCAGTGATTGAATGATGACCCTTAATTTAAGGATTATTTATTAATTTCTTTTATCACTGTTACAGTTCACAACCCTTCGCTTTCTAAGTAGAGCTTTTCGAAAATAGAAAATTTTAAATGTGCCCTTCAAAGGATATTTTTTTTCTATAATTTGAAAATGTTAAACAGTAATTATGTTTAAGAATATCGTTTTTTTAACGAAGTGTAAACTTATAAGCAATATCATTATGGAGGGTGGCATAAATAGTGAGCTTTTTATATTAGTTTTAAAATTATGTTTTTAAACATAATATCGATATAATATGATATGTAAGAAGTATTTGTATATAAGTATAATATGCTAACCTAAATTTGTACACGGAAATTGGCAAGAGTACACACAGAGGGATAAACGGTATAAATCTCCCCATGACTTTTTTAAAGGAAATTGATTTCTTCTAATCATAAATACTAACAATCATTTGCTACTTTTATATGAAGCGATTGTTGTAAAACTCAATCATATTGATTTCCAAAACCATTTGTTAGTTTATATAAATAATTCTAAACCGTTTTCGATAACTAAAACGTTTCGATAGATAAAATGGTCGCACTAGGTAGCTTAAGAATTTAAATAGTTTTGAAAATCAATACGGTTTTACATTTAACACTTTTAAATGGAAACCGCGCGTGCAAATAATTAAGAGACAATAGTAAGGTAATATTTTTTAATAACTTATATTAAAACAAATATTTTTTAGACATTTAATTACTTTCATTATACAATTTTTTTAATAATTATAAAGCTAATGTATTTTTTAATCGCGTGTAATTAAAAAAAACTTAATTTAACTATTATATTCAATTAATAACTCATCAGTGTTTTTTGTCTTAAAAAGTCGAGAGTAAATTATACTTTTTCAGTTTTAACTTTAAACACAGTAGTTTAGGTAAAACTATTAATAGACTTTTATTTTGTAAAAATAAATCAAGAAAAAAAATGATTTTGTCAAAATTACCAGAGATATCGATTTTTCCAATGGACGGCCTTTGCTACGGCTTTGATGTTAACCCCCCTTACCGAAGAATGGCGTCTCTTTTTTCGAGAGAAATTTGTGTGTACATTACTGAACTTTGACGTTAAAAATAATAAATATTTCATAGGTACCTATTGTTAATATTGTGTATGGCTACTATAAAATATAAATTAATTATTTTATTGCAAACGGGGTTATGTGGCACCGACAGGATCCAAGGACTTGACACGCGGATGTGTTGTTTTCTATTGGCGTATAGGTCGGTTTTCTAAACGCGACGGAGTTAATATTTCACGAATGACCCGTGCCGGTTGTAAAATAATAATAATGGTAAAAAGGATCGATATACCTACGTGATTTGGGCAACGTGACGAAAGTAGAAAAGTGGTTGACAATGTCCGGCGAACTGGGTATTAGGCATTCAACAGGTGATCGGTTCTGGGGACGGGACGTTATAAGCTCGTGTACACGTGGTAGTGGCGATCATTCCGTCCGCACCATTTCCATCGACCATGGCTCGTCTGTCCGCCGTGCTCTGCTGCGCTCTGTCGCTGTTCACCGTCGCCAAGGTAAACCGTCGATTGTACGAAATGTATTTTTATTCTATCAGAACATCTGTTATGCTTAGGCCGCGGAAACGCTGTTGGACTTCAGCGGCCAAGTGCTGGACGACTGCGGTTCCAACTGGTCGTGTGTCAAACCGCGGCTGTTGAAGTATGTGGGCGAGACGGTGACCCAGGACGAGTTCAAACTCACCAGCGGCCTTACACTGAAAAGGACCCACGCCAGCCCGGACTACGAAGAAACAGCCAACCAGGTAAATATCGGTCCTTGTAAAAAAACACATACAATCATCTGTTGGGTGCGAGCAGTTTACTCGTAACTTGGTGTGGCCTTTTTTTAAGGTACAAACAATTTTATAGGAATTTTTCTCGAACAACCTAATAAGCGAGATTAATACCGTTGTGTTTAATATTTCAATAATAACCCTTGCCGAGTTAATGGTTAAAATTGTATCGACATTTTCGTATGATCCGGAAATACCGTTTTTTTTTTTTTTTTTAAATGTAATTGTGTGTTTGTTAGATTCCCAACGGTGAGGATTACAAACAAGCCGTCAAGGACAGTGCGGCCCTACGCATGTTGGACAGGGTGGACGACTTTTTGAGCACTCATGAACTACGAGTGAGCATGCCCGAAGAACTGGGATCTTCGGTGGGCGAGATTAAAGTGCCGTTAACCGACGGACAGTCCGTCCAGGAAGGACGAAGTGAGTACCTATTAGAAAGACAAAACAAGTTTAATGTGTTTATCTAAAGTGGTTAATGGTTTTTTTCCACGTTTTTTTTTTTTAAGGCCGTGGTTTTGTCCGTAAAATCGTCATACCGTTCCTTTTGGGTCTCAAGTTCAAATCCACCGTGCTCGTGCCAATCGCCATCGCTCTGATCGCCCTCAAGACCTGGAAGGCCCTGACTCTGGGACTTCTGTCGTTGGTCTTATCCGCCGCCATGGTCATCTACAGGTTCACAAAGCCCAAGGTGGTCGGCGTCGAGATCCTCCATTACCCGTCGCCAGTGCACCACCACCACGACGCTTACGCCCACGCCAGAGCGTACAGCGCCCAGCAACCGGCCGAACAATGATTTTATGCCGATTGTGTGTACGACTACCATCGTTTGCTGTTATTAATTTATTATTATTATATATATATATAATACAGATATTGTAAAATTAGCAATAGTATTATTAATTTATTTATTAAAACCGAAATGTCAACAATTTACCTCGTCTTGTTTTAGCGACACAACTAATTCATTTGTATTGAAAACCCTTTAACACGCATCACACTTATAATCTGCATTAGATTACGATTATTTATGTTTATTTACTATTTAAACAACACGCTAGAAGTTTTATTTGCGTTTGAAACGACTGGTGGCCTAGCGCCGAGATCAAGGTAGTTTGCGTTTTTATTATTAACCAAAATCTAGTCCTAGGAATGCACTGCTCAAAATAATCAGATACAAATTGAACTGTTACATTGTTTATGATTGTATGGTACTTAATTGTATGCTTTTTATTTATTCTTTATTAAAATAGACAAACTATGACCTAATAACTTGAACTTAAAAAAATTAATGAATGATAAGGAACTGGAATATATATATATAACAAACAAAAATGTTTAACTAATAATTTAATTGGAAATTGAATATTAAGTTTTAAAGTAAAATTTGTTGATAGATTTTACGTATAAAATGTAAACAAATACATCAGTTTAACTAGATAAATTTTGTTCGAAATTATATTTTTTTTTTTACGATAACCTAACATTTGAGTAATTTTTGAAGCCACGGCTATTCGAAAAATGTTTCATGCTGAATTCAGCATGATTTTGGATGATCCAAAATCTGCCCTCAGAATTCCTCCAGCATATTTAGATTTTTAGAAAATAAAAAGTTTAAGTGAGAAAAATCTAAGATTTTTTTGTACAAACAATTGTATTCATGAATTAAACAGCAAAAAAAAAGTAATTTTTAAATCTATCAATAGTTACCAATATATTTCTGATGCATAACATAATATTAAATTGTAATTTTGTTATGATAATATCAAAGGACAATTGATATTTGATTGTATCGTTGGCTGGTCGGAAACAAACAAATTCTTATCTTCTCTTTTCAACATAAGAAGTGTATTTGGATGTTTTTATTTGTTGTCCTTAATATGTATGAGATATTGATGAAAATATGCATCATAATATATTTTATCATGCATTAATATAGTAAGGTTTTTGTCGCAGTTTAATTTCACAAATAAAATTATGTTTTTCCAATAGAAATCTCAGGTTTTCGAGGATTTTCCACACTTAAACTTTTTTTTTCAACGATATAGACGATTCTAGTGGCAGATTTTGATTCAGCATGGAAAAAATCTATCGAATATTAATGATTACATTAAAATATATATTTATACGTCCATTATAATGCTTATGAGTCATAGTTATAATTTATTATATGCGTACCTACCTGTATAGTGCTTAGGCATGTACATATTGTACAGTTAAAAAGAAGTACGATTTGGTACTATACTACTGGTACATCCGTATAAGTCTTAAACTGTAGACAAATTATACTAGCATTAAAATGTTTAATTGTATGCTTTATTATGTGCTAACAACAACAACAGAAGTCAACATATTATCTCCTTGTTTATAGATAACTAACATATCCATTTTTGTTAAATATATAGTATCTATAATGAAATTACTCCTATAAAAATAGAAGTAAAAAAAAAATTATACATTTGTAAACATTAATAATGCCATAAGTCATATTATTTATCAATAAATCAAATCTTAAAGTTAAAGAAAATAGTTGTAACACTAAATAAATAAAGCAATCAAAAAATCCTTAAGTATACATGTAATGTTTCACTTTTAAAAGTCATTTGGTTTTAGGTTTGTGATGTGAAAAAAATTATAAAACTCCTTTGTTAAGTATTTAAAATAATTATATTATTTTAAAGAATTCACTGCTGAAAGTGTTCAAGTTATATTACTTTTCATTTACATATATTACATTAATTGCAATGAATTACAAGTTAGGAGTTGTATATTTTAAATAATACATTTTATTTTCTGTTCTTTACTAGTTTCTTTTTGTTATTTAATTAAAAAACCAAATTGCTTATTTTTATATGATAAATTCTTTATTTGTATAAGCTTAATAACTCGTTAAGATTAAATAACGATTTAGTAAAATGCCTTATTGAAATTATTAGCTGTTAGATACGTTGTAAATTGTATGTATGTAATTATTATAATATAAGGTAAATTATATATTGAATACGGATATTGGATTAACATAATTAATTCAGTTAACAAATAATAATAGATAACATTTTAGTAATTTAAAATAAAAACATAGTATGATGTTGACTGTTGTCTGAATGAAATAGAAAATCGATTTTAAAAAACAACTACTAGAAAGCAAAACGCGTTTTTCTCTATTCTAAATTACTATTTTGGAGACGGAAGGCATAAGTAATATGTATGGCAATCGTGATGATATGGCGCGGTCACATTTTCACTGTTCAATATTCTTAGCTGTACGGCCAATATTGGCCTCAATGTGTCCATAAGTAATTAAGAATTCGATTTTCAAACGGTCGTCTGTATAATTTTTCGATTAGAACAGTCGTTAATAATGTGCCGATTCTAACTTACTTTTAACAATGAAATAAATAATCATTTGGGTTTTCGAGTTTCAAATTCGATTTCTTACTTATGTAGGCGATTATATTCCCTAATTAAATGTTGACTATGATATGTATATTATTCTATTTAATTCTAGAATATGGCACTAAATAAATTATCTAGAAATAGTTTATAAAGCTACACGAAACGTTAATGAAAATGCGCTAGAATTTTTGCAACAGCTACTCGCTGATTAGCTAATAATTTATTTATAAAAACAAGAACGTTTTGAAATATTGGATACTCATAAGACGTAATGTTAACATGTTTTTAAAAACACTATTAATTCAACATTAATACCATGTAATGTTAATAATAAGGGAATTCGCGTCATTATGAGCAGCCCGTTTAACATTATGTTTCAGCTAATAAAGGTTAAAACTCCAGTATTAACCGGATTCTTTTCAAAATATGGCAAATACTGAAACACGTTATTTTGCAATACTACAAATATCGCGTTAAAAAGAAAACTTATTATTATGGTTATTACAACAATTAAAGACATCGTTATATATTCGATTTAGCGTAGGTATAAATGTGTAATGCATTGCTACATTTGTTTTCCCTTAATTAAAGAAAATGAACCAGTTCAACATAATGAAACATACATGTACCAAAATTAAGTAGGTACAATACAAAGAAACGATTTACATAATTTTTATAAAAAAAACTATGGCCCAATTTTTAGCTTTAAAAATTGATTATTACATTAAACTTTTTAACACATAATCCGGGACGAACTGAGTAGGCCACTATTTTATTTATCAGTTATCACAGACTGTGAAACATGAATAATATATTATAGTATAAATAAAAGTGTTTGTCTACATTTCAAGCCTAGCCATTACTGATTACAGTGTATTGATGTCAGCGGTGTTGAGATTTATCTAGATAATACAAAAACATTTATCTGTAATCTTATCTAGATCAATTGTTCATAAATTATTTACAGACACAGTGTTTTTTTCGATGAATAATCTAAAATTATTTATCTGAATAAAAATAACATTTAAAAAAAATATATTATTGGGTATTTAAACACAAAATGTAATGTTGTGCCAATCACAAATATGTTTTATTCTTACTGTAAATCTAAAAAACAGCGGCAGCTATTATGGCTATTTGATATTAACTTAGTCGTTTAATTACAAATATTAGTAAATATGTATATTTTTTAATTTTTATAAATAAATATTTTACGTATAATTATTTTTAGTAAACAGTGTTTTTTTATAATTTGTTTTAGTAAACAGTGTTTTTTTATCATTTGTTTTATAAAAGTAAATCTAAACTTTAGTAAAGTTTTTTTTCGGTCAATTGAAAATGTGATTTGGTTATGAAATAATTCATAAAATTTTATGTAAATGTAATCAAAAACCAGTTTTTAATTCCCCTTCAATATTTTCTGGTATTACAAAAAAATTACGCACTAAATAAATAAAAAATACAGTAAATAATCGCCAATATTTGTTGCTGACATGTTGATATATACGTATAGTATATTTAAAATTTTAGGTTATAACAAAATAGAAATATAGATTCAAAAAATATATAAATAAAATTTAAAACACTAAAAAAAATAAGTAATTCTTAATAAATATTAGATAACAATTTTAATTTATTTTGGCGGAAAACGGGCATAGTGATAACGCGAGGGTCATTTGGGCGGAAAATGTTGACCCCCGTTTAATAATTTTAATACCTACAGAAATTCCAAATTGGCTAATTTAATGAATTGTTTTGATTTTTTTAAATTAAGTTAACGAAATGGTCATAGTTAAGTTTACAGCTAAAATTTCATAAGGATTTGTACAACGCGTTAATTTAGTTAAAAGTGAAGTTAATAAAATATATTCATTTAAGAAGACGCTACCCACTCGTAATTTATCCACGAAAAATGGTTTTGCGGTGGACAAGAATGTGAGAGCGGTTATTAGAGTAGCCGTATACAATTTTTACAATGGATAGAGAAAAATTTATTTAAGGGGTAACGTTTTTAGTTTTTTGATAACTTAAGCACAATGAAAATTATTCATTCGCAAATGTTAATTATTTTTTTCTTTTTTAATTTGTTTATAAAAAAATATTAAATATAGATATCAAAAAAATTAAAACGCTACCCCATGGTTAAAGTTCTTTTCTGTACATTGTGAAAGTTTGGTAAATTTACTGTTAATACTGGCCTACATACTTGTCCCGCGCAAAGCAGTTTTGATGGGAAAACAAACTTATTGTAATTTATCCTATAGAAATGACTGTGATAGTCTGACAAAAAAAAAATGGCAATTAACAAAGTATCTTCATTGCTGTGTTGATAACAGTATACATTATAGTTCAAACTCTAGTTTGAGATTTTTCAAAAAATTGCCTATACCTACTCCTTAGAAATGTCCTGGGTAGCGTCCTCTTAACTAGTTTATTATTAACACATAGTTTAAAAAAAAAGTTTCGTTTAAAATAATTATTATAATTTATAAATAAATATTAATCAAGTTGAATTATAATAGATAACAAGATAATACTAGATATTATTATTACCTATTATACTTGCAGGATTTGATTGCGGTCGATAGGAGTAGCAAACAGATGTTAAATTAAACTATTTAACTGTTTATTTAATTTCATAGATCAAGTTAAACTTATTAACTCTTGAATATTCAGCCTTTGTTTTTATTGAATTGGGCTAAAGACATAATTATCATTTAAATAAATCGAATGTTTCCTATTAAATGCGTATTTACAATTTAGGTATATTATTTTATACATCATTAAAGGTTGTTAAACGTAACCGTAATAAGGTAGTACTACGATCTTTAATTTTGTTGTAATAATTCCAAATAACTTTTTAAAGAAACTCGTTGGGTGATTTTAGCAAAGTATCGATATTTTTTAACATTTTATACCGTCGCCCTCGTGCAAAAAGTGAATGGTCTTTAAAACAATAGTGCCAAATTATGACTAAACAATAAGTTGTATCCTCAAATATACAAAAAAAAATCATACAATTAACTAATAATTCTAACCAACTTTAATTATGGTCTATCATTTTTAAATCAAATCTAACCATGTCCATCAATTGTATTATTGGTGCGTATATTGTATACCTAAGCCGAGTCTCTTTAGGCTAATCAATACCTACGTACATACGGAAAAGCTGAAAACTGGTATTCACTTCCAGCATTAAATTTTATATACCAAAACCTGATACTCGAAACGAATAAGTGCGGTTCAAAGTCTCGGTACGGTGTATAAATATAATGTAAAAAATAATCAACTTTTTTATTGAAACGGTTCCAAATAATATTAATATCTATATTACTGAAAAAAAAAATAACTCTGCCGCTTTTTGCGTGTAGGCGACAAAATACAGTTGAATAAGAAATGTCGAGAGCAAGAACAAGTGTGAAAACATAATTAAGAACAATACTGAAGGAACGCATTATATCGTTATGACTTTGGGTGGATGAAATGTAAGTTATCGGATCGCCTACTTGGCAACGGCCGGACATAGTCGTGACAGTGACCTATCAATTTCACCGGCTATTCGAAACCACCAATATACACCGATTGATATTCAAACACCGGCACTTGTCGAAGACGTGATTAAACGGCCAATTTCTAATGCACATATCTCCCGCCCAAGTGTCGCACAGGTTTGCAGGACGGTCAGTATATAACCGAAGGACGCGGCCTTCCAAACACCACACTCGCCACCTCGGTCTTCACAGCAACAAACACACAGACAAACCAACTCACCATGGCTCGCGTTTTCTACGTGCTGTTGTCCGCCGCCTTGGTAGCCGTCGCCTACGGTTTGCCTATGGAAACACCCAGACAGGTACCAAGTGTTTTTTTTTTTTTCACATTCTTATACACTCTATGCGACTTACACCACCTATCGTGATCATTTGGCTACAGCCGGACGCTCCGGACTCTGCCAACGAGCTGTCCATAGTGGAACAACTGCAGCATATCATGGAGAAACGCGATGTCTCCTTGGACGTTGCCGGAGCCACCGTCGTCGTGTCGCCCAGAAAAGTCGAGGATAACGAATTGGGACTGACGTTGAGGCTGCCAAGTTCAGCCGAGCCCAGAAGTAAGTGCCTATTAACACCGTGTACACAAAACGGTGTTAAGAAACCCGAGTAATTTTCAATATAATAACGATTTTCACGTTAAATATAAATTCAATTCAATATGTACACGTGTACACAATTGCATTATTTTTTTAAAAAGATTGTTCGACGAACATTCGTTAACCGCGGTGGTATCGTTCCAGGCAAACGGCACAAGCTGAGAAAAATTCTCGTGCCCATCATGGTGTTCATCATGCTCAAGGCTCTCACACTGATCCCGTTGGCCATCGGCGTGTTGGGTTTGAAGGCATGGAACGCGTTGCAGCTGTCGTTCTTCTCGTTTGTCATCAGCATCGGACTCGCCATTTTCCAGCTGGTGAGGAAGGCGGCCGAATCTCCTCCAGCCCTTACCGCCCATGATGCCGGTATCTATGGCGCTCCTGCCGCACACTATGCCAGGAGCATCCAAGAAAATAGCAACGCTCACGAAATGGCCTACGCCAACCAGCTCAGATAGGTAAGACTCGACGCGCCGTTTTTTTTTTTTTTTGAACACATGAAATAATAATATTAGTCGTTTTCGCCAGTTAAGCTTAAAAATGTACTATAGTTAAACCATACTAAAATTATCACCATCGCTTAAGCTTAACGGGCCTTGATTGGCATGGTTTTTAGCTAAAATCATAAATTAGGCTATACTTAAATGCTAAACCAAACTGGAGAGAACGGCAATAGAAGTTAATGGTACTTAATTTATGTAATTATATATCGACAGTTTTATTTATTTTCATTTTATACTTGCAGACGCCGCGAATCGAATTTCTCGCGACACTATGCTGAAAATGGGCCCGGATGACGTCCTGTGAACACCGAAAGAATATTTCAATATTTATTTATTTATTATTATTGTTTTTGCTTAAGTAACTTAATTCAGATATTGTAAATAGTATATTCAAATTTATGTACACCACTCTTGCGCGAGTGACTGTTGATAGATTATACAACAATTTTATCAATCAAAATCCTTTGTGTCTTATATATTTCGGTATTGTGTTCCTCACAATGGCAAACACATTCGGTCACATGCTTGTATGCAATTAAAATATGTATGTATTTATTTAATTAACGCCTAAACAAACAGTTCTTTCAATAAATGTCGTTAAATTATAACATAAACGAGAATATCAATTATAATTTAATAAATAATATTACACAAATATAAAATTTCAAAACATATTCATGCATAAGATGTATAGAACGAAAACGATAAGGCATTCCTGGTTTAAGTACAGTAGAAGATTCAATGTCATGTTTTATAAAAAATTTGTCCTAAGTTGTATGGTACAAACAATATAAAATAACTTTATTTTAATTGAAAAGATAATTTATTAACATAACAAATTATCAAAGCTGAGTACACAAAAGTTGGACATAATTACATCGGCTATCTTTACACCAAAACTACGAGTATAAATTATTTTGAACATATTTTATACTAAATTATGATGTAAGCAACATTTTTGAGTAGTAACTCAAATTACTTTACACATGTATTTAAAGTTTAACAAAATGGTGAAATGTAATACAGTATATAATCTGTAGATACCAATCTTTACGCTTAACGTAAAATGTAAATGCATTTGTAACAACCTACCAACAATAGTCTACAATACATTTTAACATGCACATGTTTTATTTAACTAATGTTTCCATATGAAACTAATGTAAAGTTCTGACACATGTTATTTAGAATTTAATCTACCATTTATACTAACTTTAATTAGTGCATTCTTAGAATATTGTGTAAAAAAACATAAGAACATATTTTGTACTTGTTCGCTATAGCCTATAATACATTAATATAGTAATTTTTAATTCGCACGTATATTTAAATAAGGAAACTTATTATTCAATACAAATATTGTCAAAAACAATTCATAATATTATATATTTTCAATAACAACTAATTAGCTTCAAAAGTAGATACATTTACATTTACTCATTAGATTTAACTGTAATACCACTTCACATATTATTCGCTACTAAAATGTGTAATTAATGCTAAACATATTCCTAAAAGTAGAGAATTATGTCATTCGTGGTATATGTTTTTTTGTTCGATTAAAATATTTTTACACTGTTAATTTTAAAATCAAAAATAGAAAGTAAAAATGAAACAGCTTACATACTTCACCACGAATTTGTATTTATTCATAACCTATCCTAAATATCTCCAGAATATATTAAGCTTATATATATAAAAATATATTTTATGGAAAAATAGTGTGTCATATCAATATATACATATATATAATATACGTGATATTGTTTCGTGATAGATACCTTCCTCTTCCATTGTTAATGCTTACAGATGTTCGTGTTCATAATATTAATTAAGCAGTAAACCGTTCGTAGGTGTACCTATTAACTTTAATTCACAATGACTGTATTTTAACTGTATTAAATAATTACATTTTAAAAATAAACATTTCATTCGTGCTATTAGCTTTTTGTAAACTACGACTCTATAAGTGAAAAGGCTAATGATAGTTAGTACATTTTTACTGCAAATCACTAGCGTTGTATCTAAAGAATAAAAAGTTTGTTGTCTTCTTAGCCATTGTGAAAAATCCTAACACTGTCTAAATCAACACAAGTCACAACATAAACCCAGTACAGTATAAACTAAACCTAGTTTACAATTTAAAACAGTAAAAAATCAGGGCAGTTTATAATTATTAGGGATTGGTCTATGTCCATACTAAATGAATTAATGCAGAAATCGAATAAATGTTTTAAAAAGTCGAATTTTTCTGTTTTTAAATGACTGGCTAGGAAAAAACGTTTTTCTTAATATCCTTTCCGATAAAATGTCCTCGAATTTGGTCTCTACAACTCAGACATTGTCTACAACATTACAGTTATTTTAAGAGAAAATGAGTGTCTTATCCTGTACAAATGTACATATTGTACATTTTATGTCCCCCCTCTGAAAATAATTTTAAAATAAGAAGTCAGTGTTACTAATTAATGTTACAAGGATGTTGAACAATTCATCTTAAAGTTTATTTACAAACAAAGTTTCAGATGAAAAAGTTTGTATGAAAAAAAATTACATTGTTAATTAATGGGTATGTTAATTTTATAATGTATAATTAACATAACCATTAAATAATGGATTTCTTCCGTAATTATTATTTATAATATTCTATGAGATCAATTTTTTTAAATGTCTAAAGGAGTATAAAAAATGAAACCCAATGTTGGAAAGTAACGTACGATTCTGCTTAGTATTTGGTTAAAATTGCATGAACATTAGTCAGTTTTCTCGTAATTCCTGGTCGTGGATTTTGAAGAAGCAGCTTTCTTTTAGCTATTTTTCTTTCTCAAAAATATTTACAAGTGTAATTAAAAAATGGAAAATGTTGATGGGATCGGATTTCAATTTTTATTATGTTCGCTATTTTTTAATACTTTTCAAATCTGTATTACTTGTAAAGCGTAAACGGTAATATTCACTATTTAATAATTCGTACCTAGACAATAGTTTTATAACACTTTTAGTAGGTATTTAAAACATGCATTGGGATCGGTCGGTTAAACGCTATCAGATTTCCACTAGTCAATTCAGAACCGGCCATACCGTCATATCTATTGTGATGGAATTAATTAAAATGTTCGACTACAGACTAGTACGTGCAACTCGTTTGTGTGGATGTGTCCGTAGACAGTATGTGTCGCCATTACTCAAAATTAATAAATGTATGCAGTGACTTTAAGTAGTAGATACGATCGTCCCATTAAACTATACATAGAATGTACACAGCCCGCTATAGCATGATCAATGTAAGCTTTTACAGTTCACTAGACGGACAACATAGTCTATGGATATGTAATTTGTATAAGTATCCAATTATATTTCATTTTCAAAAAACTTGATATGTACTGCATTGTAAAAACTAAAGCTGTTGTTTTGAAATCATATTTTTGAAATTTCTATTTTTTTTTTTAATAATACTTATCTGTTGTGTGTACAATCCATTATTACACTAAACAATGTAGACGTCAGTAATACATATTAGTATGTTTAACCGAAAGAGACACTGTATTTTAAAGATAACTCACGTGGTTTTTATGATAAATACCCAACATTAAAATACGCACAATTAAATTTCCCACAAAAAATATATTTTATTGATTTTTAGTAGTATCGATATTTTAGTCTCCAATCAGTTTTTAAGGTCAAATTTCGATTACTTTGAAAATCGATATTCCACGCATTTTGATAAAACCGAATAAGGAAAAATTGATTTTTTCTAACTACAACTAATAGAAAAAAGTCAGGTCTGAAAGGGTTAAAATAGAAGTGCTGTATACGTTTTTACGATAACGTTAAAGTTTTCCTGCCCTAAATGGAAAACAAGGAAAGTTGGACTCACACCACTTTCGCAGGTAATAGATTAAAGATAGCATTATCAGCTGGTGATGTAATTTCGGATTGTGTAAAAACGCGACTTACACCACATTTGCTCTCGGCGGCCTAATTATTAACATGGTTTTTGCAAGATTAATCTCTCTTAAAATTTGTTTTTTTTTCCGATGTAATTCTCCTTTGAAATTAGGTACTAGTGGAACTACAAAATTCGCATTCAAATATAAAATTACTAAAAACCATTTTCATAAATTTATTTTGTACAGATTGTTTTTCCTAACAAAATGAAAAAAAAAATGTATATATTTTAGTGTAACTGTTAGAAGGCGTGGGCCAGGAATATTTTAGGGGCCGGCTCAGTGCAATTCATTTTTTCTCGAAACTTAAGTAACTTTTTTTCATTCAATCTAAAACCAATTCACATTTAATTCATCATAAGTTTTAAAATAAATTTACTTCTATGTATAGTTACAATTTAATAACTTAATATAAGATAATAATACTCTTTTACTTTAAATGAATTAAAAACTTGTCAAGTAATAATAATAAAAACAATAGTGTTTTTTGTTTTCTTCGTTACTTTTAATATTGATTGCACTTTTAATATTACAGCACGTATAAGCATTCAAATCTGAACGATTGTAAAACCAATAAACATATACGTTCTTATATATTTTTCTTAGCTCATAAATAAAATTACTGTTTGAATTTAAAACCCTCATAATCGATCTTAATCTGTCAAAATTCGATCGCCTATATATCAAAATAATGGCATTCATAATTTAGCCGATGAAATCATTTTTTTTAACAAACATAGACATAGTCAGTAACATTGTAAGCAAATCCTCATTCGAGTTTTAAGCAATATATAATTTAACAAGATTTTTATAAAAATGCAAATAATGCATTGTAAGTAATAAACACATTTTGAATTCATCTTTATTGAATATAGACGGCGACGGGAAGTATTTGAAATATATTTTATTATTTCAAATAAATAAACTAAATTGTTCTAATAAGTCATTCTTATTTCGGGTAAATTTTAATAGTAACACATTTTTTGATACACGTAGTGGAGAAAAAAAAACTTGTCTTGTTTAAAATATTATGCCAAACTAAGAAAACTGATTATTAATTTAAATAAACGCAAGTTATAATAATTATTTACGAATAATGTATGTGTCATCAGTTAGCAAGCACGTATTCGAAAAGGTGTGAACGGATTCATTCGCTCATTTCATAGGCGGTATTATTTTAAATAATTGTATTAATTATGATTGGTTATTTACACCTATGCAATTTTCTAGCTGTATTTAAAATCATTTGTTTTTACTTTAATCGAATAAATACTTTTCAAAACTGAGCAAGTTGCATATTTTTAGTTTTTAACAATGCAAATAGATAAAAGTTTCAAAAGGGGCTCAAGCCCCATTGTTATGTATTTTATAGAACGCCTACCGCCTCCCCATTAAATTGTCTCAGATACGTGTTGTTCAGTTAGCCCATTTATAAAAGTAATTGTTGATATTTTTCGTCATTTTTGGACATATGGAAGTAAATAACTTATAATTTTACAGTAAGCAAGTATGTACTGTACAAATTAAAAAAAGTGTTATCAATGTGTGGTAGAGTTATAACTGAAACTACGAAAATAGTAGTACTGTGATTTATCATAATATATAATTTACGATAAAAATTCAATTATTACGCGTCGTGGATTGAATTGCTTAAGCGAGTCGCGCCATTTCACCTGTAGGATATCCTGGAATGCACGACAATGAACCGAAGCATCGGCGCTCTGTAGCGGATCGCTTAATATTCCGTCGACAAGCTCCCCGACCATTATGGAGAAATTAGTATCTTGTCACGTGCCGCCCGTTCCTGGACGACCGTCCGTTGCCCGCGACAAATGTTGGGCAGTGGGCCAGCGCCGTTTGTATAAAACACTGGGATGAGGAGGCGTGGCCTGACAGTCGTTTAGGATGGATCGTAGAACAGTGTTCGTTTCTGTATTGCTCGCCGCAGTGGTGTCAGCCACCGTCCAGCAGGAAGACAACCTGCTGGATAGAGTGCTGGAGAATTGTACGTTCGGTAATGGCGCCATGCGGTGCCTCAAGTCCAACGTTTTGGAATACTTAGAGGGCCGCGGGGCCCGAGCTAACGTGGTCGACTCGGACTTGGACGAAGAGCTGGTCAAGGCGACTAGCAGATACATCGAGCGGCAGGTGTACGAGGTGGACGTGCCCGGGGCCAAGCTGGTGGTCAGACCCGGCAGGGACATGGACGACGGCGCGATGGACATCATGCCGGCGCAGCAGAGCACCACGACGACGACGACAGCCAGAGGTTTGAATATTTCTTTAATACTGCAATTTCTTAAGCTCGCCAAGGCTTTTATAAAACTCTGTCAGGACATAAATCAGCTGAAAAGCTCTGAACTGAAACTTGCGTTTCTGCCATTTGTAGCCGACATGGAAATGGGAATGATGCAAGACAAAATGTTAATGCCACTACTTATGATGATGAAGATGAAGATGAAGATGTTGATGCCCATCATGATGGCCATGGTCAGCATGAAGGCGACGAAAGCTTTGATCCTCAGCAAAGTAGCCGTCATCTTGGTGATTGGCTTTCTGGTCAAGGAGTTCATGAAAAAGTCCGGCGGCCTCCCCGGGCTACCCATGTTGCATTTACCCTTGGGTATGTCCCCGGCCGAGCCTTCGACCACCGGCACTCCTATGTACGGGCCACCCCAATCGTCCGGCTACGAGTCATCTAGCTCGTGGGAACCTTCTGGTTACTCCTCCGGTTCGAGCGGTTACTCTGCGGGCAGCTCGAGCGGTTACTCTGCGGGCAACTCGGCGTACTCGTCCGGTCATGGCCATGCGTCGGACTCTGCGCAGTCCTTGGCCTACAGCAGTTATCTGCCGTCGTCGTCCGGATCGTCATCCAGTTCATCGGCAACCAAATACTAATACTTAGACATCGATATACTAAGTTAGTATTTGCTCTTAATTTATTTATATCTCAGGTATAGCTCAAGTAATTTATTTCACGATTATTGTTAAAAATAAAATATATTATAATGTTTGCTCTTGAACATACGCTTTTATCATTTTATACATTATGTGTATATACCTAAAGTTGAACCCCTGGAGTTTTTAATTATTTCATATTTATTCTAATAAAAGGTATTTCATTAAGGTTATAGTATTGACTATACTAAACGACATAAATATTTCTTATTTAACTAGAAAAGTAAAAAAAAAAACAATAGTAAAACATACATTATAATAACAGTTTTATCTCGAAAACTATTTAACTATAAATCTAAACAGTTAACGGTAAATGTTTCGGTATGCGCGTAACGTTTGTGCGTAATCATTTCTTACCTAATAAAGAGTCAACATTGGTTCATGCCAAGTGTAATTTGTATTAAGTAAAAAAAAATAAACCGTTTGCGTTATAATTTTTTATTGTATCAGGTAAATATGATAACAGATACTTACTTACTATAAGAGAAATAGGTACATTGCACGTACTGGCGACTGAGTCCGTTTACAACACATATCAATAAATAATGAGTATTTTTTTATTAGACTGCTTTTTGTTTTTAGATTTAAATAACATTCTACTCTTTAACCTAAGCAATAAACGAAATAATACATATAGTTAGAACACGTCTTCGTAATAATTTAGTGAATTTGCTCAAAACTTTATAAAAATATAAAATTACCATATTTTGAATTCACACAGAGTTTTTACTGTTGTCATTTTAAACCAAAAATTTAATGAGTACTAAAACTAACAAATCAAAATACCAAAAACAGCTCGGGTTTTAACAATTTTTTTCTGGGATACTATTTTTTATTTTTAATATTTAAAAGTGTAAGTGTACTAGGTTGTTTTTTAATTTAATTAATCTCTCAATAACACCGCCAATAAAAAAAATGAAAATTCAATACCAATTTGTTGTTGTCATAAAAAATAAGTTGCACTAAAAAAAAATATTAAATGATGACAAGTTAATATAGTTAAATAATGAAGTACTGATTAGAAATTTTACCTAGGTTAAATCACAACTCTTTTTATATGGATAAAAAAAATTTAACTCTTTAAGAAAAATATTTATCGTGTATAATTAAAAAGTAGGTGATAAAATGAAAGCAATACAAATAATAAAATAACTACAAAAAAGTGCACAAAAATATTTCATCACAACCTATGTGGTGATGGGTACTTAACATACTTAATTTAATCATCATACATGTATCAAAATAAACAAAAATCGCTATACTTAGACATGTAAGGCCATTGGAATTGGTAGAACTTCACCCTGAAATTTAAGCAATAAAAATTACATTCTTATAAATTTAGAAAAGCGTCAAGAAAAGGGTAACAAAATAATAGTATATAGAGTAAAGACATGCGTAGACTAACTATTTACAAACACAGAAGAGATGAAGATATGAAGTGCAGGTGAAGTAATAAATGAGTGTTAAGTTAATCAAACTATACAATTAATAATGGTGTAATTAAAAGGTGGTAATTTGAAGATAACATCGGCATACAGTATTATTACTACGTATAAATAGAATATTCATAATTATACTGGTTGATAATAGAAAACCATTTTATCGATTAACAAACATACAATTAAAAAAAAATAGTATTAATGCATTATTCATTACATGCGATATTTGGTTTATAAATATGATTTATGTAGTCTTAATCATTAACGAAACAAATTTAAATTATATAATAACATATACATAACGTTAGGCATAACATAGTTATTATGTTTGGAATAGTTAATTGAGAAAATGCCTATGAACCGAGTATTTTCTACGAATCGGTTTCCACTAAAACATGATGTTCCTCCTGAGTATCGTTTTTATTTTCAACTTCGTTCACCACCTGATACATTTTAAGTATTAAAACGTCATCCTCACTACTTTCCCCTGCTATATCGGTATTTTCTTTTTCAGCATTTTGGTAAGATTTATCTTTAATGCTATCCTCAACGTGTGTTTCATCTATCAAACTTTCATCGCCAATTCTTTTATCCTCGAAAACTTCAACAAATTCTTCGCCAAATTGTTTATCTTCAAGAATTTCGACGTTTTCCTCACTAACTGGTGTATTGTCCAGATCTTCGGCGTTTTCCTCAGTAATTAATTTATCCGCTGGTACCTCAACGTTTTCCTCGACAATTAAATTACACTCAGCCCCTTTCTGATCACTTTCATCCGTCTTAATCTCATCGTTTTCAACACATTCGACAGCCGCATCTTCAGTCGCTACGACTTTTTCAAAATTGACAGCCTTGTTTTCCTCAGCTTCGTCATCGGTCTCTTGGGCTTCTGTAACCGAATCACCATCGTCAGATACATTATCTATCTCGTGTAACTCATTAATTCCTTCTCCGACCGTCTCAATGTCGAGTACTCTGTTGCATTCTAACGACTCATTTGATTCAGCAGTCTGAGCAACCTTTTCGTTCATTAAATTGTTATCGGTAAAATCTTTTATTATGTCGTGTACATCATCAGCGTCTTTCTCAATCTCTACCAAAACCAATCCATCGTCATCTGCTGTTTCATCCGTTTGATCTTCTTGACGCGCTCTAAACTCAATAAGATCTCTCCTGGCCCCAAACTCGACCTCGCCGTTCGTCTCCTCGCTTTCGTTTTCCTCTACAACCGACACCTTTTTTTCGCCATCCCAATTAACTATTCCATTATCATTAGTATCTAGTTTATCACATGCGTCGTCGTCATTATTCTCGACAGCCTCCGAAGCAATGGTCGGCTTTTCACCGTTAATGTTAACCTCATCGTCGGGTACACCATTTACCTTTATCGCATTTTCTATATTGTGCTTAATAGGTTCTTTTTGTGGATCATGCTTGCGTTCGCTGACGGAAGTCACGTGATGTGTTTTATTCGCTTCTTCGGAAGTCTTTGGATTTACCGCGTTAGCGTTGACGTCGGCTGTGGGCAGTGTGTTCGCTTGTTCTATGTCGGCTTTTAGTACCTTACTGATTTCGGAGATGGGTTTTAGTAGAGCGATCAACACGTCGTCGTCTCTCCTCTGAAAAATGCGATAAATACAATTATCTGAAACACTTTTCAATTATTGCAGTAGTATAATACAAAATAATATATTGTTTTTTATTTGTACAATTCGTTTGTTCAAAGCTATGTATAACTACTAATTTACTTACTCTTTCAAATAATAACAACTACTAGAAGCGGTTGTAAAAATAAAATCGTCTGAACAAACATTTCGTTTAAACGCGAGCCAATTTCCAAACAGAATTATTATACATAAATATAGCATTTTCTGCACCGGGGTTGGCGGAAACGTTGCGATATACGTTTGTAGCATTGCAAAACCCTCTGGCTTAACTCGGGCCTCGAGCCAGTCGAATTCCTGGCACAAGCAATTGATGCGGTATTGTCAAAAAAAAAAAAATACTTTTTTCACCTACGACTCTCCGTCCGGGCGACGACGGACATGGCGACATGGAGGGATAGAAGTTAAACAATAATAACAACATATGCGCGTGATTCGGGACCTAAATTTGCCACAAAACGTTGCCAAAACACGTCTTAGTATGATATTATAGACGGTCTCTCGGCACCAACGACAACAACACGGTTTATGAATTGGGAAAACAATAGAACGAAAAATAAAAAATGAATCGCAGGCGCCTGTTCATCTAGTGTATCTCGCATTAATACGCAAAAACGACATTACCGGGAAGACACAGAGTAGTGAGTATATTAGCATTACTCTTATGTAGGTCGGTAGATCACATGTGCGCACAATGTTTATGAAGTCCGAGTGTGCGATTAATTTTAATACTGTTTTGGTAAACGATTTTTGGTCACTCGCATAATTTGTTTGTTTTATTTCTGTTTTGCTCAGGAATGCCGACGTGGCCCGGTGCCAACGGACCCACGGCCCGGCCTCACCGTGATAGATCTATTTCTGTATTCAAGGTGGATACGGCCGTTTGAGTGAATTTACGATCGAATATTATTTATTTTACTTTTTTTTTTAGGCTCATTCGCAAAACGATTCACACCCTCTGTTCATTTCCTAAGTACACGCGTTGAAGGCAATAACGATTACAATCCATATAGGTACTCACTTGATATAATATTTCACGGTCGAAGAACACGAACCCCCGGCGTTTGGCAGCGATCAGCAGGCCCACCACCTTGTCCGATATTTTAGTGTAGATCTGGAAAAAGAATTTAAAAAAAAACCCACCCAAATATCAACAGACTAGAACGGCGAATAATTATATAACGTATACATGTTTTTCTCCAACGGGAAAGTAGCCAAAATCCTACCCACATAAAAAAAAATGTTACTATAAAACTCACCTGGAATAATTCGCCAAAACTAATGATTATGGTGCCGTCGTCGAACTCATTTTGGTCGCCTGATCCTTTTTTTGATGTGTTGTACGTACCCACGTCGTGAATGACTGTGCACAGCTCTAGGATCTCACGACATATGTGCGATTTAGCTTTACGACCCCTAAGATCTGTCTTGGAACCCGCAATCGGTCTAAACATTAACAGTATTGATTTAATTTTATTGAAAGCACTTTCACCTCATCGGTATCACGTAAGCGCCACTTGGAGGGAAGCCGGGGTATGCTCAGCACTCCTAGTTTTGAGTTATAATAGTATCTATGTGTGTAAAAATTTTAAATAATTATCGACTTGATAAAGTTTAATTATTTATTCATTTTTTTTTTGTTTTTACCCCCATCTCAACTTAGTTTTTTTGATAGCAACTTTTGAAACTTAAATGGTAACGCATACATTTTATTAACATTTTAAATTGAGAATAATGTACTTCAAATTTTGACTGGTCGATAACCAGCTTTGGATAATTATTTTTGAAGTCATTGAAGTTTCAAAACTTTATGGAAAAAAAATTCAATTCTTAATTAAACCCATTGAGATATTAAGTGGTTCACGATAAGTTGATCACCCTGTATACAATTTGCGAATTTATGTCTTTTGATCATTTATTTCTAAGTAATTTTATTGACGTAATAAAAGTTGTTAAAAAACATAAAATTAAACATTTTTAAGGACAGAATTCCAAGTTTTTCATTGAAAATTACGCCTAAAGATTTATAGCTACAGTGACCTTTACGTTCTATATTATGGCTATTAATCTTTATTATGGAAGGAAGGGGTGTAATGTCTGGCCAATAAAATATAAACTAACCGATTTGATTAATAAGCAGCTCAACATTTAAAGTAGATCGTTCTCCTTTAAGTTTAAAAAAAAAAACTATTCACTTTGAATATGACAATTTAATAAGCTATTCTATAAATATCTAAACTACACCTTAAAATAACATCTTAAACTTGATTACGTTAAAATCAGTGGCATGTATAGGAATTTTGTTTGGGGGAGGGGCGCGAAAGGGTTAAAAGTGAACCGTGAGGCTTCGCTTTCACACCCCACAAAAATTATTTGTATAGCTCTTATCATAAATAAATTCCAAATGTAATTTTTTTTAAGAGGACCTCCAATAGATGCAGTATTGTTTCGTATAATCATAATAACAAATCGTTTTTCTTTCATCTAAAGAAAAAAACCGTAAACTAATATTTTATACATAATATTTTATCTTAAAAAACCAATACAACAGAATTTTCTTTAAATAAAAAAAACTACATATTTTAAACTATTTCTAAGACCAGTTCTGAATTTAGCAAAAAAATACACGTTCAATGAAAAACATTATTTGAAAAAAAATATATAAAAATGTTCAGAACACGCTGAAAATGCCACAAATTACAACTTTGATGGATATTTCAAAATAACTAGATGTACAAGAAAAATTATAAATATGTAAGTTAATTCTTGTTCCAAAAAAGAAATTTAATTTATTTAATAGTGTTATTTTTCAGAACAGTATTGCGTCTAGTAGTTTTAAGTAGCTTACTCCAAAAAGGCGGATTGTGCCAAACGTTCTCATCAATTAAACGGCGTAAATTATTCTTATAGTTGTAAACGATGATCAGAGATGGATAGTTAGATTATAACAAAACATATTGTTTTAAACTATGGGTAGATCCGCAAAAACTAGAATTTTCAAAAAAGTCATACAACGGTTTTAATACTCACTTAGTTATGATTTGTAGATATGTATCAAATATAAATATATGTATAATTTATTTTATACTAAAATTGTATGTACACATATGTATACGATTAGTATTGCGTTTTTCTAAGACATAAAAATAGTTGCATATCTATTTGTTTTTGTACTTATGAATCATGTAAGCTCCATTTCTGTTTAGAACAAGATATCCGTTGATCAAATTTATAAATTTTTTTTTTATTTAAAAAGAAAGCCAACGTGGTATGAACGGTACATTACTCCGCTGCACATACTACCTACTGCACCGGTTAGAACTCGCATCGACTGACCGAAAAGTCGTTCCGATAGCCGATCAAACGGGGTTTGGTCGAAAATGGGCTGACCTTAGCAAACTACTCACTTTCCGTATTCCTCCCGGGAAAATCTAGGAGACGGCGACCGGGACTGTTCGTACCGTCCGGAAAACGGGTTCAGAGCTTGCGACTGATTGTGCTCGACGGCCTGTTGATTGAACTTAGACACTATGTCCAGGAAAGACATTATCGCTGTAGCTGCCGGTGACTGCCGGGCGCCGATCGCTGGTGTGGTATAGTAGCGTGTACGAATGGATCGCCACGGCAAAGTTCACACCGGAAGGAAGGTGTTGTGTGCTTGCAGCGTCACGGCGAGTAACTGCGCCGGCGTTCAACAGACGGCATCTAAATGCTGTAAAACGTGCATATTATTATTTACGAAACGGGCTTGCCAAGGAATGCCGCGCAAAACCGTCGCCGGCGCCACCGATGCTGGGGAACCCACGTGGTTGGGTTAGTGCATGATGTTTCTATTTTTTTTCGCAAACGTCACGCTCGAACGGTACCCTCCCTCGCTCATAACTTCCCCTCTCTCGTCCCCGGTACAGGGAGACACGCCGCGGCCGAAACACAACACTGTTTTACGGTGATTTCGGTTTCAGCTATATCCTCTCCGGACGTCCGGCCGTTTTCGAGCAATAACAAATTGCCCGCCGATTCGCGCCAAGGCCTCCGCGATTCACCGCGACGGATTTAGATCAGTGTTCGACCGCAAACATCATCATCTGGACGATTGACGAGAAACAGCAATGCTGCTCTGCGTATTGGATCACGGTCAATGATTTAGCGATCTAACCGTTTCAAGGCTGGCCGGAGTGATCGGAAAATGCGGGAGTTCCCGCTTTAAAGTTCACGCGAACTTCAATTGTGGTTATTCGTTGTATACAAAACTAATTTCGTGTGAAATTCAGCGGCTTAGTTGTTATGTCCAATAATGGAAAAATTATCATTCGTAACGGCGAAAATTGTAATTGACCCTATTGCGAAACGTTATGTAATAAAGGAAGGATACCTGTTGAACAAATATTTCTATTAGTTTAGATAATATCCATATTTGTTTTATCTTGGTTAAATAACAAACTGTTGTTTTAAATAAACGATATCAACGCGTAAATATATACACGTTTAGTATCAATAGTTTTATTATTTACCTTGGATTAAAAAACAGTTTCACTAGAATTAAAATAGTCTATGAAAAGAGTATCAACAATTTATTAGTCGGAAAAGTCAGCGCAAAACTGAACACCTCATATACCTGTAAAAGTAATAATCATCGTTCGAAAATCCAGGAATGCTATAATACTCGTACATTCATATGTTTAATGTTTATGATTAAATTTCAATTATTCATAAAATGTGTTTATAAACCATGGTATTATATGAAAAAATTCATGCTTTTGATAAAACAAATTATTTTACTAATATAATAACTAAATAGTGAAGTTAGACTAAGTACACTAGGTATAGTGTCTGAAGGCTGGTCCTGCAACTTGTCTGCAAAGTCAGTGCAACTATTTAAACACCTGGACACGCGTATTTGAAAATAAATTAAATTACTACATGACCCATAAATGCACTAATTTTTGTTTGCGGTTACAACAGCGTGCAACGTTGTTCATATAATAATTATGATATTTAATGGTAGAAATAACGACTCTTTAATGTTAATTCATCGGCTTAATAAAACTCATGAAAAATGTCCAATCAATAGAAAATACTTAATTGTTAAGACACGAAAAAATGTATGACGATTACATGTTCTCGGCTGAATTGTTAATGATAAAATATTGCCGTTTGGTTAGGTTAAAGCAATCGTCAATTGTATATAGTTGGTATTTTTAATTTTATTAACAGTATGAACTACTTTGTTTAAATCATTTTTAATGTTTAATTATGACACATCTAACTACACTTATCTATCTAAAGCTAAAAACAATTTTTTTCTTTATTTTTCGATTTTATAGGCATTTAGAAAATCCGCTTGCACACACATCAGGTGATTTGGCATGGAATGACCCTATTACATAATTTTATTTTGTTAGAAAAAATACATTCAAGTGGTGCCCTATAGTTGTTAAAGAAATTGCTTTACCACATGTTATAAACGTAATTTTTGTAAGATATAATATACATTTTTTACTTATTTTTCCCAGACATCTGATAATTTAATCTATTTAAAAAATGTATATAATATTATAAAATTTAAAAAAAAATTGGACATTGAAGGACTATTATCATTACCATCTGAAATGAATGACTCACGATGTATTCGCCAGACATTCTTTATTTTTCTTAGTTTGTAATAGTCCTTACGCTTTAAAGTACATTATTCATTGGGTTTTATTTTTAGCACTTTGTCTAAATATATAGTTTATTCTTCGCGAGTGGCCAACTAAGAGTTTAGTTCAAAAATAATTTTCCACTTGTAAATTTTCATTTTTGGTGACTAATTATTGCGATTTTAAAACGCTTGAATTTAATTAAGGGTTCTGCGTTTCGAAAATAGGCAAGTAAAATAATATTTTTTATTTTTACTCCATTAAAGCGCAGGACAAACAGATAAACATACTTTACATATAGCATACTATACGGTGGTCCATGTTTTTAGTATCGTATTAATCATGAGTTATAAATAATCTTAAGAGTTATTTATAGTAACTTTTATAATACAAATATATTTAATAATAGTTACAATTTGCTACTAAAGTAAATATAAAATGTTTCACAAAGTCGTGTTTACACGTGTATTCTAAAGACGTTGAATCATGGTATTAGCCATTAGGTACATTGTAATTTTTTTTAGTATATTAATAGACATTGACTGTATACTAACACGTTGACTGTATTTTTGTTTCTTGCTATCTTCACAAATCACATATTTTTATACCAATAGGCAACAGTACTTGATGAGTTGCATAGGAGACTGGAGAAAATAAACGTAAACAAAGGCATAATGGTTTTGATATCAACATAAACATTTAACGCTTATAGTTTACAATATTATGTAAAATTAAGGTTTTTTAGTTTTGACAGCACTTATGTCTTATGTAATTATTATAACTGTAAGTGATAAAATCACTATCAAATAAACATTTTTGATAAATAATTTTTTATCAAACAGGTTCGCTTCGACGTGAAACTGTTGATGGTAGGAATATTAAACATCAATAAAAATTAAAAAACCATCAATAAATTGTAAAGACAATAATGTGCTCTAAATATAATATGTTTAGAAATAAGGTTGATCGTCTGTCTATTAAAATTATTAATAGCCGCCGTTGTTTCCCATGTATAATTAACAATATGCAAATATTTTTCAAATACCAAGAAAACAAAACTAAATTTTTTGTAATTGAAAAAACTAAAAGAAGTAGAATTTTCGGTAGGTAATTTAAAATTGAATATTCAACAACAGTTGTAATTTTAATTTTCGATATGCAAATTTATCTTCTGTATGTAACGTTACTGTATTGAAAGATATTAATACAAAAGTTTAGTTTATATTAAAATGTGTTTCGTTTTAATTATATACGGTCAATATCCCATTATGAAAATATATTTGTTATTCTTTTCATAATCTGCTATCGTTTTAATCGCTGAAAACTGATTCGGTGGATTAATAACATGTGTAAGTATAGTTTTATTTTAATATTTTCTATAACTAATAGTAGGATATAAATGACGTGCAGCTGAATCTAACGTTGGCCAATTTCGCCAAAGCGTCTACCATCAGGGTGAATTATAGTAATCAAAAGTCATACAGTTTCAGCGCTGTCGTTCAAGTCGTTAAAACTACTTAAATCCTATGGTTTTGGATAAGAGCCGAAAACCGCGTTCATTGACTGTAAGTTCGCACATCGTAAAAATAAAAACGTTTAGGGTCATGTCGATAACGCCTTGGGAAATGGCAATAATTAACCACCTATCTGTTGTCACTGCAAATAGGTGAATTCAGTAACTGAAAATAAAACAATACCTATATCTATAACTAAAGTATGAGCTGAATTACCTCTAGAACGAGTTAATAAATTAATGATTTGAAATAATTGACCAGCCAACGTCCACCAAGAAGTGTCATGGAGTCTAGTCACAGAGATTGAACAATTATTCCTCTGAGAGCCGGATCGCCAATACATTCCTACCCGTCGTTCGTTTTTTTTATTCTTATTAAATTAAAAAAATATACAAAATGTCCAGCCGGTTTCACCAACTATTGTTAAATACACTCTTAACACAATGTTAGTTAACAATTCATTTAAATTTAACATCTGGTTAAAAGAAATGAGTTTCACCATAACATTATTATTGTTAAATTGTACTTGTTAAGTTAACAAAACGTTAGTTGGGTTACCAAAGCGGTTACCCTCGATTCCAACGTTCTCATTGGTTATCAAGATATGTGATAACTGATAAGTGATTGTATTATTTAATTTGACAGTTTGTTATTATTTGACATTTTATTTTACTTTCTTTTAACGTTTCGGTTTTTATAAATTCATATAAATCCAGCTATTTCAAAAAATTTAATTTACATAAGTAACATTCAAAAATTAATTAAAAATATCTTCGACCCCTGTTCTGATGAACTTTTGTGTATGGTGTTCGTGTTCGGAAGAGTTGAACCTATGATACCATCAAAACTTCAGCTCAAACTAAGGAATAGGAAAAAAGTTACGCATTGATTTGTGCACAAGTGTCGAAATCCTATATTAAATCCCATTTAAACTTCAACCTTTATGGAGCACGGGTTAAAAAAAAAATTTTTCAACTTTTTTTTTTGGATCTTATTTTTATTGTATAAAAATAAAATAACTTACTATAAATAACTTTATGTATTTAGAATATTCAAATATGTATAAAAAAATAACAATAACGCCAGCGTTATAACAAAGCGTTAGGCATAAAAAGTTGAAGATGAATTTTTTATTTTGCAACAAAGAATAAAAAGTTATAAAAGCAACAATAATTGTATTATTGAACGCTCAAAAAGCGAATACCATGTTTCTACTTTATTGTCTACACCTTTAAACATTAATTCGATTAGGCTTTTTTTTTTTACTTGTATGACATTTATAAAAATTGAATATCGAAGAAAATTATTGCTAACATTTAATCTTATTAGTGGTTTATTTGAATTATCAATTATTTTTAAAACAGAATAATGGCCACATCCACAATGTATTAAAGAGTTCCGTAAAGGTAACGTTTCGTCCAATCTTAATTTAAAGCTAAAACTATAGTGTACATTTATCAATGATAAAAGGAAAATGTATTGTTGCTTGTACCCTTTTTTAATATATTATTACAGTTAGCATTAATGATGGTAATATTACTGCCGAAATACGCCTATACGCTGTTTTAAGAGCATTTTTTTTTTTGTGTTCAAGAGTTTTATTTACTATGTATAACCACGAGTGTTGCTTTAATTTTTTCTAGACTATTTCAGTTAATGCTAAGGCCAATAACTAAAACTAAATTTATGCAACATTGTATAGTACCTATTTTAAATATTAGGCGTAGATAAATATTATTTTTTTATTAAAAAACAAAAGCTTGCGCCTAAAATGTCCAAAGCAATTAGTCATCATTTGTTGCCAACACGTTAATCTAAGGCGTCTTATATTTGACTCAAACAAACTTATTTGTATTGTATTATTACATCAGTAAACGTAATTGCTTTAAAGAATATCAAGGATTTCTCTGAATACGCCCTTTGATTAGTAGTTGTTTTTAATACAAGTCAGTCATAGTTATTAGTTATTACAGTGTGTTTGGCGCTTTATGCCGCTATCTATTCTTTAATATTTAAACGTCTACTTTTAAACAAAAAAGTTAAAACGGGTATTTTAGCTTGTAAAATATAATATCAAGGTTGTGTAGTATTTGGAAAATAATAGTACAGGTCTAGTGATTTTGTCATTTCAAGTCCTTGAAACTATTCAGTTTGCAGTAACACTTATTACCTACCTTGCGTTTTATGATGAAACAGGTAACTAAACAAAGTTAAAAGCTATAAAAGATTACAATATATAGCAAGATTTTAGAAAAAAACCAAAATACAGTTTTCGCTTTTTTTTTTTTTTTTTGCTAAATCCAAATCAGACAAGAATTTCTCTAGCATGAATAGTTATTTTTGAAACGTTCTCCAAGGTCGAAAGACACTGTTTAGAATTATTTTCAGCGTGTTCTGTAAGTACGTGAAAACAGTTTGTAAGTGTTAAAATTACAACAAACTGTTACAAAATAGAAAAAATATTAATACCAAAAATTCTCTTGCATAACAGAAATATTAATATGTTTTTTACCTAATTGTAGTATTTTGTTCATAATTGATGTAATCCCTCAATTTTTATGAGCATTTTTACAACGTGATGCTTTTTGATTATAGTCGGGCTCACGAAAAGTGAACGTTCAAGGCCGATGGGCGGTGGGCAAATATTGTGGATTCCATAAAGTGGAAAAAATGAGTAATTTTAATATGCTTTTTGGAGTTGCTTTGTTACAAGGATAATTCAAAATAATTTGTTTTTTTTTTTTAATTGGGATTGTAATTTAAAATGTGATAAGTACTTTTATGGGTCAACTGTGTTTGTGAAAAATGAAAATTAAATATTATTTTTGCGGCCGTTGTCCTTTCATAAATATGCGATATTATTACTCATTCAAGTGGTTCCTAGTATTAGTAATATAGTAGTAAATTATGATTATTGTTGTTATTATTTTGTTATTGTATTTTTTGAGCTTTGGTAAACATTATAAAGCAAAATCGTTGCTGTGTGCGTGGACTGTGAAGGCGTCAATCTTATATTTTGTGAGCTGCTGCGATTTGATCTGGTTTTCGCGGTTAATAAATACTTTGCTGGAGTTCAATTGACGACAAAATGTGTGTTTTATAATTTTTGGTGGAACTTGAGCACAGAGTAATCGCACTTACCGGGTTTAAATCAATTACTAGTTAAATGCTTAATTATAATTAGGACCCGAGATTACTCCACAAAGCGAATGGGTAATTTTAAAATGAAGTCCACAAGAAAAAAATGTAAAAAAAACTATATCGAAATTGACTTATTTTATGCAACGAATATGTAATAAAAATAATGAGCACAAGTAAAACATTATTACAAAAGATAAAATTAACTGAACGAATACATTGCATTTAGGTCCATTTTATGTAATCATGTATTTAAAACAAAACAATTCTAACGACTATAGTTCGTTTTTCGAACTTTGAGACATACTAAACTGTTTTTGCGACATCACGTGATCCAGATGTGACAGTAGTGGCAATTCCTTCCAAAAACGATATTTCTCTACAAAAGGATTCTGCTTCGTGGTCGGTTTCGGCGAGTTGACGTGCAGCAATAACGAATGTTCTAGCGAAGTGAACTGCGGCCAAGCCGGGCCGTCATCTTCCCCGTCGACGGTGGGATTCCTAGTGGACAGATACTAGTTATTGTAGGTAATTTTGTTTCGAGCGTAAGCATAAATACCCGGATTTGGCGAATTTTGTCCAAATGTTGATCATCAACTTGGAGATCTCCGTGTCTCGGTCGTTCAACCCTTTCGGCAACACTTCGGGCATTTTGAACAAATTAATCATCTCGTCGCCGTGGGTGACGCCAAGCGATTTGTCGCACTTGCCGTACAGCCGATTGAACGAAAACTGGTTTTGGTAATCAAAAAGATACAAGTAAACGGGCGACGACAACTTCAACGACATGTCTATGACAGCCGAAACGAACGTACCATCACCGACCATCTGGATAGTGATCACATACATATATGAATGCCTTAAAATCACGTCTTATTATTATTGTCGTGAACTTACATCGACCGCATTTAAATAGGAATGATCGTCTAGGCGACCAGCCGGCATATAATGTTTGAGCACGGTTTCGCTGATTTTGTCTAAATGCTCGGGCTTTGCAAAGTGTTTGTACGCCAAAATACTCGGCATTAGCCTATTGAAATCTGTCTGCAGTTCCGGATACATAAGCGACGTGCTGTTGTACCACGCTACACAAAAACGTCAACGCTTAGCTTCAACTATATTATGCTCTGAACATACAAATTAAGTGTAAATCATTAAAGACCTTACATGATATAAAAATTCCGCCTTCTCCCGAATTAATGCCTATAATTGTCGGTACGTGTGATTCTTGTTTGAAATCGGTCAACGGATGGCGACATAGGAAAGCCTCGTCAGAATTACACGACTCGACTACCGGATTGAAAACTATGCATGGATGAATATCCCATTCCTGACAGTAAAGAAAAAAATATAATATCAATTTTCTAACCCGCGAAAGAAATTCTAGTATAAGTTTGATCATTTTCGGATATATATCCATGTTGTCATTAGTTAGCTGAGTATACCCGTACAATGGAACAACAAGGTCTATTTCTTTGAAGATACAATGAGTTCGAAACGTTTAACTAATTAATGACAACATGAATAGATCCGATGAAACATGAATTCAATCCATACAATTTTAACACATGAAAAAAATTCGAGGAATAGATAAAAAAAAAAGAAAATTTTCCCTTTCGGATAAACATTGAAGCGTGATAATGTTTTTAACTTTGGTGGATAGCCTATATATTTATAACACAAAATGTATCGATTATCAATAATTATCAAATAATCTATTCAAATTTACTCCATATGATTAATAATTTACGAGGTGCCCCTCTTTCTGTGACCTCTTCTCCCTAATTTTTTTTTTATAAATATAGAATATCCCCTTAAAGTTTACATACATAACAGAAAAAATTACAAAACCAATACTGATAAAGTTTATTACTTGATAATTTAATGATAATTTATGGGATGGCATTATATAATAAAGACCTATCATTATCCGTTTCTCTCGTGTAGTCAATAGATTTTATACAGTTTGTATCTTTCTATCTTCCTCAAAAAGAGAGCAAACTTATACCGGTAGCGTATAGGCTGCCCTATCGATTCTTTTATTATCTACTTATAACTTATCATTGGTCCGTTATCGGTAATATTTACCAGCTGTAATCATTGATGTATCCCTTAGTGTTAAATTTAATAAAAACCCAGATACTCACGAAAAACTTCTGGTAAAGATCTCCGAACGTATTAGCCGGAAGGGCTTTTAGACATTTTAATATATCTTCGGAACTGCTAAAAAGACATCCGGCCATAGTAGCTACAGCTTCGGCTCGTTTTCGCGCTAAGCCCGGTACGGACGTTGCCCACCTACAAAGTGGGACACCACTCTGTAGAATGGCCTTGTGGAAAAGACCTTTGCTCATTGGCGATAACAAGTGGTATCCAGTGCTGGCTCCACCAGCACTTTCACCAAATATTGTCACGCTAGTTGGGTCTCCTCCAAAGTCGGCGATGTTCTCCTGCACCCAACGCAGAGCCATTACTTGGTCCTTTAAGCCGAAATTGCCGGGAATCGCTTCATCTTCGGTGCTGAGAAATCCTAAAAACAACATTTGTAAATTGTAATCCCGGCGGCAGGGGGTTTATAAAATGTTTACCCAATAGCCCGAGTCGATAATTGAAAGACACGAACACTACGTCTTTGTCCATGAAATATTCCGGACCGTAAAGACTGGTTCCGCTATGACCGGCTGCAAATCCACCGCCGTGTATCCAAACCATGACTGGCAATTTCCCACTTAAATCTGGCGTAAACACATTTAAGTGCAGACAGTCTTCTTCGCCGAGCAAAAAGTGTTTGATCGATTCGATAAAATGGTTCTTTTGAATGCATATTGTGCTCTCCTTAGTAGCGTCCAAAGTAAAATTCCACGGGTCTACCGGTTCGGGAGACTAAAAAAAAAAAACCCAAAAAAATGTATTAACCTCAATACGTACTACATGTCTAGCATTAAACAATGTAATCCGAAATGCAATTAAACACCTTAAATCGAAGATCTCCAACAGGCGGTTTGGCGTAAGGTATACCAGTGTACGAATAAAACGCACGACCTTCTCTAGATGTTAAGGTCTTTCCCTTCAAATAACCTTTATGTGTGTTAACAATCGAGTCGCAAGAAGCTGCGGCCACAATTGCGAGAATGGCTAAAACTGACCACGTCATTTTCGGCTAAGTTGAAAAACAAAATAAATGTTTATTATTAACATCTTATAAACCATTTCCTACATACATTTGTCTATAATAAAACTATCGTATGATAAACTTCCATGAAATTTTAAAATATGTTAATGTGAGTAAATATTTTATTGGGTAATTTTTTTTAATGTACGCCTTCCCCCTCAAAATCGAGAAAAACACCCAAAAGTTTACATATTTTACCGTTATTCCCAGGAGAGATGGAAATTTTATTTCTCTTTTTTTTTGCGTAGTGCAAGGCTTAAGGTTTGAATGTATATCTCAAGTGGAGCTATAAGCTATAACGCATATAATTTTCTCACCAAATCTGTAGTCAAACTTTATTTTTAAATTGTTTTCGATAGTAGTAACTCAATCTATCGAATGACACTACGACTTGTCTCGATCTCGCTTTACACGAAGACGTTGTTTTGGTAACACTAAAGTCTTCACACGTCTTACCAAAATTTCCGTCAAAAGGGAAAATAAGCCGTATTCAATTTCCAAGTTGCTATGTGATTAACAACGTATGAATAAACAGTATAATGCATAATAGGTTTATTTATTTGAAATATACTCTTTGTAGTCATTTCGAATAAATTTTCTTGGGAGAATAATTGTGGACAAGAAAGTTTTAATTCTTAACACTGCTTAAGGTAGTAAATATTTCCCCTAAATACCTGCGGCTCTGGTTCTTATTGATCTTGATATATGAGAAGGCAACTTCCTAGAGCGTTAAAGTATTAGGGGCAACACAATTTTATCAGCGAAAACTTCTTAAGGTACGTAATATTATTTTTTTTAATACCCATCTTGTAAAAATTTAACTATTTAAAAAAAAAATAATAATATTATGTTTTTATTTCAGTTTATATTTTTATTCGAATATCGATTAAGAGCGGTCGGAGTGTATTTGTTAGTATTATTGTTCACTGCAAATTATCTTGCCTCCTAAAAAATACACATTATAAGATTATTATTAACACATGTAGGTTGTTTAAAAAGCCCATACGACCCCTGTATGTAATATGTTGTTTATTGTAGCGGTGACGGTATTATGAACAATTACCGACATTTCGGTGTTGATTTCAATACTGGTAGAAAAGAGTATGTATACCTTAATACCAGTTGAAAACGATTTACCGTAATACCAATTTGTGAACAAAATATTTAAAAAATTTACAATATTAATGTTATATTAGTATAACATAAATAACCAGTTTTGGGTGATTGTTACCAGTGTTTAAAATTTAGGACGCGAGGTAGAAAGCGGTAGATTAATGCGCGCAGATAAAAATAATACTACACTCCACTCTGCCACTACCAATCAAAATTTTCAGCAAATTATTCTTAATTAAAAAAGTTAATCAAATTTATACTTTATCATTTAGGTAAATATTTAATATTTTTTTTTAATAACAAAACAAAAATGTTTTTAAAATGAATCATTATGAAATTACAACTATTTTCTGAACAAATTAATGTCTAGAAAAAACTGTTAAGCAAACTTATGGATAAATATATATATATGTCTTACGTTAAATTAATCACCATGCGTTTAAAACGTTGAACACACACAAAAAACGTACATTTTTATTTTAACAGCAAAAACTAACCACTGTAATAAGTCCTTACAAGTTTTATTACTATAGTCTTTAATAAAATACAATTTTATTATTTGACCACAATAAGTTTATTGGTATCATAATTAAAAAGTCAATAAAATATGAACGAGGGATTTCTGAAGTCCGTTTAATTGCACAACAAAATATACGGTTTCCTAATATACGTTTTTAACCGATTTGTTTTTTAAATGCTTGTGCTTTACAAGGACTAGCTTTTGTAGACTAATGAATATTCATTATTTTTTGTTGTTAACATATTTTTCCAGGTTCACATTTTATAAACGACATTTTGAATTATTATGACTATTTATTCGAGAAGTTATAAAGTAGACATGGACAATAAATATTAATCCTAATTGATAATAATAATAACCGTATTTATTAGAAAAACGAAGCCTAATAAAAAACCAGTGTAACCCAACATAAAATGAGAAGCGTGTTTAGAATCTAAACTTTAGACCCTAAACTCAAAGCATGCAAAAAATGGAAAAAGTTTTCAGACCTTAAAACCGAAACTCAAAACAAAAAACACGTTAACAACTAAAACACTAAAACCGAAAACTCAAAAACCGTTTCTCTACCTGAAGTCCAAAAAAAATTTATCCATTTTAGCCCCCTACAATAACCGGATAGGGCATAAATTATACATTTATACCTACAGGCTACAGGCTACAAATACATACTGCGACCTGTACCTAAAACTGAGAATCCGCTGTGAATCATAAATTATATAAAACGTGTAACTTCCAACGGAGAATCATTGTTAGGTTAAGTTAGGTTCTACTAATAACGTTTCAAATAAAAAGCGTTCTTAACAATATATAATTTTAATATAACAAAAAAAAAATTGGAGGTGGATCCTTGGACTATTTTGCTGGTCGTTGTTTTTGTTGATAGTCCGCCACTAACATAATACAAATTAATATAATTTATATTAACTATAATATACATACATACTAAATACATACTAATCAACACGATTTGTAAAATGATTCAGGTTTTACGTTTTCAGTGTCAGTAATGTCAAATGTATCACCCGGATCGTTGGCTGTTTTCGCCGTCATTTTATACGCAATCTACTAATAACTCGACGGTTAAATATTACACGATATATATATATATTATATTAATATACATTTTTAAGCATAAATAATGAGACTAAAGACTTTATAAAGAAAGAATTTATTTATAATTTCTAGATTACAATTATGTCCAGTAAACCCGACACCCATGAAAATATAACTATATTTTCTGTTGATTGATCTTCACTGTTTGGCGAAACCTCAAAATCAAAAGTTAAAAAAAAGTTTTCGGAGTGGCTCATTTTTTTTTTAATACAATCGGCTAACAATAGCATACTGCCGTTGATTTAAAAAATATACAAAACCAAGTTTAAATATAATGACGTAAAGATTATTTGAGTTCTTAATTTTTAAATATTAGAACGTTCGAGGAATAATTATTTCAACTTTGAGATGAACTCTGATAGTTTTAATAGTTATTCAAGTATAACGACGGTCTTCTGTTTCGCGGTCGTTTCCGTGTATTTTCGATAAAAAGCGAAACCAACGATGGCCACCGCGACGCGACCTACCGCAATTTCGGTTCTATCCGAAACACCGAATGTAGGTATAATATGACATAGTATTATTATTTTTTTTTTTGTATTGTAATGAGTCTAGTCTAAAAATACAATGTCCGTGTTACAATAATAGACAACGTGGGCTTACCTGTGCCGCAAATAATGGCCGAACCGGTAACGTGTAGTTGCACCGACGATACTGACTGACGGCAAGTCGGAAGCGACAGCCGAACGGTCGTGTACAGGGGAACAACGCTAGTCGGCTATCGACACTATAGTCAACAGCCGTCTCTGTAATGAAAAAAAACGACCTTACAGTAATATACCCGCACAGCCTATATTACGAATACAAACACACGCGCGCTGCACGTACGCACGCACAATATCGTGGCTTTTTTTTCCATAGAAAATGCGGCAAAAGACGGGCATGATCGCACGGCACCGTCGATTGCCAAACCGACGTCTAATCGTTTGACCGCGATCGACTGTAACAGGCCCCCACAGGTGGTTTTTTTGGCACCCGCGGAAAGATAATACAATATTGTGTCTAAGGGAAGAGGGAAGGGGAGGCGGTCAAGGTCGAATGTACACAGCGTACATACGCTAGGAGGCACTACAGTTCAAAACGAATTGAGAAAAATCTCCACGATTTACGGCGCGACAACGCCGCAGCGTTTAACCGACAAAATCCGTTTGTTAGTACACACCAATTGAGCGAGTTACACGTCACTAACATAATAACAAACACATTCGTTATTGTTACATCCGTGTACACTTGCGAGCCGAACCGTTCGAGAACCCGTCCAAATTTGACACGGCCCTGCGTTTGGTCGTGCCAAATCTGACATGTCGGAAATGGATTCTTGCGAACGGTTCACAGGTAGGCTCGCGACCCGCAAGTGTATGCGCGGCCCGACAGTGGACCGGTGTAGTTTTTTATGTTTTTATTTCAATTATTATTACATTATACCTCGACAATTACAATTTGAATATAACAAACCTGACTAGACTGTAATGTATAAACATGTGATGAACGCGATACAATATCGATAACTCTACAGTTTAGTGTAGATGTATATTATAATATATATATATATATTGAAAAGAAAAAAACATCTTAGATATAAAATTATTTAAGGGTTTGTATCCGACGTTAGAGGTCTGTAGGACCGGTACAGTTTAAAAGTATTATATTTTATTGGCACACGTTTCGAGTTGATCGTTAAAAATAGTCGCTCGTCAATAACATTATGTTATGAACGCACACAAATATTAGAGCCATTTTTTTTCACTAGGCCTCAACAAGACATGATTGCAGATTGTGTAACACATTTTTTTCACATTAAGATTGTGGTTTTTTTTTCGCATTTTCGTAATCGTATCAATAATAACGGGTTAAACGGTAAAACGTTGGTACTAAAATGTTGTTTTTACAACTGATGGACGTACTGATAACTACATCACATAATGTGTCTGATTATCAACGTTCCGTTTAATTGCTTCAATCGTTAAAAACAAACAATCGTCGCTGTTTTCGCCAAAAATGTTGACTTGTTTTAAATCAGCATTTTAAACTCGAAAGGATCAAGTCAACAGCCATGTAAAAATAATTTTTGATTTTGGTGTGGACGGATATTGCACCATTATCCATCGCTTCTTCTCCAACGATTCGATATTTTCTTCTTTTTTTCGTTTATCTAGAAATTCGGGTAACATTTCCATTTTGATAAAAGTGTTCTTTGATATTTCTAATGAATCCTCAAAATTGTTTTCACGAATTTCTTGAATAGAACTATTGAAACCGTTAAACATTTTACTTGCTAATTAGCGTAATTGCTATATCAATTGTAATATCTTTAGTTTGCAAATACTTTTTTGTTTTATCGATATGCGTTAGTATTTTATCCCGTATAATTAGTAAGCAAAGAAATTTTAGATAAATTAAGCCTAAAATTTGTTGGCTACCATAAATAGTGACATAGTTCATATTAGAGTCCCTTATTTGTTTTAGTATAATAATTAATATCATTACTAGCGATGTTTGTATGCAAATGGCTTGTATCTTTGGTGATCAATGATTTCCCCTGATCTGGTTACAGTTACTAATAAGTTCAATCAGATCAAGAAATATTACTTTTTTTGAGTCTGAAATATTTTCTAATTATCCTCAAAGAGCAAGATTGTTTCTACTCCAAAACATAATAATATCTTCAAATGTTTAAACATGTTGCGTGATTTTTCTTTTTAATTGTTGAACATTTTCTATACCTCACCACAATCAATAGTTTTATCATAAAGTAACCTTTTTCTAGTTCTTTTCATTTAATACAGTTTTGTTTATGCAGTAAGTTATTACCATGATTAGGCAAACAAAGGTTCAAATGTTGCCAATGGCTAAAACCGGAAACAAAAGCACAATTTGTTTTTCTTTTTGACTAAGTTCCAGAAGCCATTTGCCTAACGATGCGGATAAACTTTGATTACTGAATTCTTTCAGTTTTCTTTGCTTCTCAAACCATGCACCCAAAGGTTTTTTTGAAGCCACAATTTAAACTTTAAAAAAGAATACCTAAAAAAAGTGATAGTTATAACACAGAATAAACACAAGGGAATCTTAAAGCTTATCAAAAAACGGTCAGATATATTAAGTTTTAGCCAGTGAACTCAGATATTTTCTATTTTTTTCATTTTTCTGTGATTCATGGCTAAAACAATGTCGTCGCCATTTTTTAAGTTTGTCGAGTGAACGGTTTAGCCAGAATGAACGAAAAATGAGAATTTCCCTACACCTATCAGCACCGCTCATTTCATTGTATAGTTTCTTTTCTGTTTATTCTGTGGTTATAATCAGTTATAGATAAAATATGGATAATCAAGGACGGTTTGTTTTTTAACGGTTTTATTAAAATGTCAATAAGGTGGAACTCGGATAACTCCAATTATCCGGATAACATATGTATTCATTAACAGTATAATTAAAAAATTATATATTACCTATGTAACTTAGGTGCGAGCGTGGGACACGTCAATAGCATTGACGGCCAAGAAATGGCGATACGATTACCCGCACGAGTTATAATACATAATATCACCACTTTTAAAAATAAGATGGTTGTCGATAAACGGACGACATTGACATAATATTAATTTTATTGTATAGACAGGCGATCCGATAACGACAAGCTCGATGTTCATAATATGTGCACATACAAACCGTCACTTACGGTCAAATACAAATTTAATCGTCATTTAAACTTGTCGAAAAATAAGTTAACGCGACGTACGCTTTACGCGTTGATAATAAAAATTAATGGAACAATTTGGAATTTTCCTTGTGCTATTTTCATAATTTCATCATTTAATTCATACGCAGTGTGTGCGTTAAATAAACAAATCTTACCCATTTCAAAAAGGAAAAAATGTCTTTTGGAAGGTAGAATAAAAATGCCAATTTTGAAGCACAATTTTGCGCCCCTTCATAATTTGCGCCCTTGGCATACCTTTGACACGCCACTGAGTATTTATTTTAATTTATGTTTTTATTCATAGTGTTGCTAATCACATAATAAATATTTTATTATTTGAAAGCATTTTACATTAATTCTAATAAAGTTTATAGCATATTATTGGCCCGACGGTCGTCCACTTTTGCAAACATTTTCTAGGAGACGGGAGACCGCATGACAGCCGATAGCCGCACGCCGCCTGCTCGCACCTAATCGATTCCACTGCGCGTACACCGAACAAGCCTCAATTCCCTTTTTGAAGCCAGCAACTTATTTGGAGACAAAGATATTACAGATAATGAGGACGTCTTAGAGATTGGAAGGAAGAATTTGGATCAAGGGAAAAGTAGAAAGGATGGGAACAGGAACTCTGGTAGGTTCACAACAAGAAGATGTTCTGGTTAGTCTCGGGAACCTATTCATGTCCATGGTAGCCTGGTCAAGAGAGGATCCGGTGGCTTGTATCAGCCCAGACGCCTTCTGTGATGACATCAATGAATGTTTAAATGACAGACCCTTAGCTCAACATTTTGTGAAACAATTCTTGATGCCACTTCATTGGTACGACCGAGCGACTGAGAGTTTTGACTTTTGAATGGTGCAATTTCCAGAGTGCCTTGATTCACATGGTTTTAGTTTGTATTAAATATAAAAGGATTTTTTAAAAAAATGCGATTAATTAATACCTATTTATAATACTAATAAATCATATTAATTTAGAAGCATAAGCCATATCGTATGATATTTTTTAAATCTTAACTATTTTAATGCATATTATGAATTATAGTTTTATGAACAAAGAGCATAGCCTGGTTTTTTTATAAAAAATTCCTCCAAGTGAAATTAACTATTTGAAAGTACAATGAGTCTTCCTAGTAGCTATTGTTACACTATACTTAAATACTCACCTATACCTAGCACAAAGTATGCTTTTTTTTTAATTTAATTTATTTAATAACGCTCATTCGGGCAAAGAGTGTACATCAATGATAACAAAAGAAAACAATAATTCTAAGAATATTTTTACTACAATTGTATGATAACACTTATTTACCCGTGACCCAGACACAAAAAGCGAAGTTTAGATTCGCTTCCAAAAATAAAATCGAAAGCAATACTGTTGCATTCCTTTAACATTTGGAACAATTTTCCTTGGGGCTCATTAAAGCCACACACCGAGAGCGAAAAAGTTCCTAAAAAGTAGTCGTAGAACGAGCATTATAAGCGGGAACGTGTCAACTTATTTTTTCAAGTATTTCTGGACAATTTATTTTACTGTTTATTAATTTATTGATAAATGATATACCCCTATCCCCAAACCCATTCGGATTGACGAGACCCTACTGTATCATTAAATTTTCTTCTGGAAGAAAGAGATTGCAAATCAAGTTTGAATCTTAAGTTGTCAACGAAGCGTTTAATCCAAGCTTATACGATAAGCATCTTAAAAAACAAGATTGAACGTTATTTAAACGTCGAATCACACTGATCAGGCCAATTTGGTCAGGATTCCAAATTATAGATCCATACTTAATGCCTGAGCGAACGAGTGAACAATACAGGGTTTTCAAACATATAATATTGTTTAAGTCCCAACAGTGCCGTCCAACGAATCCTAGCATGCGCATAGCTTTTGAATAGATAGAAGGATATGTGTTCGGAGAACGAAAGATCTGCATTCTGCAGACAAGATTATACCAAGATCTTTAATAGAAGAAACTACCTTAATCATATGTTCATCTATAGAGTACCTATAAATTAAAGGGTTTTTACGTCTGGTGAACGATATAGTTGGGCATTTATCGATATTAATTTTCAATCGGTTCACAGCACACCAATCAGAAAAATGTATAAGATCCACCTGAAGTCTTTCACAATCGTATACGGAGTTAACCTCACTATACATTTTCTAGTCATTGACAAAAAACGAAAATTTACAGAAACTGAATATAAGCTTTGCATAATTTACAAACAATAAAAAGAGCAACGGCGATAAATTTTCTCCTCGGGGAACACCCGAATATGCAACAAAAGATGATACGTTTCCTGAAACAATAACCTTTTGGGGAGGTGCCATTGAGTTTATGCACTGTTTATCTTTTGCCTTTGTTTGATTTTCGGTGAATGAATAAACTTAAAAATAATAATAAATAGACATTCTTTAATATTCAAAGCATGAATTTACTTAAAAACAACTATATTAATCTTTACTACATCATATTAAGCATTTTACGGTTCTAAATTCAGTGTTGAGTAATGTAATAATAATAGTATAATTATTTTATTTATTAGTGCTACATGAAAAATAAATGACGTAATCGGTCCTTCAGCGAAATCATGAAACATTTTTAGGAACCTACTATATAGGTATTTGGTGAGCAATTACCATTATTATTAACAATTATCATTCATTAAAGACACTGCTAATATAGTTGGAACTATATTTCATACATTATACACATATTATATTAAAAGTTATAAATTTTATTCCATTATTGATTTGGTTTGTAACTTTTGTTTTTTAATTGTTTTTTTTATAAAACTTTATATGCATTCAGTTAAACGATTTTGGAATATTTAATAACATTTTTATTGCCAAAAAATAATACAACTCGACCAAAAAAATGAAACAATGTGTAATTCCATTTATTGTTGTTACTTGTTAATAATCAAAACAAAATATGTTTGATGGAAATAGCTTAATGTTAATTGCTAGAGCACGTCAAACGTCATGTAACCTGAAATATACATATAATAATGTTGTACTTAATGATTATAAATTGTTTGTATTTTTTAGTTACATATTTATATATATATATATACATAACATCCATGGTTAATACTTAATATTAGATTCATTAATAACGACTAATTACATAAATAACTATGGTAATTTGTGTATTGCCTACAAATGAATTGTAAATCAACTAAAATGTACCAGCAAAATATTTTAGTGGCTCACCTATGGACTTGAGACACTATAGAAGTTACTCTGCTACTTGTCCACATCCATAGTTAATTTTATTTATTAGGTGTAATTAAATATTACATATTATGTTTAAAAAAAACTATACATAGTTAATTTCTGGTAAAGTGAGCTTGTAAAACGTTAATCTGGGTAATTCATAACTGGTTTTATATTTTGTTTACTGTGGTGAACCATAATTATTATATATATATATGTACGATCATAGGCTTTATACTACAATATTTATATTTATTCTTTCCTTATTATTTATTTGTTATAAAAACAGACCTTCAGTTATTATCATCAAACCAATTTAAGTTATCTCGCAATCCATGTGATGGGTTTACTAAATGATGTTACTAAATTTAGTTATTTTCGTACACATTAATGACTGGGTATAGGCGTTTTTTTTTTTTTTTTTGAAAATGATCAAACATTCAAAAGGCGTTTTGACCAGATGAGGCAATTATGTACAAGTAATTGTAATTACACGTGCATTTATAATTACACTCATAAATGTGTATGTGAACTACATGTATACTAGAGGCCTCTAGTTCGAAAACACCCAAAAAGTTGAGGCGGGACTGTGGGAGACCAAAATTTGGAAAATTTAACTTATTGTAATTTTAAAAACAATATACTGAGAAGAATATACTAAGCATGACGTTTTGAAAACAAATTTAAATCCGGTAATTACTAAATAAGTGAATTTAATACTGTGTACACAAAAAAAAATGTTTTTTAAAGTTATTTGTATTTTCAGCTTCGATGTGGAGCTACGATTGTATTGTTTTTACAATATTTTTAATTTTTATGTTTGTCTAAATAAAATATGTAAGATATCCTAGTATCTTACCGCTGAGCAGATTTCCTCACGTAGCAAGTCTATTGATCAGAAATCTGTATCTTTGAGGTACAAAAAGCTATTCAAATTTAAGTATAAATATTTATTTCAAATTGTATACAGTATAGTCAACATAAGTTTAAAGGACACATTTTTATAATTAGTTTAAGTTTTAAGCTTTATTTATGACATCGTTTTACATGTTTGTAATTATTGCCATACTTAACTACTATAATTACTGGTTTATTAATATATTACACTTGTGTACTTTAACTTTTAATTTATAGATATTTATTATTAGTAATAAAAAGTTTACGACATTGAACAATATAATAAAGCATGTGACAATAACATAAAGTATATACTTTTTATCATTATTATTCTGTAATTTACAATTTTACAATGTTTAAGTGTACAATTTACACTTTTTGTTTATTGCTTAAAAAATAACTCATAAAAATTGATAATATGAAAACCATCAATATATATACATAGGTGCTGTTCGTTTATTTACATTTTTATTGTCTAAAACTACATATTTTTTCTTTGAGATAAGATTATGACTATGCTTTCAGCTTGCTAATAAAAAATGCCAGTACAGCTGGGTCGGAGCTTAGCGGGGACAGGGGTCACCGGTCTACAGGAATTATATAACTGAAAGTGATAAAATGTGTTTAATTATGTATATGCCAAATGTTTTTTAAATTAATTAATTTAATAAACTAACATTTTATTTAAAAATAGAGTAATTTTTTTCTTTATTTCGCTTTTTACGTGTGATTTTTAAGGCTTTAAGTTTGAAAATTAGAACGAAGGTATATCTAGAGTGGGGCTCTACCATTTACATTTTTCTTAAAATAAAAGCACAAATCTTCCATAAAAGAGGATAATTACACTTTGACCGTGTTTTTAAGTATTTGATTATTAATAATTTAATATTATTTCCGATTATATACATAAATAAATGTATATTTCTTAATATTAATAATTTATAAAATACAATACCTGAAGTAACCATTCCCTTAGCTTGGGGTTTTTTTATTTACACCGCTCCGCCTTTTTACCTTTTCAATTACCAGAACCGAACAAGTTTTTATTCATTTTTACGATTGCAAAGAGAACTGGACACGTCCTTTGTTAGCCGAGCAACAAGTATGTTTTCAGATGCTATTAGTATATCTGTAACGACTGTGAATAAGTGTGTAAGTCGATTTCACTGATTTTAAACTGACCAGCTGCCACAAATCAGCATGCAATAATCAGGAACTCACATCACTCTCAAAGTTTTCTTGTTGATCCAACGAGTTAGACATTTATTCAAGGTGTGCTAGGCGCTTCGGACTACATCCTAGCGTACTTGGTCAATTTTGACCAAAATTCGACTTACACACTTATTCACAGTTGTTACAGATATTACATATTATTTTATTCTTATCTAATCTTGAATAATTAGGTTTTAGTCCTGACATTTAACGTGGAAATATGTAGTACTCCAAAAAACAAATTAAAATATCACCACAACTTATCTCAGAAGTACAACAGTATGTTAACTTAATAATAATATTTATTATTCTCGTATGCTTAGAATACAAATTTAATACAAGACAGTCATAAGAATAGGAAACAAAATTAAACATATAATACAATATTATATATTCTTCTATTTTCATTACTTTGTCAATATAATAATTTTGGTTTAAACTGTTTATAAACAGCTAGCGTACAAATAATATTACAAAAATTGAGATTACTATAAATCAAACACAAAATAATACATCATTTTTTTTTAAATAGATAAATAATACATCACTAAGGCCGTTCTCACTAGTTAGGATTAACAAGTAAAATTTAGCCTAATAATTTTTTTTAGTATTGGTAAACTTTACAACATTTTTAAGCTTAACTGGTGAGAACGGCCATGAACATTTTAATCATTATTATACAAACACAATTTAAGTACTTAAACTATAATACTTTAATTTTAAATGATTTAATAATAATTATAGGTTATTAACTTAAAAATATTACAATTATGGCATTTGTGCACACAACCAGTTATTTGATTTGCTCCAATTTTATTTGCAATTAATTATGATTTACGTTCTGTCCGGTAGAGCCTGTAAAAATTAATTCCAATCAAATTAATTTCTTTTAATTAATAAAGTAATATAATTTTATTTATAAGTAGATTGCATGAAAAGTAACTTTCAATATTAATGACCTGACCCAACTTGTACCAAATGGTTGAGGAATTAACTTAAACAAATTATATTGGAGAATCTACACTTCTCATTATGATATTACAGAAATGGGGTACAAGGAAGAAACCTCTATGGGGTGTCCTCTAGTAACGATGTCCCCAAACACTGGCTAATTTTTCCACACCCAGGCCCAACCTATCTCTTAGTATAATAACATTGTCTTGCCGGTCTAAAAACCCGCGCCTGAAACGACTCTTTTCAGGGCCATCATTGACGATCGTATCGATAAACATTGAAGGTATCACGAGAGTTAAGGAAGAACTTTTATCTGTCATCTGCAAATCAACTTCATGCGACATTATGTGGTCCAAGAGACCAGACTCTTAATACCCCAAGTATATGTGGAATGAAGTTAGTAGCGATAAGACATCATAGAAAATACCGCAGTGCTATTTTCGCAAAACCTAATGCAGTCAACCAGTCAGTTAAGATATACAAACAAAACCACATTGAATTCATCACAGTGCACCTACCAAACATCTCAGTCTCATCAATTTATAAACCACCAAATTATCCCTTTCATAGCTCCCAAATTCAAATCCAAATGCGGCCTACAAAACACAATCCTAACATAGTCATAGGTGATTTCAACAGCCATAGTTCAAGTTGGGGCTATACAGAGACAAACGATAATGGTGAAGCAGTAAAAATCTGGGCACAAGGTGAAGACATGGTATTGATTCACGATAACAAACTACCCCCATCCTTCAATAGCGGTCGTTGGAACAAAGGATACAACCTTATATTTGTCAGTGAATCTATCGGTCAAATATGTACCAAAAAAATGGGAGATCCCATTCCATGCACACAACATAGGCCCATAATTTGCCAGATTGAGGCTGTGGTAAGACCCAATATTGTCCCATTCCAAAAGAGATACAATTCCATGAAAGCACAGTGGAACCTTTTCACAGAAGCATAGATAATCAAGAAACCACTACTCGAACGCTATAAATCCTTTGTAGTAAAAGTAAAACGTGTATCCCGGAAACACATACTAAGAGGATCATACACCTGGACTATCAAACGTTATCATGGACAAATCAAATCCTATATCAACCTATTCGAAATAACCCCATTGAAGAACAAACCAGAAACAGTATACGAGTATTTAAGTAAAGTGATAGGTAGGTACACTCAGTGTACACCTTACACGACTACACCACTGTACAGAGCAACAGACAGCACAATGAACTAGTGAATATTCACTATTCTACTACGTACTTGATTATCATCAGCTCTTGCTTCAAAATCTGTCATATCTTCGTCGTCTTCTACAGGAAAAAAAATTAATCAACAATTAAAAACAGTAATGTAATAATGTAAAACACAGTTAATTCAAAACATTCTCACCATCCTCTTCCTTAAAATGCTCTCTCTCGTAATCCATTTTATATCCTTCATTCTTCTGATTAGATTTTTCATCGACATCACTGTTGGCATTAAAAAATAAAGTCAATGCACCAAAATAAAACAAAAACTTTCCACTCGGATAAGTTTAATGCAGACAATATTTAAAAAAAAAAATACTATTTAGACAAAAATAAAAGAATCAACACAAAGTTGTTAAGTGTTTTTGTTTTTACAATGATGTGTTTTATTTTTTTTTTTTCTGGGCCCACAATATCTCCTGAACTGATAAACCGGTATTTTCATTTAGCAACTCTATAGATCAGAAATCGTAGCTGAACCCTCTTCAAAATTAAGAAAGTCTAGTCTAAAAATCAAGTTTACATTTTATTCTTTTAATATTTTTGATGAAGCAAATTAAAAGCTTGTTAGATTATTTTTAAAACAATTTTTTTTTTTATTAAAAATGGATTAATATTTGATAACAAGTTTTACCGCCTATAAATTATACATAATATATAATTATAATTAACTATTACATAAAACTATTCAATTAATACGTTGTTGTGGTAGGATTAATAATTGTCCTTTATATAAGGAATTGTAATGTCCCTAATAAGACACTCCTGTAAGATTATAGGAACAAGAAGAATTAATAAATAGTTCTAGTTTAAAAATAAATTAATCATACCAAAAAAATGTTATTAATTAAATAACTTGAGACGAACATCAATTAATCTGATAACATTAGAATCCAATAATTAAATTATGAAACTCAATTTGTTCCCAGGACTTTTCGATTAAACAATGACACAAAACATTTATACAATTTACGTAACCAGAATTTCATACTCAATTAAATTTTCTTTCTTCAATTTGTCTTCTTCAGGTGGTGCAGGCATCCCTTTCATGGATTCATTTACGTCAACTTGAGGTTCCTATTATAAACAAAATATATTAACTATGTTTTATATATTTATGTTACATATTTGAAAACACTCGATTAACTTTTTAGACCTACATGTTAAATAGAAATCATGTTTAGTTGGTACATTAGGAAGTAAAAAAATGTAAAATAGTATAGCTCACAAAATTAAAAATATACATGTTTTAACTTTATGTTATAACTTAAAAAATAATAATCTAAGCTTTAAATTATTATTCTTTTAAATTACTTGTGATGGACTTGTTTCGTTGTTTAATGCTAACGCACTACGTTGCTCCTTGGCAGAACTGTTTTCCATACTGGGCTGGTTGATTGGACTAACTTCCTGTTAAAACAGTCGAAAAACAATATTTTACTAATGATGTTAATGTATCTTACATATACAAGGTGATTCATTAGGTAAAGGCACACATTTTCTCACAAAATTATTAAATGGTAATGTATATATTTTAACATTTTAAATCAACAATAATTTGCTGAAAATTTTGAATGGTTGATAATTAGTTTTGGATAATTACTTTAAAACTTATTTAAGTTAAAACATTAGGACGTGAAGTGAAGTGTGGTTGAGTTATTTGTGCAAATAAAAACAATACTTCACACTCCACTCTTCGCCCCGTCCTAAAATTTAAACTTTAATAACTTTAAAAGTAATAAACCAAGATTAGTTATCGACCAGTCAACATTTTCAGTAAATTATTGTCGATTTAAAAAGTTTATTAAATATTTACGTTACCTTAAAAATTTCAAAATTAGTAGCACTGGAAAAAAATAAAAAAGATAAAAATTTGAATATTTTAAAATATTGAGAAATAACATAAACTATAGTATTTCCAAAAAAATAAATAAATAAACCTACAAAATTTTATTATTTTAAGAGAAAATTAATGACTTATTATAATGAATCAAACCTGTTGAGTTTGATTTAAATGACATTTAGATATGTCTTGCATAAAAAATGATATTATTTTTATTGAACACAATACTTACATTGTTAGGTATTATCGATTCATTAGTGGGCGCCAATTTTGAACCAGTCTGAAATAGAAAAATTAAACGTTATGAACAATCATTACATAAATAATCAAAATAATAATAATATATTTTCATAAATTTTGGTAGTTATATTTTACCATTGGTGTACTACTCTTTGCAGTAGCTCCATCAATTGCTTGCGGGTTAATGGCTGGAGTCACTGAACTAGAATTTAACTACAAAAATAATTAGAAATAATAATATCATATGTATATTCTTATAGAAAAAAAAATGTTTATTTATTCACAGATTAGGTAAAAATCAAAAAATGTTATGATTGTACTTTGATATGCTCTGTATATGTAGATAATACACTCTACAAAATAATTAAAAAAAAAAAACAAAATACATATATTTGTTTCTTCTTGGCTGAATCAGAAATAACGGTGGCAATGCTGCTGATATTACGACATTTTTATCTCATATGTTAATGTTAAGTAACAAGCCCCAAGATTCATTAGCCCATCACTGGTTGCATGGGGTATTAATGTACTCCAGTCACATGTGGTCACAAAATCTAAGTATAATCAAAAATTGCGTGACTAGGGACGGGTTAAAAAAATGTCATGATTCCTGCCAATTCATGACACAATAGAAATAACTATTAACCTATGGTCTAAGAATTTCCTTAGCGTTTTGTTGTTACTTTATTACTTATTTATGTTTTTATTAAACAAATACTTACTTTAGAGGGATTCATACTACTATCATTCGACCCCAAACTATTTTTCACAGATGAAGATTCACTGGGTTTCTTATGGTTTGTATTTTCATCTTTTGGTAAGTTTGATTTTTTATTTTCTAATTGTAATTTTTCATTCTAATAAAAACAAATCAAAACCAAACTTATTAATGCATTCATATGATTTACTAATAAGTTCTAATAAATATAATTAATCCATATGTATATTACTTTAAGTTTTTTTATTTCACTCTTTGTAGCCTCCAATTCAGCTTCAAGTTTTTTGTTTTTATCCATCTCGTCAGATAAATTTAATTGTAATTTTTCCATTTCATCTCTTAATTGCTTTTCTTCTTCCTTATGTTATATTTATTTAACGTTTTATTATAATATTAATATTCTAATAAAATAAAAAATTTAAATAAACAAAAGATAGGTAATTATATACCTGTAAAACTATATGATTTCGTTCAATTTCATTATAACGATTCATGGAATCGACATTTTGTTTATCACGTAACTGTTTTTCTTCTTGAATGGCCAAATTAAGTTCATCCTTTACTTTCATATGTTCATTTTTCTCATTTTCCAGTGATTTTTCCAACTCTAACTTGTGTTTAACAATAACTGTATAATAATTTATTATAAATAAAATGTTGACAACTAATAAAATAATTTGAAACCTCAGACAGTACAACAATAAAGATTACAACCTTCCAGCTGAGAAGAAAGAGACTCCAATTGCTGATTGCAAGATGTTGCCGATTCACGTACATCATGCAACTCTATTTTTGTTTCGTGGATAATGTACAAGAAAGAAATCAATAAGAGAAGTAAACTCAAGAAAAGTAGGAATCTTGCTTTTCCTCCTCTCGCTACCATCCTAGTCGACATGTTTCTGTGGGGAAAAATAAATTGACATAAGTCATAATGTCCATAAAATGAAATATCATACTTGATTTGCAGACTATTTTACCTTTGTCCTGTGTTCAGGTCGTTTATGCAACGATGCTTAATAAAAAGATATTCTCGTCGAAGCTTCAGGTGTATTATTCATATAGGTATATTATTAACAGGTAAGTACTACTTGTATAATACTATAAAAATCTCAACTTCGGCTCTCGCCAATCTGAAAAACATAATGTTAGTCGTGTGCTAGAAATGTTTTGATTTGTGTACTTTAATTAAAGAAATACAAGAAAAATTGGACGTCTTTTGTTTATTATAATTATAATCTAAACTAAATAATACATTTAATAATAATATTGTTGCTTCTCGATATTATATTTTATCAATAATTAGCCGCTGTCAGATAAGTATTCCGATATTGATATCGCACGACGTCCTGAGGAATGTTGTTTTACATAGATGACGTCATGGAGCAATACACAAAGGTAAGCCAGCAACTTGTGTTCTAATTTTGACAACATGGCTACCGATGTTCTCTCGCACACGATCGCCCGGCAAAAGCGGCGGCCATGATAAATTATGATTGTTACTAGTTGCTAGCGTACCAATTGGTTTTCTCATAGTAATCTATAACTACTTATTACTCTACACATCCTTCAACTGGTGCAGCGATAAATAATACTATAACATTATTATTATGTATTATAATTATAATATAGCCCGTTATTATAATGTCCTAGGAACGTGTAACTAACAATAAATGAAGCCTACATTGATGTCATTACTCTCTTTGGTCGAAAACAATTTTTTTACACTAAGGTGCACTCGTATTAATGTAATTGATCGACGATCAACCATAATGTCTTTAGTTCTACCATTGATATCAGACAAATGTATAATAACTAATAAGAAGTCTACAACTACGACATCATTGGAAAAAATAATTTGTAGTTAAATAATTTGAATGTCCTTGTTATTTTCAGAAATTTCTCTCTTGCTTACTTTTAAACTTTTTATGCTTCTAAAATGTATTTTTAACAAAAGATACACAGTTGAGAATTTTACAAAATTATCAATATAAATTGTATTTTTGTCATAGCGTTGTTATTTTTTTGATAACTTAAACACAGTCCAAGTTAATTATTCGTAAAGGTTGTTTTTTTTTTTTTTTTATTTATTAAAAGTTAGTGAAAATTAAAAAAAAAAACATTACGACCCAGATAAAGTTCACTTTTATACAAATAAATATCTTGTTAAAATAACTAAATAAATAGTTGGCCAACTATTTATTTAGTTATTCCAACTAGAAATGTATTGTGTCCCTAGATTAACCATAATTTTAGCTGGACCAACTATGTATATCTCCCGTGTATGTATTGTAAAAATTTGGTAATTTTATTGTGAATCGACCTAATAAGTCTGTCCCTAGCAATGACATTTTAATGGAAAAAATATTTAATTTATCCTATGGAAATGACTGTGAGAGTCTGACAAAAAAATTTCAAACAATAAAGAAACCGCATTACTGTATTCAGAGCCGTCTTAAGGTTTTAAGGTGCCCCGGGCCCAACATATTTCGGGGGCCTTATAATACTTAATTATTATATAAACATTTTTAACACATAATATATTATTATTATTTATTTATTAAATATTATATTTTTCAGTAAAAAGTGCATTTTTGTTTGAATTTCTGTTACTTATTGTTTGTTATTGTTTATTATAATTTCAAAATATACGGTCAAAAAATACATAAATTAATATGTTTTAGAGTTAAAAAATAAATGTAATTCATTAAACAAAAACTAAAATAATTGTCATAAAAACTGTATTGGTATAAATTTGTCAATTATTAAATAAAATGTATTATTTTTGGGTATACAAAGCTAATTTTAATATTTTTTCGTTCGAGATTTATATTAAAAACATTTTAAGAAAAAAATATTAAATTATGATATTTAGTAAATAATGTAATTTATGTGAATTTGGGGCCCTTAAAATTTCGTGGCCCGGGCCCGGGCCCTTCGGGCCTATGCCTTAAGACGGCACTGACTGTATTACTGTGAATTAGTACATCGTCGCTGATACTGCAACAGCAAGTATTTTCAGGAGAAGCAAAATAAGTTATTTAAATGTATAGGTTTTGATATAAGCTGTGTTACCATTTTTAAAACACCATTGACAAAATATTTTCGGCGGCCCGTGATTTATCAATATTGGTAATAATCTCATTTGGCCAAATGTTGAGATACGCGCTGTTGCAGTATCAGCGACGATAAGCTATAGTTCTAGCTCTAAATTGAGATTTTGCGTAAAATTGCCTATACTTTAATCCTTAATAAATAGGCACGCCCTCTTAATATTTTAATACAACTTACTTGCTCAAGTTTGTAATTTGAAAGTTCCAGTCGAAGAAAATGTATGTATTCAAAGCACGAAAAATAATTTTTATCAATTGTTTATGTTGGACTTATAAAGAGTCGAGGCCGGAGGTAGTCTTGGTATATATTATAAGTAGTTGTAAAATAGTATATAAAATAGTTGGTGTTGGCTTGAACGTGAACAATATAATAATATTATAAGACTCTATAGAGAATGGAGTCATGTCAGGATTCCTCTAATGATTTTAATAACTCACACTACGCAGCACTAATATCGAAAAACACAAGAATTCAATTGATGTAGTACCGACCTAATTGTTATTATTATGTATAGGGTGTATCTTGACGATCTGACAGAACGGCGTATTAAATGTGCATGAATCTGGCAGATCATTATGATACAGAAATTACAATGTACTTCTAGAGAGAGTTTCACACTTCAGCCTATTGAAAACCGTGTATTGTCACTTTAAGCAGTAATGGCATTATAACAGTCAAAACGCTTGTGGATGTATTGATAAATTAAAAACAACACAGATAAGCCCAAAACAATAAACAGTAAATAACTCCTCATCAAGCTGATTGCCTAATTAATTTATAATTCAAATTATTAATACTAGCTGTACAGTGTACTGTGTTATACAAATTATATTTATTACCAAATAAACTACCTTCAAATATTCACAAAATGTGGATACAAAAAGCATGTAGGGAGCCATGTCTAACGCCATTATTACCGTTACATTTAAACTGTACGTAACTATATATTAAGAGGCAAAATGTAGGCAATATTTGAGAACTTAAAATTATACCTATTTTAAGATTTTTGAATATGTTAATTTGTATCGGGTAGCTTAAAAATTTGAATACTACAAAATGTTGGTATTAATTTGTTGACCTTGGGATTCGATAAAAATATTTCTGGTCAATGCGGCAAATAGTAGATACATATAAATCATAATACATATTCGGGTGCACTATTATTTGTATCTTCTGTTAACAAATTTAAAAATAAATAACTTCGATTAAAAATATTTTGACAAAACTATATTTTTTTACCATCAACTTTTGTTTTTTAAATGTGACAACTTAAATCTTATCAAAAATGGAACAACTTGTCATTCTGACTGGGTATGTGTTCGTTTGTCTGTGCAGTTACTATGTCCATTGATAGCAGTGGTAGGACCAAGAGGGGGGGCCTCGGGTCCAGCCCCCTCCCTTGAGTATTTCTAAACTGGGTAAGGTAATTTTAGTTACTGTCTAATTATATTTTACAGTAAACAATATTTATTCATTTTGGCAATATAATAATTTTGTTTTGGCCTGCTTTGCGGCAGATAGCAAATCGTTATCACATATTATCATTTTCTTACACTACACATGGACTTTATACCTAAAAACCGTTCTTTGGACCCCCCCCCCCCCCAGGGACATTTCTGGTTGCACTACTGGTTGATAGTGCCCATGCTAATTCGAATTTACCGAATGTTCAGTTGTCTAGATGAACTGATGACATTTTAGTGTAAATAGTCTGCTTAGTGACTTATAAATGCCTAATATTTATTGATAATTAATTAATTGGTAACTTTGATTAAGTTATTTATTAGACCATTACAGGGTTGGATCAAGGGGAGCTAGGAAGCTCTGTAGCCCCGGGGCCCAGGCAGCAATTCAATGGGGGGGGGGGGCACAATGTTTCGTTTTTTGAAAATTATTTGTATAAACATAATAAAATATCTTTGCTGATATAGAAGTCTTGCCATTTAATCGTAACTTATATTGGGATCCACTATTGTTCATAATCTAATAATATATTGTTCTAAAAATACAATACCACAGACGGCAGACCTCTTATGACTTATCGATATAATATTATACCAAAGTAACCAAAAAATGTCAACTATCAACATCAGCTATTTGTTGTGGCTATTTCTTGCTTGAAGTTATTGATGATAATTTATTGAAACAATCTGTTAATAATTTAGTTAAAGTTTATTGTCGTGACCTAGAAGAAAGCCTATATAACAAATTTATAGCAATGGTTCAACTCGGGGACAATAAAAAATTATAAAAAAAAGCCGGTCAATACGTTACAATGGAGATAGGTTAAAGATAATCTCTCGGTCGTTTTCCTAAATATTTACACATGTAGCGTTCCGGAGCATACCAGTTACTAACTGTGAACGTTACGATCGTTCTCTGCACTATTTATGATAAAAACTAAATGCCATTATACGATGGGTGAATTAAAACTGACATCTATATGATTACTATCGATAGAAAGTGATTTGACAAGTAATGCTTCATTCGAAGACGTTATTAAACAAATTTGCAGGGGCGAAATCCCCCAAAAAGTTTTATAAACATTGATTCAATAAAAAATAAATGTTGTAATTGTTCTGTACTAGCAAAGTATTTTATATTTTTTGACTAATACATTTAAAAAAAAAATTAAATGAAAGTAATGTTTTGTAAATTGCCACGATACTAAAATATACAAATACGTATATAAATATTATATTATTTTTTGGATAAAAGGGCCTTGCCAAGGGTATATAGCCCCCCTCATATTATGACCATAATGCGTCCCTAGACCATTACAGTGCCCTTGGCAATATTTTTCTATCTTGAAAATAGCTTTAAAAAATGCGTATTACTCGGTCTAAGATGGTTTTGGAGTAAAAACTACCTTGTATGAATTGATAGATAATAGCTTTGATGCGAAGCTGAGAGGGTATTGGTTTATAATGATGTGTTCTTTTTTTGCCTGTGAACACGATAACTTTTTTCTCTAAACCCGAGTAGCATCGTTATCGATCCAAAATTGTATATATTTGCTAAAGTTTTGCGAAAAACAGTCGGGTTAAAATGTTTATAGATTATATTATGAGTATAACTTAATCCAAAAATTGTTAAACCCAAATTTTCATATTAACCATATTATTATCCGACAAGCGTGTCAATGTTTTCAGTGAATACTTGACATCAAACATTTTCAATTGTTTGTAAATTACATCCATATTTTTACGTACCTAAATAATTTTTAAAAAACATGTTAAAAAAGTAGGTTCGAGTAAAAGCACCCCTATTAAAAAACTGGAATGTTTTTCCACCCCAGAGATATTTGAATGGGCTTTTTGCAGACTGGCCTTTTCCCTTAAATCCAGCCTGTGATTACAGGGATGATTTTAGGATATAGATTGTCACGGCTTGTCGAGTACAAGCAGAAGTACCGGGACGAGTGCAATCTGTCGACCGGTCTTGGGCGTCGTTGCCGGCGCTAAGCCTAGATGTCTCTGGCGTATCTGTCGCAGACGTCGTACCGCACGCGCACGCGGGGCACCCGCCCTCGGAAGCCATTGCTGTTCGTCCAGCTATCACGTTTCGTGTCGCCGCCGCCGCTCTGCTGTTGCCTATTCGACGTTGGGCGGCAGGTCCGGTCTCCGGTTTTACCGACGACGGCGGTGATATACACATATATACCAACACATAGCCAACGCGAACTTTTCGCCCGGGGGGTCGCCACACGTCCTGTCATCGTTTCGCCCGCGCATACCTCGTAAGTATACTAATAAGTCATTGTACCTGTGTATAATTTGTAATATATATTTAACAGTATAATATAATATGTATGTTTCACCGATGTCGCTGTAAAGCTGTGCGCGCTGGCATTGTAGTCTTATCGTCATCATATTATTGTTATTTGTTATTGTACGTTCGACGAAATGGTAATAATAATAATAATGTAGCCTTACGATGGGGCGACGCGTTATCTTTATGGCGGGGGCAAGGGAAACTACACACGACGAGTGCAGCAGCAGCTGCTCGCGACCCAATGGTGAACGGTAACAATATTGTTATCTTACGAACGCGTGGTCGTAACGAGATTCCGGAGCGTTCCCATCGCACCGGTTACCGTCGGGGTTGTTTTCAGAACTTTTGTTCTACAGTGATCGACGGCATTCGAGAGTGGTGCGAACTTCATGTAATATATTAGTTTGTCATTGCAGTAGCCCGATAACTCGTAGGAAACGACCTTGAATCGATCATTGAGTGATGTAACCGCGTAGCTATTCATTTTAGGCTATTCTTTACCCTAAAATGCTCTATGCTCGCAGTATTGTAGCCAGAAATATATTTGGGGGGGGGGGTGGGAGCACTTACTACTGGTGGCACCCTGGCTACGGGTCCCGTGTTGGCGCAGCGGTTGACAGTCATGTCTTTTTCGCTATAAAAGTACGATCCGCGTGTCCGTCAGCTGTTCCAACAGAGAGCGGACGGTATAGAAATATTTGAGCCGGTTACCCGGTTACCGTTTTGTTGTCTACGCGTTCGTTAACCTTTACAAGCAATCGCTTCGATTTCCTGAAGAACCTAACCCCCCTCACCTCACACCGTTGCCGGAGACGTCTCTTCATTCCAAACCTTTTGCTTGGCCCCTCGCCAGAGTTCGCAAAAAAACCTAAGGCTATAAAATGTTTGGTATTTACCTAAAAATATGGGTTCTATGTGCCTAGTAAAAAAACTCCACTGGGTAAGGGCGTTGCCGTCTTCCAATTTTCGGCGAACTCTCCTATACCGCTTTGTCGATTGTAATTGGTATCGGAATGTGATAATGATAAGTCACCACTGTTCTAGAATCTCTTGTCTGTAAACATTGCTCAACTCAAATTTCATAAGACTTTCATAGTCTCTATAGAAACGTGATGGGGTTTTATTTATCAAACCCCGCCATCAAAAGTGACAGACTTTGAGGCAATAACCCGTTAATTTGTTTAAAAGTCTGACCCAGTTGTTTTTTTTTTTTTTGGGGTAAATACCAAACATTTGGTGGGCATGGACAAAAAAAATCAGGGGGTTTGAGTATGGTTACCAACTCTGCCGAGATAACCCTAAATTAGTGGTGGAGTGACACGACCGTTACTTGGTGCCAAAATGGTCATCACTCATCGCCTTCGGTCGACGGCCGCGGCGTTTACTTATGTCTCGACTAAACATTATAACCTAACCCAGTCGTTATTGGTGCAACGAGAAATGCATACACGTGTAAATTACATATATTATGAATAATATTTACTATGCTGTTGTTTTTGCACACTTATCGGCCGACTTGAGCGGCTGCGGCGGTGACGGTTGGACAAGCGCGCTCTAGCGTTTCGCCGTCGAAAACG